GAAACAAACACTTGAAATAAGTAAGAATTATCGTTTAGAATAAATAATAAAAGAGTTTCTGGAAGTTGTTAAGTTTTTGCAATCTTATATTCCACTTCAGAGAGCTATGGAAAATTCCAAACTGCTCTACATAATATTTTTTTTATAAAATAAAAACAAAGTTATTTGTTAATAAGTATGTTGATTTAATTCGTGTCACATTGTATATAGTGGGTATAACTTATATATAACTCACATAGTAGGTGAACATGTGTTGCAATTCTTTGCTTAATGTGGCTGGAAAGCACATTCGAGGCTCTCCAGGGGTGCAATAAAACTTCTTATCTCTCCCACTGCTTTTCGTTGCAACTTTCTAACCTTCAGTTATTTATTTATGCGATGAGAAAGTGTCTAGTAAAACAAGTTCTGTCGATAAGACCTGATCGATGATTGTAGAAAAATAGTCATTAAGTAATTAATTAAGTCGTGGTAAAAATCATGATTAATTGATGAGTTGATTGTATTGATTAAGGCTTTGGATATGAAATAAAAAATCAATGGTTATGAATCATGATTTTGATTGTAAAATATTTTTTTTTCTGATTGATTATACATTTTTTTTTGAATTATTCTTGATGAGGAAAGTCAAAATGGGACGTTTTAATGATCATCTTTATTTTAATATTTGTTCATTTAGAATAATTTACTTACTAATTAACATATTTTCTTCGAAATAATAATTATTCAAGAAATTCTTCTTTTTTATCGAGGAAATTTATTTTATCAGTCAATTTTAATAATAAAAAATACACTTTTTCACAGAAAAAAATCAATATTATTCATAATAATTCAAGAAAATTAATTTTAAAAAAGGATTTCAGTTTAAAAAATTACAATCGATTTTTCTAGAATCAATTTATGTAATTCAGTTGCTCTTACTGATTATATTAAATCATTATTAAGTATTTTTTCAAATAACAATACTAAAAAACTATTTAAAGTCATAAGAATTACAAAAAAAAAATAATAAATTAATACAATTGTGACATTTTTTGCCTTGGAAAATTTTTTCTAAGTAATTAATCACTAACTTATAAATGACGAGGGAATAAAAACCCACCGTGATTATGCATACATATTCGTATCAAACTTAGTGATCTCAGCAAATTATCATATTAACACGTGTCTGTTTTTTTTTAAACCTTTTTCTTCTTTCTCTTCATATTTTTTCTATCGTAGCAGATAAGCTTGTCTTGATAAATGCTCTGATTAATTTACAATTCTTTCTCCAAGCAGACTCGTGGATCAGACAATTGGCTAAGATTGTAAATTTACTTAATCCTCAGGAATTTCGGTTGTCAATTCTTTTCTTAATTACCATTTTTTAACGTCAATGAAATATACTAACATTTTTTTCTAAATAAAAGCAATTATTAATTAGATATATCGCGAATAAATAAATTTTTAATTAATAAATCAATAGACAAAAAATAATTGAAAAATTAAAAAATTATTTTTATATTAATTTTCAAGCTGTAATTATGAATTTAAATTTATTATATATAAACGTGGTATATTATTATATTAATCTACTGTCATTTATTATAAAGGAAAAAAATAATTTTCCTACTTATATGTCTCTTATATCATTGACAGGTCTTATCAGTAGCTGGCGGAACATAACGGTTAATATAATGACAAAAAAAAATCCAAGATAAATTATTTAGGCTATATACAAAGTTAGCTTAGTAAATTCCGGTTTAGTTTAGTTATTTTAACCGCCTCTTTTACAATTACGTCACTAAAAACGATAAAGTTGTCTTCCGGTTTGACGCATCGTTGCATTTTGATGAAATGATTTTTTGTACTGCTATTTGTTTTAGCGGTAATCTATTTTTTAAAGAAAAAAAAATTTATTTTGATATGAAATATTTTATTGAATTATTATATTATGATAGTTGAAATGTCTTTATCATTTTTCATATTAAATTTGATATCTTAATAGTCATTAATCATAATGTAATCTAGTATATTTAATAGAGTTATAGATACATTTATTATTCTCCCATTGTAGTTACTTCGATTGAGTTCAAAAAATAATAATATGCGCAGCATAGAATTATTTTTGTTGGTATTATTACGTTTTAAAAAATAATCTCTGTTTAAAGGTAAAATTGTTGGCTATTATGTATAATTGGAGCTATACTCCAATTTCAAATTATTTATTGTGATAATTTGTCGAATATTTAAAATTATCTAATTATTATTAATAATGGGTTATTATGAATTAAGTGCAGAAGAATAAACTAATCTTCATTAAAATTAATTATTAATTATCAGAATTGATTATCAGACGTATCATTTTTTTTTATAATTCAGTAAAATACTTTGAAAAGATTGTGACAAGTTTTTTTAAACAGAAATTTTTAATGAAAAAAGAACCAAAGTAGTTCTTGTAAAGCTTATATATAATCCTTCAATAAAAAATCTTTTTCATTTAAAAAGATTTGTCAGTTTTAAATTTGTTTAAAAGAAAATCACAAAATCCATCTACGATTGAATTGAATAATTTTCTTTGAAGTGTCTAAAAGAATCAACATCACTTAAAACTCTAAAAGATTAGTTATTGCTCTTTATGTTCTCAAGTCTTAACATATGTATTAATTTTTGGCGGTATCAAAGTGTTAACATCAGCGATGACGAGCATGTTAAAAAAAAACGTCAAAAAAATTGCGAGTAAAATTCCGTGCCATTAAGTTGATATTGTTTATACAAAATGTCGACATTGTATATATTCTTAAGCGATTGAGAAGGAAGTATGTAGAAGGTGTTGATGGATAAAATCCTGATGAGATGTTACGTACTTATGATGTATGTGATGCCAAAGCGATTTTTATTTGAATTGACTGAATTATAATGGCAATAAAAGAAAAAGATAAAACCGCAAGATAAACAAAAAAAAAAATTGAATGTCAAGGTGATAATTTTTACTGGGTTATTATAAAAATCTAAATCTCCAAAGCATTAACAGTTGATAATTTCCGCATATGACATGAATCATTCGTCATTGCGATGACGGTTTTGTATGCAAAGCCGCCACAATTGTTATCCTCGGAATTAATAGAGTATGTTGATGGCTTCGAAATCGATTGTAATTCTTTTAAGGTCGTGGACTCACCAATAAGGTCATTCACAAGGATACAATTCTCTGATAACAGTTTTATTTATAATTATATTTCAATCAAAATAAGTTTAATTAAATAATTACTATACTGAAGATATAAATGCATTTCAACATTCATCATTTATATTTCTAATCCATTCAATCATTATAATCGAGTATCACAGCTATTATTTATTAATTATTTTATAAATACATATTAATAATGAATTAATTGGTTTAGACTTCATTATTATCAGCAAAAAAATTCACTTTTCCGTTATGAATTTTTTATTAATTGATTTTTTTTAAATAATTCGAATATTTATTAATATTTTTGATAAAAAATTTACTGCAAAATAATTGTAATGTATGCCCATTTGCTAAATCGAAAAAAAGAGTAAAAAATTTTTTTTAAATCTTAATTCTAAGAAATAATCTATTGAGATATCTTTTGCTCTCCTCGATACAATTATTTCATTAATTAACATTTCCTTGTATTTTCAGATATATAAATATATATTTCATGCTTTGAAATAAAATGATTTAGAAGGGATCTGAGAATAGATTCAAAGGGGAAAGTGACTCAGAAATGCAGAGTACAAAAATATACACAAAGAAAATAATGTATGGTTGAAAAAATAGAATAATAATATTATTACAATCTTTTATTGAATTTTTTTCTCCATTTTATTACACGAATTACATAAAAGCTGTTTATTATGATTTTTTTTTAACAAAAAGAGCTAAGCATACACGTGTCGTTGGTTGAATAAAACCAATCAGACTCTTTGTATTGCGAAAAACGTCATCGATGTCCATTCTAGAGTGAAACGTGTTATATAAATCGGTCATGGAAATTTATTAGACCTGCGACATCTTTGATTTATGTATTAAAGATTGATGAACATTAAAAAGGTGCCACATGCTAAGGTGTCATCTTACACATGGCTAATTTATTAAAAGTTTAAATGAAATACATTTAATATGATGTTCAATTGCATTTCGCTGATTCATTCCTCCTTGATAAAAAAACATTTTAAGTCAGAGTATTATTTATTCCTGTCGTAATTAATTATCAATCCTCATTAATTGTCACTTGCTTTTTATTTTATTGTCTGTCCAATAAACAGCTTCTTATAATCACTTCAAATATAGAACATTTCATTTATATCATTGATTATTTAAAAAATTTATCAATCACAGCTTAACTTATTTGCTATCAAAATCTATCATTTTTATCATCTTCATAAGTCTTCAAACACATTCTTATATTATGATCATATATAATAACTGGAATACGTCACCAGCTTCAAGTATATCTGAGTTATATACACATTTTAAGGTTTATCACCAAGTTTAACGACTTACGTCAATTATCACAATTGCTACATATTCGAAATACAATCAAAAATACTTTTGTTAATATTTTATAAATTTTTGAATCACTTAGTCATGTCAATATTATGTCATAGTACTAAAAATTCATATTTAGTTCAAATAATTTACCATAAAACCTGAATATTAATGCAAATATTTTCCATTCCAAATCAAACACTTCATTTTGATTCAGCATTCTTTGAAGTTAGTTTATAACTATTACTTTGAAAGGCTTGATGCAATAAATAATATTGAAGAATTCATCTTCTTGATAAATTAATGGAAATAGTAAAAAAAAAAATATTTTAAGTATTAAGTATAATGATTAGGTGTTGAAATGAATTTTTTTTAAGGTAGATGATAGTTATTTTTCCTTGAGTCTCTGTGAAGAGTTAATATAACTAATCTTAGAAGATAAAGCTTGAGGATAAATAATTTATGTGAATTTTTTAAGCTAAATATTTTTTTTATTTTATTTCAGGCACAGAACCATGCCCCCAGAAGGGAGTAGTTAAACAAGTCGCTAAGAAGCTTGTACGGGCTCTTTCTGAGAAAGGACTTGCTCTTCTTGTCAACCATGGTATTCCCGATTGGAAGGTAAAATCCATTAGACAACCTCGAACTAAAATCTTTAAAAAATATGACAGGATATGCAAATAAAAAAAGAATGGTATAAGAACTTAAAGAGTGAATATTCTTTTAAAAATTCACTATAAGATTGAAGTAGAAAGTCTTTGAACTTTATATTTTTCATGACTCGGAGAACCCTGAGATAAGACCCCAGGCTGAGCATTGACCTTGTATTTAATTACATTGGTATCTCATGTTCATGGATGTTCCATTAATGAAAAATAAAAAAACACTATTTCTATGGATATTATACTGTGATTGGAAATAATTTTTAAAAATTCCAGACAAAATAGACTTTTTTGTATATTAAACAAGTGAAGTAATTATTGGGAATCACACACTCTCTCTATATCTTATCACTGATAAAGAAAAGAGAATATCCAATATGATTGATTAATAAGTAAAAAAGCAAATTAAAACGAAATCGTTTGATAAATTTCTGATCAAGTGGTGAAATTAGCCCCAATAATGTTCATTCCAATTAACAAAATCATGAAATATTCATTAATTTGATTATAATGATATCTTTTTTAAAATTCTTCAGATAAAATGGATCAATAATCGACCTTCCACAATATCAGAAAAATTTTTTAAGTAGACGTTTGAAAGATTTAAGAATATTAATCACTCTTAAATCCATTCACTGATAATTATTTTATAATTTCATTGGAAATACTATTTTATTTTATTAATATAGAAGTATTTAAAATGTTAAATCAATTATTATCTTTTCTTGTAAAAAGAATTGAATTTTTTAATTGAACATTCAACGCCCATACATGAGTTATTAACAATCAAACTCGTGTGATTTCATTTATTACATAAATACTATTATTCAGACTGTTCTTAAAATGACGATGATTGTATTATTATTAAAGTCTAAGAGTTTTATAGTTGGTAGAATTTTATATAAATCTCCGAAAATATCTCAAACACTCATGCTATTCTAGATATTTTATATGTAGGTGTGTGTGTGTGTGAACTTATATTTTATCATGATTTGTATGACGAACATTTACGCTACGTAGGGATGACGATATAACGGAATAACGGTCAGTAAATTGACCATTTGTTGAATATATAAAACTACTCAAACGGCAGTAGAATAAGAATAACAAAGAATTAACTGATGTAAGAACTTTTTATGTCAAAAGATTTAATTCAAACAAAATCTTATCAATTAAACTGATTTTTTTTAAATAATACCAAGTATATTTTCAGTTTCTTATTTTTCAATTCAATTGCTTATTTTACATTCTTATTTTAACATTTATACTTTACTTTTATTTCTGAATTTTTTTTTCAGAGGTAAAATTTATTGTATATTCAATAGGAGTATAAATTATCCTAAGTGTCTTGATCAAATAAATCAAATCAAATTGCGTGAAAATTTATAATAAATTTCAACAAGATAAAATAAAGTGTGACTTGTATTTTAAAATTATTACCAGCTAAGAGATTGAATTAAGTATATAATTGATGGGACCAATTTTTTAATCATAAAGTATTCTTATTTAGAGAAGAGATTTTCTTGACAAACGTTTTACGTAAATATTTGATTAATGACAGAAGTAATTTTATTTGTTATTTTGATTGAATTGTTTTTAATAAAGAAAATAAAAATTAATATTAAAGTAGTAAAAGATATAGCTATCAACGAAGAAAGAATGAAGAAGATGTTAAAAAATAAGTTTAATCAGACCCAGGCTATCGAGGAAGGATATATTACTGATATAAAGCCTTTCTTCCGTTATTCCAAGAACGCTAGTTTATGAAATTAAAATAAAAATCTATCAAAGCATCTGGATGAAACGTCAATGGTATCTTTTATCATGCGTCAGAAATGAAAATAGATATCATTTTCATGATCATGCACAAATGCAATTGCATGCATATGATCTAGATTTCTTATGAGAAAAACTTTCAACACTTTATGACCATCCTAAAACACGATTGTATATCAAATCCGTCATGTGTTAATAGTAAAGTTTATAAAAGTTTTTGTTGAGACATTGAGCCTTGAAGTAAAACAATCAAAATTTATTTGTTCAGATGCATCAGGAGTCAATAAAGATCAGGGTTGTTCCTTGAATTCAAAATTCACTTAGACTTTTGACAAGCTATTTCATATTTTAAATTAAATTTCCGCATGAATATTAATGATCCATTACCTTCAGCTATATTTTCATATTTACATCGACATGCTTTTACATTTATTTACTTGTTCTTGTAGATAAAGGCAGCATACAGAGCTTTGGACACTTTTTGTGAGCTACCTAAAGAGGCTCGTGCCAAATTTGAGTGCGTTGCACCTTCGAGCCATGGATATATCAAGCCAGAACCTGGAACGTAAGTTTAAATTACTTCTTTTATGTAGCTTTGAATTTCATTATTTCTTGGAATGAATTTTCAACAATTTAATATTTACTTAGATCCATTTCAACAAAATTCCTGCTTTATTACAGAATACATAAAATAAAATAAAAAGTATTCCTAAAAAAAACTAGTTTCTTTAGTGAATTGATGCTAATTGATAATAAAAAGAGAACTTGACTATCACAGAACTATTAACATAAATGCTTATGCCTTAAAGTATTATTAATTCAATTTATTATAACCATTCAAAGGAAATAATTTTTGTTAATTAGAATTAAGAGTCATTTAAAAAACATTTTTTTATAAGAATTAATATAAAATGTTGGTTCAACAGGAATCCAACAGATGAGATCGAAGCCAGGCACGAGTTTATAATATCTGGAAACGACACAGAATTGCCAGATGAAGATGTTCCAAATTTCCGTTCAGCAGTGGAAGAGCTGACAAGTGACTTTAAACAACTCTCGGCTATGCTTCTCACAGTACGTCTTTTAATTCCATCTTTGTTAGTCACTTTTATCCTCATTGTGACAACTTAGACAAACTAGATCATGGCTTGAGACAAATTTTATTAAGCCCAAATGATTGCACAGGCTCTTGCTGTTGGAATGGAACAGCCATCGGATTACTTTATGAGCAAGCACTCCAACCTTCTTGACTCTGGTAATAGCTCTAGCTTCCGGATGATTTACTATCCGCCGGCAGTTTTATCAGAATCTGGTGCTATGCGTTACGGGCCAAGTTGTGATACTGGAACCTTCACGCTTTTAACTCAGGTACGATGAGTAATAATTATTCATTATTTAAATATTCTATTAAGCCTTAGTTTATGTCATTTGATAACAATAGCAAGATTGTATAAATTGGCATTAGTAATTATTAGACTTAAAACCTGATCTTTGAGATAATATGGTTCACAGTTCAAGAATTGCTATGGATTAACTACTCTGTGATACATACAAGATTATGGATTGGGATTATGATTAACACATACATTTCTGCTGGATTTTGATTCCTTATTAGTTGGAGAAAACGTTTGCTTTTCATTTAGAAAAAGGTTGAATACTTTCTATCAAGTAAAGTAGAACCTTCAGAAAGAATTGTATTACTTTATTATCATATTGTATATTAAGTAATCAATTGATAATTTTTTTGTTTATTAATGCGTTATTAGTGTTAACTCAAAAGAGATTTTATAGCTTTTGAAAGTTATTTCAAAAACATTTTTCACGTAATTAACAATGATTGTTCGTTAAGAACTCGTGTAATGCGTCATTGTAAAAATTTTTTCGTTTCACGTTACTCACTAAGAAATAGAAAGTAAATATCATTTTACACTTATTGCTTACAATTATACAAAAGTATGATAATAATTTTACTTATGTAAATACATTTTTTCATAAAATTATTGATTTTAGGACTGCGAAAATGGATTAGAGATCCAATCACCATATGGCGAACGTTGGGGACGTGTAGGTCATCTTCCCGGAGCTATTTTGATTAATTCTGGAGACTGTCTCGCTAAATGGACCAACCAACAGCTATCATCATTGAAACATCGTGTTGTGGTGCCTGAACATTGCTCTCGAGGTCGTCATTCCATCGGATTTTTCGTTCAGCCAGACGAGAATGTTGAAATAGAGCCTTTGAAGACAAAGATATCAATTCCACCACAAGAACCAGTTATTTGTCGTCTTCAGAAGAAAAAGCGTGGGGTACTTACGGCGTATCATCATCTACAACGTCGTTTTCGTGAAACTTATGCTTCTTAATAATTAAAATTCTAGATTCCCTGGCGTGTTACTTATCATTAAATCACGCGGATAAGGAAGAAGAGGAATCGCGACGAAAAAGAACTCAAATTATTATGTTCTCTAGTTGTAATGTCAGTATTTGACAACAGCAAAAAAATTATTTGCCGCGATTAATAATCAAAACGATCGCGATAGACTGAATAGTTTAAAATTATTAATCCTGCGAATGGATTTTTATACTTTCGTGGTCTTTGCTCTAGATGCATTTAATTAAATGTACTTTAATTCCATGAATTTGACAATAATTTAGCTTCAATACCATCATTTTACGATTAAATGAGAGGAGCTTTGATCTAAATAAAATAAAACAGAGACCAACGAGAAATCAAAAAAAAAATAGAGTCGACATCGATTCAATGAACCGTCCAATAATCTCTCGTAAATCTCTTATTGCAATAGATGAATTGAATTTTATTAATAAATAAATAAAACAAGACCACGAAAGGTCGTCGTCTGTTCGTGTGAACCGTGATAAAAGCGTACACAAGGAATTAGTCTGGAGTCTCCAGCAATAATAAATGAATTTGTACTTAAAAATTCAGTGTATTTCATTTTTTATATTCTCTCTAAAAATTATTAAATAGAAACTTTTAATTTATTTACAAATTTATTAAAATCCAAGATCCCAATTGACACTGGGTGGTTCTTCATGAGTTGTATAGCAAATTATTGTATCACCTGGTTGTACAACAACATTGGGATCATGAAATCGCAAACCACATTCTAACCCTGTTTTAATGCTATTGACTTCATCCTTATGATGTTTCATGGATGTTAATGTTCCTGAAAATTATGTATAAACATTTATCATTTCCCCAATCATTGTATTAGGATAGTAACTATTTAATTGTTTCATACATACCTTCATAAACAATTTCATTATTTCGAAGAATTTTGTACTTCGCATCTTTTTTCAAGACTCCTTCAGTACAACGACATCCAGCTACTGATACTTTTTTCTTTTTTTCAGTTATTTGAAAATATTGTAAAACGTTCGCTTCACCTTAACAAATAAAGAAAACACAATTTTACATAAAATTGGTGATATAATATCAATCAACTTAATTTTTTTTTACTCTTACCTAATTTATCTTCAACTATTGTTGGCGGCAGCTTTTTACGAATTTCTTCTTTTAAGTCATCTATAAATTTATAAATCACGTTGTGGGAATGAATAGGAACTTTCGATTTCTCAGCAAGATCCTGCATATTTTTGGGTGTATTTATATTAAATGTATAAATCATTCCTGCAAGAAATTTAAAAAAATGTTAAGAAATGGAATAATGAATAAAAGAAACAACATAAGTTATTTGCTGGTATTATACCATTAAATACTTCAGCCATTTCTACATCATTTTCAGATACTGGTCCAATCCCATAATGAATCACGTCAAGATGACAACGATTTTCATCTTCGTACGTTTCTAAAGCTTCTAAAATTGCTTCTACAGATCCTAAGACATCAGCTTTGAGTATAATACTAACTTTTGGAATTCCATCATCTGGCAAGCTTTCTTTTTGCGGTAGTCCATGAATTATTTTCACGTATTTTCCTAAAGCTCGTTTTTTAAGTAAATTTTCTTTATATACCTATAATAAAAAATTATACAAAACAATTATTAAGAAATAAATCACTAAAGAAATTAAAAAATTATGTTTATGTTCTTACTTTTTCATGTTCCATTCTTCTTTTTTCAATCTCAGGCAAGTCTTCAATAGCTTTCATTTTCATTCGTTGTGCTTGTCGACACTTTATAACACTATGAGCTTTTTTTTCACTCTCAACTTCTAGAAATTCATCTCCAGCTGCCGGTAGCTCTCGCCAACCAAGTATTTGTACTGCTTCAGAAAGTTTACCTTCGGAAATTGGAGCTCCTGCATGATCAATCATGCCTCGTACTTTAGCCCAAGCAGTTCCACCAACTAAGAAATTCAATCAAATAAATATTTAATATAATTCAAAATTGTTTATTATACAATAATCAATGAAACTTACCGAGAATGCACCCTTTTCGTAGAGTTCCTCGTTGAATAAGTGCTGTAGCAAGTTTTCCGCGACTAATATCTGTACTCACTTCTAAAATTACTCCTTCAACCATACCATTAGGATCTCCTTTCAATTCCATCACCTCAGCTAATACAGCAACAGTCTCTACTAGTTCTCTTAAATTAGTTCCTTTCAATGCAGAAATATTTACACTAGGTACATCACCTCCAAAAGCTTCTACAAGGATCCCTTGTACAGCTAACATTTTTTGAGTTCTTTCCTATAGAAATTCGATTGAAAAAATATCAAATAAATTGGATGTTATTGTTTGAAAATGGTTAAAATTTTTTTAGTTAATCGTTACCTACAATATCAGCACCTGGTTTATCAATTTTATTTATGGCCACGACAATTGGAACTTTTGCTTCTTTTGCCATTTTTATGCTTTGAATTGTTTGCTCCATAACTCCATCATCAGCTGCTACGACTAAAATGACAATATCTGTAACATTCGCACCTCTTTCACGCATTGCACGAAATGCAGCATGTCCCGGAGTATCAAGAAAAGTTATTCTTTCGCCAGTGTCCAAATTGACTGAAAATATAAAAATCTGAAAAAGTTTGTTTTTCGTTTGACATATTTATTACTATAAAATATACCGTTGAATGCTCCTATATGTTGAGTTATTCCTCCGAATTCTTTAGCTGCTACTGATGTGTGTCTCAAAGAATCCAAAAGAGTTGTTTTTCCATGATCTACATGGCCCATCACGGTAACAACTGGATGTCTTTTAATTAAGACTGATGGATCTGGAGGTGGACTATTGTAAAAAAAACAATTATCAAAAATAAGAGTTAAATCATTTTGATAATGTAATAAAAGTACCTTTACTTACCGTTTAATAACATCAACATCTTCATATTCATCTTTTTCAACTTGATCAGGCCTAGGTACTATAACGTATTTTAATCCAAGTTTTTTTACAGCAGCGTACAGAAGATTACCATCATAAATCACACTATTTTGCTTAAACCCACGTACACCTGAATATTCAATAACTTGTAATACATCGCTTACAGATCTCGAAGCAGCTTGTGCTAATTCGTTCACTGTCATATTTGGCCATACTTTAATAAGAGGCATTGTTGATTTAGCCTTTGGTTTCTGAATGACCGTAGTAGCTAATAATTTCTATAATTGTTATAAATGTAAACATAATCTTTATTGAAAGGTATTTTTATTTTAAAAAACATACAAAAGAGACTTACTTTTTCTTCTTTCGTTTTTCTCCTTTTTAAATAAACTGGCGTTGTGTGATAGCAATGACATTCAATACATACTTTTGAATTAAATAAATAATTTTGGGCTCCATTGTGATCTTTTCTGACAATTTCACTTATAAATTTTGAAACATAACTGAAAAAAGCATGATAAAAGGTTATGAATCATCAAGTTTTATTTTTAAATTAAATTTCCAAAAAATTTATAAGAAAAATTTAGGGAATTTTTATAAAATAATGAAAAATATAATTATTTTATGATATTAGTTAAATATACAATAAATAAATACCGTTGTTTAAAGCACATTTGAATCAAGAACGGAGCCATCTTCTATATGGTTTACATAAGTCATGTATGTGTGTGTGAATCATTCAACACAGGTGAATGCACTTTATATTCGTGATTGTTGATTATTACTACTGATGTGAAAAATGGCATCTCAGTAATAATGGAATTGTATTCACTAGTAAACGATCATTTACAAAGTGATAATTCAAATTAATTGTTTCATTAAGTAGAATATTTCAACAATGTAAGTAAAGATGATTAAACACATTTGTTTCATAGACGATCATTATCTTGTAAAAGGATACAATTCTTGTTTGCACGATCAATACCTAGCAATTTGTCACAACAAATTATTGTGATTGAAAAATAAAGAAAATGACCACGTTGTTTATGTTTGATATTTATATAATAAATTGTTTATTTAGATCACTTAATCAAAGATGCCTCGAAAATACATATCAAAAAATGTGAGAAGCCAATGGTCTTCAGAAGATCTCAAAGCAGCTGCCAAAGAAGTTTTAGATAAAAAATCATCACTTGGGAAAATTGCAGAAAAGTATAATATTTCTGCACGCACATTAAGAAGACGTATTGAAAAAAATAATTTAGAAAAAATGAAGTTAGGAAGAAGAAGTAGTTTAGGAGATGCAAATGAAACCAAACTTGTAAATTATATTAAAAAATTAGAATCCATTGGATACAGTCCTTTAACACGTGAAGAAGTTCGGATGCTGGCATTCGAATTTGTAATAAAAAACGGTATAGCTCACAGATTTAATATGGAAAAAAAGGAAGCTGGATATGATTGGTTAATGGCTTTTTTGAAGAGGCATCCTGAATTGTCAGTCTATCAAAATCAGACCACAAATAATAAAAGGAAAGGTAAAGTATCGACATTTTGTTTAAAAACAATTGAAAATTGAGTTATAATTTGATTAATGCTGTAGATAAACCTGGCAAAAAAAGTTCTATGGAAAATATAGAAATAAATGAAAATGAAACCAAACACATAATTAAAGAACAGGAGAATAACAAGTGAAGAAAATTTAAAAGGATTTCAATAATATTATCATATAAGCAACGGTTGTGGTATAGCCATATTATCAATAATTATCATATAATCTATCTGATATCTGTAATCTCTAACTGATAAAGTATAATTATCATGCTATCTTGTAAATTAATATTATTTCTCATATCTGAATTATTTGTAAACTATGCAATTCATATTTAAATGTGCACTTTTCGTATTTTGGCGCACTTTGGCATTTTTTGTTTTCTTTATTGTCCGCTAGACGGCGACAATAAGTTAGGTTAGGAATTTTGCAAAATACTAGCAGTAGTTTAAAAAATTATTTATGTAAATAGTTTTGATTTTTGAATAATTAAAGAACAAAAATTAGTTATTTATTTAGTTTTTTTAATATTGTTTCGTAATTCGAAAGTGAAATAATTTCTCAGTTCGAATAAATGTAAAGTACGAGCTACTTTTAAATGTCACTGATGTGGTTCTAGAAGTCATCATTTCCTAAACGGTAAAATTCTTGAATGGATGAAAGTAATTACGATTCTCCAGACGAATATACAAGCCTGATGGACGCTCACGTTGCTGAAACACGAACTGATAGCTCAGGATTAGTTACTGAGAGGAGAAAAAGACGTTTAAAGACGCCTAATGATGAGGTAGCTTGAAAAATTTTGTATCTTTGTCTTCTACAACAATAATAACAATATTAAATATTATGTATGAAATGACAGTTAGAAAACAGAAAAGACCAATTTTTTTATTTAGGCGTATTGTTTATTCATACAGGCTGGAGCCGTTCCAGAAGTTCGTATTGAAACACCCAGTTCATCTTCATTTTTTGGTGGCTCAAGAGGACTACCTCAACATCCAGGTCATGGTGATGACCCAGGTGATGGTTATCAGCAAGAAGAGATAGAAGAAGGATTAAAATATGGCGCAACACATGTTATTAAACTATTTGTCCCTGTATCATTGTGTATGTTAGTAGTTGTTGCGACAATCAGTTCTATCAGCTTCTATACGACAACAGGAGAATATTTGGTATATACACCATTCCATGATGAGAAAGCTGATACGAGCACGAAAGTTTTACAAGCATTTGCTAATTCGTTGATCCTTATGGGATTAATTGCAACCATGACAGTGGTACTTATAGTACTGTATAAATACAGATTTTATAAAGTTATTCATGCATGGTTAATAATGAGCTCACTGATGTTACTCTTCATTTTTGCGACACTTTATTGTGAAGAAGTACTAAAAGCTTACAACATTCCAATGGACTTTATTACATTGTCGATAGTTTTATGGAATTTTGGAGTCGTTGGAATGATTTGTATTCATTGGCAAGGTCCACTAGCTCTTCAACAAGCATATCTAATTTTCGTAGCTGCATTGATGGCACTTGTGTTCATTAAATATTTACCTGAATGGACTGTCTGGGTGGTTTTAGCGATAATAAGTATTTGGGGTAAGATATTTTTATTTTTGGAATCGATTACAATAATCAGGGATTGCGATCATTTTGGATTTATTTATAAATATTTACTTTTTAGATCTTATTGCTGTATTAACCCCCAATGGCCCTCTGAGAGTTCTAGTAGAAATGGCTCAAGAACGAAACGAAGCAATTTTTCCAGCACTAATTTATTCATCAACAATTATGTATAGTTTCACTCTTTCCTATGCTGGCTATGTTGGTGCTGCGACAATGGCGAATGAAGAATCAGCAGCAGGCGATGGAGTACGATCTCCAGCTCGTATTCATACACAGAATGCTACACTTCCTGATGGTGAAGAAACAGGATTTACTAGAGACTGGGTTGATAATCATGGTAATTTAGATTAACTGTTCTATTTATTCACTAAAAATAATTATATTATATATAAAATTGACAATTATCGACATTAATTGTGCATTGTAGAAGAAAGAAGTGGAAGAAGAGTAGATGAAATGCGTGAAACTGGTGAAACAACAAGAATTCAATCGCGTGTACAACCACCCCAAAGTAACCAACCATCACAAGGATCACTTTCAGAAGAGGAACGTGGAGTAAAATTAGGTCTTGGTGACTTTATTTTCTACAGTGTTTTAGTAGGAAAAGCATCAAGCTACGGTGATTGGAATACAACTCTTGCGTGTTTTGTAGCCATTCTCATTGGTTTATGTCTTACCCTTCTTCTTCTTGCAATTTTCCAAAAAGCTTTACCTGCACTTCCAATTTCAATAACATTCGGTTTGATATTTTACTTCGCAACACGTGTTATAGTAACACCATTTGCTGATAGTTTGGCTAGTGAACAAGTATTTATTTAGTTATAATTTACATAATGAGAAAGACTTACAAGAATAATACAATTAAATTAGACTTACACAAAAGACTTTTATGACTTATATAGTAAAATAATAAATTGTGTAAAAAAAAGTTTAAATTTCATTAATAATACTTAATAATAATAAACAACTAATTATCTTCATATTGCACTGATTAATTATTATATATCCACTAATCAATTTGAAGATATAGTTTACACCATTAATATAAGTAATTTGTTAAATTACTATTTTTATTTACAGAATTTTAGGTTAAATATAAAAAAGCAACTAAGTGAGCACATTTTCGATCTGGTTTGAAATATGAGGTAAAATTTATGTTGATAAATGCATTATGTTTAAAAATAGACATTTAACAACATTGTTAGCGCCGTTATAAAACGCTTGGACTGTTAGACACTTAGGGGATCTATCGAGTCCGTTTGCACAGCCATGGGAATAATTACAATAGCATACTTGGTACTTTAAATTCACATTTCTAATGATTTTACTACAAACATTTGCTAGTATTAATAAGAAGACGACGATTTAGGCAAGATCAAACGACTGATCAAAAATATCCTCAAAATTCACCCAAAATTAAACCTTTTCTCATCATTGTTATTATTTGAGATACAGTATCATTTAATTGGTCATTCTTTTATCTTTTATAATTATTATACTGCTATTTATTTTCTACATTTCGTGTCCATCGCAACATTATTAAGGCTTTAAGTAATATTTTAATTAAATATATTTGTTTCCGAAATATTTTACATAACAATGGTATGATTTTGTTCTAAAGGTTGAAAAATTATCTTCAATTTAATTGAATATAGAGGGTTTTAGTGTATTTTTTTATAGATTCTTTTATGAATATCATATGGTCAGATATATGAAGGTCATTTATTCTAATATATTTCAGTCATAGTGTAAAAAGCTAATATCTAATGACCCAAAAATATCGCATTATCTTAGTCATTTCTTTCCGAATATATGTATATCAGGTCAATAGAGATTATTCTCCTTTTATTTTTAACATTATTAATTCAACTAATCATCTATGCAACTATTTAATGTGATTTTGTCGCTTATAACTTGTGTAAATACTGATACTTTTTAAAGCGATTATGCAGGATTGATATACAATATTGTATTTGAGACCTTGCTTTTTTTTAAAATTAAAAAATTGTGCCCATCAATTAAATGTACTTTTCATTTAATTGAAAGATATTTCGTTAATACTTGAGTAATCGAAAAATAGCTTTTTGAGATTTCTCGTGAGTTTTTTGTAAAAGTAAAATATCTTTTAACAACATAGCTATTAACTCATAGTATAACAATAAATAACAAGATAATGATAAAATATTTATGGAAAACTGTCATTAATTAAAATAAACAAAATTATTAATAGAGAGCTTACAACTTAGCTCTTAGCTAATAATTTTTTTTAGCTAGTTCCATATTTACTGCTTTCAAATGTCCCTCGTCGAAAGAAAACGCTAAATTCTACAAGAGATTGTTTATCAATGTTATTTAAATTGCTCCGAAATTTATAAAGTGACTCACAACTTGGTATTTCCGAGCAAACCTCTATCAGCCTTCGTAAATACTCTTCTAGTCGTTTTCTTCGTTCTCGTGCTACAACTTCGGATTTTGCAAAAACTTTTTTAGGAGGAAAACGAATTGCAGAGACCTGTAATATGAGAGGTCGTTTAATTATCAAGTTGTAAACATTTAAATCCAATTTATGAGCTTTAAATTTAAATTAAATGAGGTAAACAACTAACCTTGCCATTATATTTTTGCCGCATGGAACTATAAAGTTCATGGAATCTCCTGTAACGACGTAGTAAAGTCCAGCTATCATCTTGAGCTACGATCCGGACTTCATATTCATAATGGCTAGACTTGCCTGCTCCTCGAATAACATATGAAGGTATGCTAACTATCATATTAATTACACTGTCTGGCCTACTATCACTAGCGATTAAAGAAGGTAAGGACCGTGTAATAGATAAAGAATAAGGACTTCCTAGACGATCCCCACGATTTAAACTCTATAAATAAAAGGAAATAATTATTGAATATTTTACTTTTTACTTTTTTCAAATGTAAATAGAGCATGGAAATATGTAGAAACTTACAGTAAGATATACAGAAGAGTAACCTCGAGTTGGTAGTAGCTTTGGAGTGACTGAATGACTGGTAGACTGTTCATCTGTTTGATCGCTCAATGCATTTCTATCAGATTCTTGTAATCTACTGTGTACTGATAAAAGAGGTGTTGGTTTGCTGAAAGAAGATCCATTAGAGTTCCAATTACTATCATCTTCCGATCCAGTTTCAACAGAATCAACCGGTGGATCCATCATTGCTATCTTGGAAGCACCTTTTTTCAATTTATAATGCTGATCTCTTCTCATCAACCAAATCTCCAATTCAATCTGTTGCTTTTGAAGATCTTGGAGAACTATAATTTGTCGATTTAGGTCATCTCTAGATGGAGTATTAGCATCTAAACATTTCATCACTAACATTTTCTGTTCAGCTATTTTTTGGTTCAGTCTTTTCATCTCTTGATTTTCTTGCATTCGATATTCTTTGTCATTGGCTGTTTGAGATTCTATTTGTTTATCAGTAATAAATACATCTTTTTCTTCTTCTAAACTTGAACAACTACATTTTCCAACAGCTTTATCACTTGAATTTTCTTTTTTCTCTTCAATTGATGAAGTCACATTACTGTTAATTTCTGAGTTTGAATTAATGTTTTTAGAATTAGTTTCAACTTCAGTCTTTTCACTAGGGATTTGAGTTTCATGTTCATTACCCACTTCTGTCTCTATCTTACCATTCTTTTCAATTGTTTCATTCAATATAACATCAGGATTCTCTTCAGTAGTATTTACTTCAGGGAAAAACGATCGCAACTCTGGGGAATTTGCAGCTGCTGTATGAAAAGTCTCTGTGGTATCACCAGAACTTGGTAAATCTGAAGGTAATAAACTAAGAGCCGAAGCTATTCTCAATTTCCTATTGCAGGGATCTTGAGTGGACTTTAAATCACGACTTGAAAATATATCACTACTACTACTCGATCGCCCTGGAGATGCTGGGAGCGCTCGTTTTAAATTTAATGTCAAGCTCTGTTTACGTTTTAGAATATCTTGAAGTTGTTCTTGGCTTCTTTTCGCAAGTTGTAATCTTTGACCTTCAAACTGTTTAAATAAATGCTAATGTAGATTCAATGATTTAAATCAATAAAAATTAATGATTTATGTTCTTACCTCAAAATTTAACATTTGCTTTTGCTTATCTGCCATCTCTAGCAGTTCCACTTCCATTTTATCTACTCTTGATTGATGTTCATTTAACGATTTTACTTTATTTTGTAATTCTGACTCTAAAGCAGCCAATTCTTTTTTCTGAAATAAATGATATCATATTACATAAATAATTATAATCTCAATAAAATGTCTACGGGTTTCAGCATGAAATACTTACGTGATGATTAACAAACTCTTTAACTGCTTCCAATGACTTCTGATCATTTAAACTGGACCATGACTCAGGCAAACTGCAATCACTCACTGTATCATCAGTCTGAAAAATAAAATATGCAATCATAGATTTTAATAGATACAATTTTTATCAATCTAAAAATGAGTTAAGTAATACTTGATAATATTTACAAATTTTATTAAATTTTAAACAAGATTTTAACTAAAAAATCTCCATGGTGATTGAATAGATTCGTAGACTGACTCTTACCTTAGTACAATTGTGTTGGCGTTTCTGCAAATGATCGTGATTGTTTATGAATTCTTCATACTGATGGTGTTTGGTCTGTAGAGTGGTTCGTAGAGAGGCCACTTCCCTATACAAATTTTCTACCTAGCCACACATACACACCGTAGCGTTAACAAAATATAACGTATAAAATTATAAATAACAACGCTCTTCGACAGTTAAAATCAACAAAATAATAGAAAAAAATTATTAAAGAATGCACTGTCTTTTAAATAATTAAATAAACTTATAAATAAATAAATAACAAAAGATATAAAATAAGAACAATACTTTATAACTTATACTTATATGGAGAATAATATAAATAATACTTGGATAAAATCGAATAGTAGGAATTCGTGCGTTTGTCTTTACTGAGGGGATAATTGAACTTTGAAAATATCTTACCTGCTGTAATAATGCGATAAATAATTTCAAATCCAACTTTCAGATGAAGAAATACAAAAAAATACAAAAAACCAAACTAACTACTATTTTCCCAACAAAATATACGAAAGTCTGGGTTTGTTAATTGAAGGTTGATATAAAAAAATTAGTAAATAAATTTAGTTATGGGAATACAAACGCGTAAGATATACATAAATCATATTAATAACATTAACACATATACGAGCAAAATAAATATTAATTTGTAGAATACTTATAAAGGCCAATATTTGTAAGAAAAATTTATTAATCAACAATAGAGTATATAACAACACTTTCCTTCTCTTTCTCTCTTCTCGCATAACAAACCCATCAATATTCAATAGATCAATTTAATTTCGTTACCTAATTTATATACATATCCAATAACTTTGTACAACTTGTATCTACAATAAATAGATCATTCCACGATTTGGACATTTTAATAGTCCGGCAAAATCTTCCATAAATAATACTAGCACGTTTTGAGTATTTAATCAGGCACAAAAAAAATCTCATTTGCTCATCAATTCATTGTCGAAAATAAATGCATACTCGTTGTCTCTTATTATCAATTCATTCAATGTTTATATTCATTAAAGTCATTATGTCGTTAATTAAGATTAAAGGGCTTTCAATTATTGCTCGTTATTAATTGTGATAATCATCATAATTCCTAAGTCCCGCATAGGAATTAAGTAGTTAAATATATTAATCTCCTGTAAGTGTAATCGTGTCGTTAAGTATTACAGTCATGAGATACTTTTTTGTTCGTATCCACTGTCACATATCCAAAGGACAAACATGCGAGTAGATGATGATGTTGCCGGATAAACAGATGAGGACACCGATTGCGACGAGAGCCAAGTAAAATTGGTATTTTATCGATATTACAACTAAATCCGGAGACGGCGAATCCAAGTCACTTACTTGTGTCATCTCGTCGCGACGTTCTTGTTCCAATATACGTCGTCTAGAACGTAGTTCACGTTGTCGTGTTTCCAAAGCAGCTATAGCATCAGCCCACTCTTTCCATTGTGCTCCCCATTCTCTTTCCAGTTCTCTTTGTGCACCTTCCAAAGCTTCACGTCTTGCAGCCCATCTTTCTTCACGTTCTTCTTGTTCTTTCTGTAATAATAATCATCATGAATATTAACAAGAACATTACGTACTCATCTATTTGAATAATTTTTCCGATTCTCTAAGAGACAAATTAATTTATTCTATCAGAATATCTAACTCTCTCTTTTATCATAAACTAGTTGTAATAAAATTGAACTTGTAAAAAAATATCATCAAGTTTTATTTCAATTTTATCAATGATCATTTAGATATTTATAAAATCATTGAGTTTTAATATTTTTCCTTCAATAATCGGAAATATTTTCTCAGTGAAATTTTTGATAAGAATAAATTCTCTATATTTAAAAATTCTTTATAGGCCAGTAGAAATCATCAGTAATTAATCTAAAATATTTCACATAATTAAATTGAATTTATTAATTATTTAAATTTAAACAGTAACAAGGAACAACTCTTGCTCTTATTTTTTCTGAGAACATTAACAGCCAATTTCTCAGAAGAGTTAAGTTATAAGAGTCTTTTCAAATGATTTACTTGTTTCTTTCTTCTCTAGAATCTCTAATAAATGGATTCAATCTAGACTTTAATAATAAGTTGAAATTTACCTTAAAGTCTTCTTTCTCTTTAATTAAAGCTGCTTTTTGTTGTTCCAGTTCTCCTAAAGCTCGAATATCTTCACTAGAATTCAGTAAATTATCACTTGAAGATGAAGCATGAAGATCAGAGACACTCCAACTGAGTAAAGACAATCGAGATAAATTGACTACAGCTGATTGAAGATTTCCATTGCCTGTTCCGCCTTCTTTCCTCAGTTTAGCGGCTTCTGCTGGATCATTATACCTGAACATATTATTTCTACCAAGTAAAATAATACAACCCTGCGACAGTCTCGTTGGTTTATCTATTTGAACCATGTTGATCCAACAGTATGATGATAGAGGATGAAGGGTAGCAACTCCGCTATTTAGTTCTATTGTACAATGTTCAGGTTCAACGTCTGCACCCGTCAGAACAATGTCCTGAATTGTTTTCGCTTCCTCAGTCCCCACAAATGTTTTCCCCTCTTTTAAATGATAAAGAATTACTCCAGTACTTAATAGATTATCATCTATGCCTACAAGGTGTGGCATCTCTGAATCTAAAACTACACCAACTCCACTTTTTCTTAATCCTAATGCTCGTTGTTCTTGAAGTATTTTTTGTGTTTCTCGCCACTTTTCCGTCCATTCTTCTGTAAGAACTTTTTCTTGTTCCTGTTTTTCATGAATCTGAGCTAAAAGCTCTTTTTGTTGTGGGGGCCTTTCAATGCTCTGTAACAAAGCAAATGTAATTAATGATAATTGTAGCATTACAATTAATTAAACTTGTTAACTATGATCAATCAAATTAATTCACTCATTAATATAAGAAACTTTACAATAAATACAAAAATATAATAGACATTTTTAATGTAAAATGATAAGGTTTTAAAAATACTTGCCATATCTTTGCCAATCATTGACTTCAACTTGAGAATTTCTTCTCTTAATTCTCTAATAAGCTTGACATTTGGATCTTCGTTGATAGTAGGTTTATTTATGATATTCTTGGCTCTATTAGCATATCTAAGCGTGCTCAATGTTTCTCCATAGTTACAATCAGCAGGACTTATTGCAGCTATCATTATCGTTTTAGAATTACCACCTAAAGAGTCTTTCAGTAACCAAGTCAGTACACTGTCACGATATGGAATAAAAACACTTCTTCTTGAACAATTGGAGTCCGTAGAAGAACTGATGTCTGCTAATGCTGATATCACAGATCCTAGAGTTACAAGAGATTTATTGATGTGTGCACCTTCCTTTAATCTTTGACCAGTTGCTCCCGTTGCATTTGCGCGTTCACTATCAATCAAGAAATATTAATTACATCTGCTTTTCTAATTAATTCTTATTTGCTTTATCATTTGATGAATTGAATATAACTAATTGTTACCTGCCAGCTAAATCGACAAGATGAACCTTGGAAACAGTTTCTGAAGGCATATTACCCTCCGAAAATCCTGCTTGGACAAATGTTATTGTAAATATTGCGTGACTTCTGCTGCTCACATCATTCATATTTGTGCTAGCAGTCGTCCTGTGCGTGTTTCCTCTAACCATACATTCCTAGAAATGATTTTAACAATCAATCTTAAGATCTGAATCTATTAAATTTGGTCCTTATTAATAAATTACCTGTATATCTGAATAATCGTAAACAAGGTGATTTGATAAGTCTTGAACGTAAGGACCTCTTTTAGGATGTTCTCTAACTTTAAGAGAATGTGATTGCGTTTGATCCGGCCTCAATAAATCCCTAACTCGTTCATTGTGGATCTCTAGAAAGGAAACCTCAGTTCTATATGATGCCCCGGTCTCTTTTCCAGCCGCCATTCTTGCAAATAAAGTCTTGCAGATTCTTGGAATAAGGCCTTGAGACTCCTAAGAGTGATGTAATTTCATAGTTATAGATTCTCTTTGTACTTTTGTGTAAAGAAATGACTTCAAAGTGATGATTAAACATTTACCGGTGAGCCCATCATCGTGAAGGTTTTACCAGAACCTGTTTGACCGTAGGCGAAGACGCAGGCGTTGTAACCTGCAAAGGCACTTTCTATGACGTCTGTTCCGAGATCGGAGAAGACCTGAAACGGAAAGGATATGTCAGTACAATCCTTTTACAGTGCTATTCTCTCTAACACATCATGATTATGATGCTTAGCTTGAACGTAGTGCGGAAATGAGCCTTATAACGAATTCACTCTTTCATCGCTGAGAAACCGTAATCTCCTGCACGTGTCTTTATATCTCCGCCGCAATACCTTTCAATCGGCCTCGATAATGATTGCCAAAAATTATTGCCAACTAACTCATTTTTAATTTCATCTAGCGTATTATAAAAACGAAACACGTAACAGTTCAATTGTCAGGATATCATGGTGTTTAAGCTTACAAATAGTTGGCAAACAAGTGACTTTTTTTACGCACTTAATTAATTCTAAAGAATTTAAAATAAAACAATGATTCTTGAATAGCAAGATTTCTATTTAGAATACTTTACAATAAATTAAATGATATTAATTGCTTTAATAACTGATGTAGACGTATTTAGTTCAAGAAACTTACATTCTAACTACTTCTAAAAATGGTATTATTTGATTTTATACAATTTCTAAAAACATTTCCTACTAAAATAAGAATTAAGTAACTAATGTTTTATATAAGTAAACTTTTCTTTGAAAAAATGCTTTTATTAATTTGTTATTTAATTTAAAAATAATTACTATGAACTAGTAAATTAATTACCTCTTCCTGAGAAGCATAATTTTCATCAGAAGGTTCAAAAGACCAGTAGGAATGATCAAATGTGAAATCTTTGTATTTCTCTTTATCACTGCAGCTTCCAGGACTCTGAAAATTGCCCCGAAAATAAACAAATTTATCATAATTCATTCTTATCTATATTTACAAATGGTTAAACAATTCAACAGAAATAGCTGAGTGATGCCAATGCCTTAGTGATGTGGTAATCGAACGAGACAAACTCTTTCCACAGCTTGTTTTCATGACTTTCTCTACTGATCCAGCAATGTTGACAGCTGATCAGTGCTCCACATACACTTTTCTATCTTTTACTGTTACAATTCATTCTTTGCAATTACCTATCCTATTAATTAATCTTGAAATCTCAGCTACTAGTGTTAATGTTAATTATATCAATAAATCTCTGAAATGTGTAAATGTCATAATTTATTTTTCATTCAGGCAATTAATTTTTAGAAAAATCAAACTTTTAATTTTACAATTGAAAATCATTTGTTGAGTTATCTGTTTCTGTCAGATCTTTAACATTCTGAACAAGCTTAAGATAACTTTACCGTTATTAATATCTTCTAGGTTGAGCTATAACGAAAGACTAGTTCTGAAACAAGCACGTGATCAAATAAAAAGTGATTGTCTTTTTGGTAATTTATAACTAGAAGCATTTCACTTAGATCGTTTCAAGGAAGTGGATCATTCTCGTACTATTTTACGGTCGATTTAAGCTGGTGAAATTTTAGTAAGATAAATTATTGATCAATTGGCATAAAAAAGGTAAAGATAGTGTATAGACAACAGCCACCTGCTGATTCTGTTGATACATTCTGGCGTTATTATTATATATTTTGTTATTTTATGATTTACTCCCATTCACTTGGTAGTATTACCTTGCTACTGAATATCCGTGTCCTTTTGCCATCCATTTGAACGATCAGTTTCGCGTTCATGGCCAGCTCCCTAGAATAAAAACACATTGTGTTTATCAAGATATGTATTATGTGAATATCATTTAAATATACTCCAAGTGTCTGAAAAATGGTGTCATTGACAATTCGATGACGTTTAAATTATTCTTAGATTCAATAAATTTCGTGTGAATGTTCAACCTGTCTATTTTCAATGTTCATTAGAGCTTTTTGCAAGAATAGACCGGATGTTATCCAATCGTCTGCCTACTTCAAAAGTTTATTTTACAAAAAAAAAAGAAATAAAAACAACAGGAAACGAGTACAATTTGACTAGTCATTATTAGCTGACGTCTTAAAAATGAATTATTAGAATGAGTCTGTGATGAAAAAACTTGTATACATTTCACTACAATCTCTTTCATGTCAAAAAAATTTATTACGAAAAAGATAGCTTCAAAATCATTAAAAATGCATTATCATTCTCTTAAATGAGTGATTGTTATGGGAAAAGATTTATTTCTTTGTCATTTGTTTCAAATTTTGGAGAAATTTTCAGGTTAATTTTTCAACTGTTACCAACAGAATGATTTATAAATTATTAACAATCAACTTTAATAGAAGTATATTTAAAAATAATTGAAAAATATATAGAATTTACTTTATTATATTAATAAGAGAAGTATTAATGATGATTTGTTAATTATTTCTTAAACAATAAAGAAATTAACCAAAAATAAATAAAACCGAAAAAAAGGTAAGAAAAAAGTAATGACAGGTGGGAACATGAAAAAAGTAGTAGGAGAATAATAACTGCATAGGATAATAAAATGACTATACAAAGTCAATAAAAATAAAAAACACAACTCTCAACTAGATTTTTGCACATGGAGTTATAAACACAGCACAAAGGACACACACCTTTTATTAAAGGGCCTGACTCTTACGGCCACCTTTACTGAAGCCATGACTGATAATAACACAAACGCATGGACTCTTTGTCACAGTAACTCACGCAGTTCAAGGTGACCGCGTATGGTGTTAAATTCTTCCCTTCGTTTGCTTGTTAGTTATGCGATGCAACGCGTTTTGGTGTCAGAATGAAGACACATTGTTGTTTCTATTGCACGAGGTAGAGCGTAAATTTGACCGCACTCAACCATCATCATCCTCGTTTCGTGCTCGTGACAAACGAACAACTGTGAGAAGCCAAGACGTAAAGAGATTCAACACGCTGACCGTCGTGACAACTACGTCTGTTAATACTTGGATATACTAACAATTCAGCGGGGCAGGAGGAAGGAGATTGTTTGAAAGAGGAGGAGAAAAAAAAAATAAATAAAAACACGGGCGCATGCGTCGACTACAGTCGGTAATGTCGAATTCCATGATGTGGAGGCGGTTTAATTATTTTTGCAAATACTTGTATGGTCATTTTATCTTTGATTATGAGTATATACTCTCAGCTATTATGACAATTATAGAGTCTTGAATGTAGAGCATGAGAAATAATAGCTTGGATACCTAGTATCAGTCCATACTTAGATACTGAACATTACTGTTAATGACTTAATTACTCCATATGTAGATGTATCAAATGCTTGAAAATCTTAGCATAAACTTCATCTTACAGCGGATAATATTTCTGGTAATTGATCTAATAATTTGTTTGAAATATTGAAACCATTTTAATTAATCGGTAAGCAAGTTGATTAATTAAACCTTTTTTGGAGTTGTGATAATTTTTTTTTTAATTTTTTCTAGATTTCAATGGTGGATTCATTTTTATGTATAGTTTTGATCACTTTATGAATTTTAAAAAGGTTTCAACTCCTTTTCATTCAGTAAATAAATGAATGAAACTTTTACCTTAGCTTGATACTTGAATGTATCAAGTTGATACCATCAACATAACATTTTGAAGTGAGCCTTACTGTTTACGGTAGTCTATAAATAATTTTGCTCCTTTATAAAGAAAATATAAAGTTCAAGAACCGTTAGGGACAAGAAGGGAATAAAATAAAGTGCTTCCACTTTTGAGATAAGATGATCAAGTATAAACTTCCGGTTTGTTGATACTCGAAATAACTGTTTTTTCTGTTATAAACGTAAATATATTGGTATGAATGTTGGAGATGTTTGAAAGGAAACTAATTAGATCCACATAATAGCTATGTTGTGATATGAGGAATGTGAAATTGATAAAAGTCAAAAAGATGAGGAATAAAACAGGTTCTCTGGACAATTGCTAGGAGGGATTTCAATGAAATATAATAAACCCACCCACATAGAAGTAATCTACATTTTTATCATGTATATGTATATTCTCACAGATACTTCTGTACTACTTTTATACTTACATACCACACTTTGTGGTTTTGTAAAAAAATTATTGCAAACATTCATTGTCAATTGAATTCTATTTATAATGAGATCAATTTCCAATTGTTATAGAAATAATATTATATATACTTTTATCAAGTGTAATAAAAGTAAAAAAAAAGTTCAATCAATTTATATAATATAAGAACTCAGTAAAAAGATGGAGAAAAAGAAGAAAATGAGTTCTGCATCTGGCGTAACAGTTTCTTTAACGGATGGATCTATTACAGAGGTTTAAGACCTTTTCTGAAGACTGAAATTAGAGATATATTTCAATGGAAAAGAGAAACAAAGACTTGGAAAGATCTATGTCTAGTCATTCTCCCTTCATATCATTTTGTCTAATAAGATTCTATTGATCAGTATTGATAAATATCATTTTTATTTGTTCACGAGTGATGTAAGTATTTTTTTTGTGTAATCTAAAATGTTATCTATTATGTAAATGAAATAATGTTATATTTTTCAGAGTCAACACTAATATTTAGTGACATGCAACATACGGAGCAAGTATAGAGCTGAACCTTGAAGAAAAATTTAAGTAGGAATTAAATATACGATATTCACGATGCGTTATGATTCATATCCAATAGCAGACTGACGTAATCGTGTTTGCACTACCAATCAGAAACAAGGGGGAATCGATATAACGGCAATTAAATTTTCTAATCACGAACTTGCATTTCCTCAACATCTCAATGAATACGATAAGAAGTCGTTGGAAGAACATTCAGATATGTAGGATTATTTTCATATTTTTAAATGTGTTGTCATCAAAAACATGACAGCCAAGCCTCTTTTGCAAGATATATTAATAATTAGCAGTAATAATGCATATTCATCAAGCAACTCATGAAGATATAGCCAATTTTGAGAGGTAAATTTATCACTAAAAGAGTTGGTACAAAACATAATAAATATTTTAAGAATTCCATGTGTCAGTATAAGAAAATCTGATACACGTCATGTTCTGCGTCATCAACATCACTCATCAATGTATAAAAAAGTTGTGAAACCGTCAATTAGCAAAAAACAATGTGTAAAAGTAGAAGAAAAATAAAAAACTCCTGTAACATCGAGCAGTTGGTCGAGACGATAACGCCACCTATATCAAAAGTGACTTTTGGTTACTCGGTCGGTAAGGATAGATTTCTACAATCAATCGGATAGTTAAATAATAATAATAGTGGGGGTGATTGTTCTACAATGTAGAGGGGAGCATCAGCCGCACACGGGACGCCTTCAGCGTCAGTCGGATGGCAACTATCAGGCATGTGGGTTGTTAGTATTTCTGTTCTCTTGCCTCGCGCGATCTTTTGAACCCTCACGTCATAACAGAATTAGTGTACAACTTGTTTTAATTATTTATTTATTTTATTATTTTTTACAATTGTCAAGTTATCACTTATATTATCAATATGCATGTGATGCTCAACATGTGATGTGAGTGATTGCTCTCTGAAATTCATTGTCAATCAAGTGCGTTTACTAGCGAACTTCAACCCCAAAGTGCCACGGGGTTGGGATATACATGCCCTGAGACGGTGATCACGCGCACGCCATGGTTGCTAAGCATTTTACACAGGGTAAGAACACGAAACCCATCATTTTTTTTGCAATAAAATAATCATAATTACGCGTATTATCCAATAAATTACCTCTTTCGTGTAGTAATAATATTTATCTGAATCATTTTATGCAGATTCAAATATTGATAAACGACAGTTTTCATTTTACATAATTCCAAGGACTATTCGATTTTGTTAAAGTGTAGGAAGCCTTAAAAACAGTTATCACCACCTTTTTATATTAGAAAATCCTTTTACTCCATTTCTTGGCATTTCGTTTGTTGAGGGTGGAGTTTTTCTGACAATTCATGAAATCTTCTTATTTATGTGAAGCAGTAAAATAGGTTTATCTTATATCGAAGTGCTGTCAAATTATTTATTGAAATCCATTTTTATTTGTAATGTTTAGAATTGTTTACACATAAACAAGTTATCGATCGAAGGGCAGTATAATTCGCGGGATTATTATAACTGGTTTGTTATGTATACAATGAAGCAAGTACATAGTTGATAGTTGATGAGCTTTTTTCAAGTTTTCCTATATGTTTCAATGCTCATTCTGGTCTTTTTTGTTTACGTGAATTCTATCTATAGAACATTGAGACATTTCTTCTGAATCCTAACGTGCCTCTAATGGCGTTGACCTTTTACAAGAGCAGACAAGAAGAGTGCAAGTGAGCGTGCCCAGACTTTGGCAACTCGAAGGACGTTTTTTCGAGGATCCCCTTGGGAAAAAACAGAAAAAGAAAGATATTCAGCTGTTTTTATTTCTCATATCGTATGGGAGTGCAAAGCTTGTGACGGTTCGATCGTCTATGTATATAATGACAATATAAAAAGTATTTAGTTGGCAATAGAGTGACATAATGTGAAAACATAAATTTCAATTTTTAGAAGTTATAACAGCTATATTAGTTTGAGTTATAACTTCACTTAGATAAAATGAATATTCCCGGAATTTTTATGAAGTTTTTAATTCCTCTACGGAATATTGATTCAATTCAGAATTTTTTTTTCAGTAGATCAGTATCATAGATGCTTTCATATTTTTTGGAGCAATTTTTTATTTGTTACTCTTGAAACAATGGATAACCGACATGGTTTATTGTTAAAATATTCTTTTATTCCTTACCAGAAATGTTTGAGTTTAAAAATGCTATTTATAATTTCGCTATCATTTTTCTATAGAAGATGAATTATTCAACTTTACATCATCAGATAATTGATGTAAATTTTTTTTTTCTCTACTTTTTTTTAAATCATACTGTTAGTTTTATTACCAATTTCCATTTTTTGTTCATCTTAACATCAATTCAATATAACAAAGACCATGGAGTAAATAATTGAAGTGGTTTTTTATCAAATCTATTTCTGATAAGTCAAGCGATTTTTCCACAGTCCACTTTATCATTCTCGTTTCCCTATAAAATAACACTATTTAATTGTACTCTTTATCATATAAAAAGTATGTATAAGAAACGATAAAAATATGTCAGTGTACCTCTTTTTTACTTTTGAAGTCTACGCTCCAGTTTTACATTCACACAGTGAGTTATACAAATAACTTTAATAATGTTGAGCTCTGCTTTGATAAAGGGTGTATATTTATCAAAACACCACACGATAACTGTGCTCTTTTTATTTATTTTTTTTGCTTTTTCGTTTGTCCTTCTTGCTTCCTCTGAATATAAATGGAACACAAAGACAGCAGAAGTATTCGGCAGGAAGTTATTAAGTCCATGATCCAAGTTCCTCAAATGTCGCAGATATTTGTTGTGATATGACTATTAATCATACAAGTTACCTTGACTTAAATGACTCAGGAGAAAGAAAAGTTTTGTCGTCATTTTAATGATCAGTTTATAGACAGCTTGTCAAACGTCAGACCGAACACGTGGAGCTAAAAATATAATATTTGCATTCGAAAATCAAAATAAAAGGTAATGAAGATAATAAGAAGTGTGAAGGATAGAAAAAAAACACCTTTTTAAAGAACTTATTTACATTATAGACGGTTCAATGGTTTTTTGATGTTATTTTTAGAACAAAATTCAATGTTACCAAATAATTTTGAATAGAATTACAAATATTTCTATCAAACTATTTAAATTTTTATTATTTTGTAATTTATTTGTAACTATAACTCCAACTTGCTCGTTGATTAATAAATATTTTTAATAACAGTTGGATATTTAATATCAGCAATCCTTCAACGACTAAATTTTTTCTAAAAAATGATGAATTATTATATCACAAATCTAATAAATTTCCCCTTGTCCATTTTTTCGCTTCCATGAATTGATCCAAAAGGTCATAAGCTAAGATATTAGGATATTTTGAAGTCTATTACTTTCATTTTTCTCGGAATAAATAAATAAGCAATATTTTTGATTTGAATCAGTAAAATAAAATATATAAATGATTTTCTGATTAGAATTTTCTAAGATACTCCAAGTGTATTTATCAAACGAACTCTCGAGAAAAATTATCTAAAAAGAATGTACCTTTTTCACCTTTAGAATAATTCATCTGAAATCGAGACTATTAGATTTTAGCTTCAAGTGAATTTATGAAGAACATTTGTTTGTATTGTTCAAAGTCAATTAATTAAGGCGAATGAGAATTGGAGTTGTATTTAGAATTTGGTACTAAGCATACTCCTTTGTAATCACAGTATTAATAAGTTCTCTGAGATTCTACGCAATTAATTCGCCTTTTTTTTATAAATTGTGTTATTTGTAATGACATTAAATTTTATCACTAATTCTCTACAACAAATGGAAACATTTCATGTTTTGAAATAACGTTCTTCAGCATTAATTTTCTTGTCAATGGCAAATTTTTTTTGTCAAAGGTCTAGTTAGATTTTTTTTATGACGAGTGCGAGCTCATTCTTTTTATTCTGACATTTATGACTGGAGATCAAGGTAGATATTTACCTTATTTCCAATGAATGAATTTTTGTAATCTTTTTTTTTTCTCTGTCTCTAATGATTGAACTTGAGAATAAAAAATTCATTGTTCATTCAGAGAACTGGTACATTGTTGTGTGGATTATTTTATTGATTGAAAAAGAATTACATCCTTAATTTGATGAATTGATTTATTAGAAAGATGGGATGCAGTGAGTCATCTGGAATCCTGGGCTTCCCTAATGGAATCCTCTTTTTTCAATATGAGTCACTAGGTATTAATGCAATAGATATTTTATTTAATTCTTCGAAACTATCACTTTACACCTCATTCCGTTATAATTTCTTTAATATATTTTATGTATTTTAATGTCTATGTAGAGATCCTTAAACTTTCTACTCATGCCTTAAAAATAAATCATCCGCTAATGCCTCTGATTCACAGCTAGAAAATGTTGAAAGCCACTATCAAAAATTCGTCGTAACTCTGCTCATAATTCCTGTAATTAGTTACAGCTTTCAAAATATTTCAAATATTACTCATAATAAATGAGCACTACTTACTCTAGTGCTTTGAACTTTTATCATATACCGATATTTTACTACAAGTTGTTTGACTTGAATTTTTTTTTTCTATTCCTTGTAAAGTTTGTTTTTAGATAAACTTCCAGACGAAAAGTTTAAAATAAATTGCATAGCTTTAAAGATGATATTAAAGGTGTATTTACATTCAAGATCCAGTTGATTTATTTTAATTTTCCAGAAAATTTTCTCGACATCTTTTTCCTATTTGATGTTTATTAAAAAGTAAAAAGTACATTTTTTTTTACATCGTTAGTTTTGATAGAAAATTGTCGGTTTTCAGGATTTTCTGTAAATAACGAGAGATGTGACGATTCATATTAATTACTCACAGTTTGTTTCAGAGACGATAAATTTTATTCAGATGAAAACAGGATTTTCATGAGAATTTGTTTATAAATTTATTTATAGTTTTTTATGAGTTAATTAATTATGAATTTGATGGATGCGTTTTTGTTTGTGAATTTAATAATTTATCACAAAACGTTAAAAGTTTTCTCTTCAATTCCATTTGTTTTAATTATTTAATGTCCAATATTGGAAAAGAGAATAAATAATTCAAGAGATTAACTGAAAGGTAAAAAATTTTTAGTATGAAAAACAACTTTGCATTATTAATAATATAAACGTTATTTTTCTCTTTTAATGATCGAGTTCATTGCAATTGTTAATGAGTTTAATTGAATTATCTAATTTCAATTCTATTGTATAATCAAGTAATTGATTAATGCACGAAATAGTTTTAGAAACAAATAGTTCATTAAACTCTACACATACTTTTCAATCGATAGAATAAGAATATTTTCAATTGTTAATAATGATTTTTAGTATATTAGAATTTTTTTTAACAAATTTAATATGAGTTCATCACACAGATTTTTAAATTAAAAAAAATATTTCCAGTGTTGTTTATTTTATTTCAAATAAAGCTTAATTGCAGTTTCTGTTGTTTACATCCGTCCAACTTAAACAAAAGATTCAAAAAAAGGACGTTTTGTTCTAAATATTTTGTCAGAGAAATATTGACGATTTCAATTTAAAAAACTTTTTGGAGTATAAATTTTTTGATAATATTTCAGATAATTAAAAACTGTTTCATCCATTTTTTTTTTCAATTAAAACTCTATCGTTCAATATCTACAAAATATTTATGTTCTTCAATAAATTATTGTTGATGAGATTATTATCAACGTTAATAAATTATTCAATAATTTAATTACATAATCTATCTTTTCTCTCCAAAAAAAAAATACATAATACAACCCAGTGTTTCCAAATATTTTACCATCATAATTTATTTCCGTTTTGGGAGGAATTTACATAGTTAATTGATACAGTTACCTCAAAATTAATTGTCTGGAAACACGTGGGCTAATTGTGAGAAGAAAACGAGGGTGAAACAAGCATCTCGTCACTACATTACGGCTCTCTTTCTCTTACACTCTTAGAATGCATGCAAATGTATATACTTGAGTCTTCAATGAATAGAAATATGAAGAAAGAAAAATGTAGAGTAACAGAGATAGAATGCAACTACTTGAAGCCACACGTCGTGGTTTGCCCTAAAGGGTTGCGGGACTTGCTGCAGCAACTGACGTGCAGATTTGATTGTCTTGTATTCTTCCATTTTCTCCAGCAGTCGAATTATGTTGCTAGAAGCTTTCTGTCTAAACCAACCCCCTTCTTCTATTATTCGGACCCTTCTCAAATTTGACTGCACTTCAAGTCAGACGTGTAAATGCCACTGATATACCAACGTATTCAATACGAATTGCATTGCAACAGCTTTTCATTTATTCTTAGAGGCATTGTTTACTCAGTTCGGAGTTTAAAGTCATTCGTATTCATTAAAAATTTTGACTTGATAGCATTTATTATTTATTACACTTCTAAAACACTTATTCCCTTGAATTAAATTAGTGAAAATCAATTCAATTTTTTTCTTTCATCTTTTAAAATCAATTTATGTTGCCAAGTTTAATGTTACAAATATAAGTAAATTTCAATAAAATAATTATGAATGTACTGTTAAAATATATCGTAATATTTCTAAAAAAATTCTATTATCATTTTACTGTAAAAGTGAAAGTGAAACTAAACTTTCAAAATATTTTTTAAATGGACCTGAACTTCATAGTAAATGTCGAGAAGGGTGCTAATAGCTTACTTAATTGACATAATCTATATCAATTTATTAATGCATTGTTATAACCATACGTGACTAATTTTTTTATTATTTTTTTTTTACCAAGTCATTATTCTAAACTACCTTTTCAATTTAAACATTTCTCAATATTAGACTTTTTCTTTTCATTATTATCAATTCATTTTTTTCTTATAAATTTTTAAAACAACAAATTAAAATACATGATGTATAGGATTAAATACATTCTTTTTTTTTTTAAATCTTCTTTTGTTCTTTTATTTTAAAACCATGTTACTTCATTGCATCTATTGTCAGTAAAGATTAATAATTCAAACAAGAACCCCTAGAATGTTTATATAATGTTAGTGATGATAAAATTATTTTTTTTTTCGATACTCATAGCAAATGGTGATTTAGTGGACTATTTTGACCACCAAATACTTGACAGCTGGTCAGAGTAAAATTGGTAAGATGAGGTATAGAAGGTTTTTTTTAAATTTGTCTACCTGCGTTGTTCCTTTCACGTTTGTTAAAGTAAGAACACACCTGTGCTTGCTGGAAATTTTACTCAAATCTCCATATTATCCATGTCGAGTTCGAGAAATAACGATTCGATCGATTGTACCCTGCGTCTCTTCAAGTGGAGAGTGCTACATTATTCCCAGAAATCATGATTCAGGAAAAGTATTGAATTCCTGCTTCTATATTATATCCCTTACCTTTCTATTTATACTGCCAAACAAACTTGTATGTATGCTATTTCTATGCGTCCATCATATGGCTAAACATTGTTTACATATCCTCTTGATCAGATTTATGTTGTGAAATTGCGCATAATGATTTTGATTATAGAGCTTGATATTAAGTAAGATATTTGATAATTTATTCATAATATTTTCCTTTGCAATTAAAAGTTACACGTATTGCTGATTTAATTACACCTGAATATTAAACACCATGTATTAAGAATTTTGATTGTTTTTAAATCTAATGAACGAAAAACAATCAATAATAAGTTGAAAAATATTAGAAATGTTGAAGATTTTTAATGTATGCTTAAAAAAAAGTGTACAGGGAAGAAAGTTTCATTAATTTCAATTAAGTTTTTAGTGAACTAAAAATTGTTATTGACAGATGGTGAGATTGGAAAAGTAAGAAATAAATGATAAATTTAAATGGAAATATTAAAGATTAATTTTTACATGGTATTCCGGTTGTTATATTATATTTATTTAATTTATTCTTTAAAAAAATTACTTATTTTTAATCACGATAAAAAAAATTCCGATTGAAACAGTGAAATGGAGTAATTAAAAAAAATTAGTCACGTACGAATACAACAAAATGTTGACTAATGAATGTAGATTACATTAGTTACAAAACATCATTAACACCCTTTTTGACATTTATTATCGTGTCTAGATCGATTTAAAACCTATTAAAAGTTTAATTACACTCTTACATTTATATAGATTAATAAAAGAATCAATTTACATTTATAAGTAAATTAAATCATGATTAATAATTTAGAAAAAAAATTTTTTAATTTAAAAATAGTTGTTATTTAGATAAAAATAATAATCCTTGTCTCAAGAGTATCTTGACATATTTTTATTTAATATTCTTATCACATTTTTTTACTCCTTTTCAATTTTTTACTACGGTGTAACTCTTCAATAGCTATATACTAGTGAATGCCATTGTTTTCTAACATCCTCAATATTAACATAAAAAATATTCTTCAATGGAACATCTTATTAAAATAAAAACAAAATATACTTTTGTATTTAAAATCATTTAAAATGGAGTTTGCTTTAAAAAATTTGATATTTCATTGTAATTTTTTTCTCAAATAGTTTGTAATTAATTTGTCAACGAGAAATCGAGATGTCATTACAACCTTCACTTGAAAAAAATTTTTTCAATTTATGTTATTAACGTATCGCCCGAAGCCATCACTTTGTCAATTTTCCAATGGCCAAATGTACCTTCTTTTATCTTTTATCTTTTCCATTTGTCGTTCTTCATTAATTTCATCTTTATTTTCCTTTCCATTTTGTCAAACGAAATTGATCAATAGTAAAAAACTTTTCAAGATATTACTGTATTTTTCTCACATAAAAAAAAATTATTTTATTCAACGAAATAAGTATAATACGTATTTAAATAAAATGTAGTTAAAGTTTTCAGCAAGTTTAATGCAAACTCTGCAGTGTCATGGTAAAGAATTTCATTCCTTGAATAGCACATACCGTGAGAAACGAATAAGTGAATAAAAAATATTCGTGAGAAGTTCTTTAGTATTCATATAATCATGTAAGATCGTAATAAAAATATATTAACGAATAAGTGTGATGCTTAAAAAAAATTATACTTTACGCATTCCTCTTGTTAGACATCATGTAAAATGATTCATTGATTTATTTTTTCAAAATCATACAATCTTAATTACTTAAATACTGAAAATAAATCGCGAAAATCTGCAGAACATGACCTTGAAGTTATGCCATAGCAGCTGTTGAGCGAAAGCAGGTGCATGGAGACTTTTCAGTTGCACCTGCGTACGATTCAATCCATATCCTTTGTCCAAAACTTAATTTTTGTGTGCTTATAGTGACACTTTTTCTAAAAATATGTCTCTTGTTACAGGCTCCAGTCCGGAGTCCGGTGTTCCGGACATGACAGTCATCAGTGACATCGACGAGACGGGCATTAACCGTAACCTTCAGGTCCGGTACAGCAGGGATCAGATATACGTATCCTTTTTAAACAACGTTTATTCATTAGGGTAAATAGACGAATAGATAGACAGTACAGACACAAGGTGGTATAAATAACTCATTCTCTTTCTTTTCTAATTTAAAAGCTTTTATCTTAAAACTAAAAAAACAAAAACATACAATTTATTTATTTCCTTTATTTTATCATGAAATTATTCATTTAAGGAAAAACATTTTTAATTTAATGACAAATTTCTTATTTAAAAAGAATTAATTAAAATCGTTAGCTTGTTTGCATTGAATAATTAATAATTTATTATAAAAATTTACTAACAGTGAAATTAATTAAATATTGAATTAGTGAAAAATAATTTATTCTGACGCAAATATTTTATTTGAATAAGTATTCATTAATTATTAATCATCTTTTTAAAATTCAATCATTTTTGCTTAACTGATTTTGCATTAAATAAGATAAATATTTATTTTAATTAATGAATTTTATCTGATCTTACAAAAATAATATTTTTTAATTGTAGTTCATAATCAAAAAAGACATTTTTAAAAATTTTATTGTATTAATGTACTACAAGAAATATGATTTTTCACAGAAAGAATGATTTTATTTCGTTGACAAAGATGAAATATATTACCGTTTTTATTTCAACTCACTCCGACACTTTAATTCGTTCAGATTTATGACTATTTTTATAGCTTGCTAAATACATAAAATTACGATATACCAAGTCCAAAAAAATTATCTCTTACGGATTAGGTTGATGAAACTGGCATGTTTGAAATAAATGTCCTATATCGAATCCAACCAAATTCGTCCCAGTCAAACCTTCTGTCTTTAAAGAGGGTAAACTTCACAGTTGTTGGTCACTTTGGAGCTATTGACACTTACCACAGAGGATCTATTGGTTAGAATAAGAAGGAAAGAAGCCAATTTTAAGTGCCAACTGTTGTACGAATCACCCAAAGTATTTTCCATACTAATTCTTTAGTTTTCATCAAAAAAAATAAATGAAATATTTTTCACAAAAATGAAAAAATTATTCAAATTAAAAATAATTAATTCTAGAAATTAATTAATCGTAAAAAGCATAAAAAATGAAAAGAATAAATCAACTGAATATACAAAAAATTCAAATAAATAAAGAATATTCATCCTGGTCTGGAGCCAAATAGCCTAGATTGAATATCTCTACTCAGTTCATTGCCTTGAAAAAAAAAATAACTTCACTTTAAATACTTCTATCTGCAAAATCTTTAATAAAAACTAGAACATCAGCAGCAACTCAACGATTTTAATGACGGATGTATTTAATATTTGTTTTAATCAATGATGATTATTGATGAGATTCAATTTCAGTGTGATTATAATACAAACATACATCGAACATTATAAGCAGGCAGCAATAATTGTATGAGGTCTACAATTGATGAAATTGAATAATTCAGTAATAGAACAATGAGTCTCAACAGAAGAATAACAATTATATAAAAATGATGGAGATTGTTGTCACTCAGCCGGGATAAAATAATTGAATAAGTAAATAAAAAAGTAAAATAAAGAAGGTGGTAAGGGAAATGAGAGCGGCCACAGAAAGCGGTATAAATTTTGCAGGGGTGGGGCATCATTTCTCCCGGGGTTGGCGTGGGTTGCCATGCCAACAAACCCTGTGTAGTCAGCTGGTTCAACCATCCCAGCAGAGGTCCGTTCATTCATCTGCAGAGGATTGAATTTATCAACCGACCAAGAGGCCGAGTGAAAAGTTGATGACGGAAGACTATGTTGGAGCCCAAGAGATGACATTTTCTTCATCTTCTGTTACGGATTATGCAATTTATGGCGATAATACCATGAGAAAATTGAGTTTTCAACTATTATAACTAGTCTTAGATTATCATCGGAAGCTTTAAGCAGCAGATTAGCACAGCTGATTTAGTTTAGTTGGCTTGCTCATCAACTTCCTGGTTGCGATTACTCCATTTAGTGCAATCAACTGCAGCAATTGACGCTTCTGAAGGTTCTTCCTATTGTCTAAATTAACGGATTTATACTTGAATCAAATAAAAACCAAAAAATACTTTTATTACTGAACTTGAATTCAAATATAACATCAAGTCTTGGACTATCTGCTAGATCTTATCTAAGTAATTATGGTAATAAACGATGATAAGAATCCAAATGTTAAGAATGAATGTTGATGGAGATGCTTTGTATGCTTAACTTCGCTTAAAAATTTCATTGTATCTTTTTTATGAAGACATCATGTGAAGTATAATGATAAACAAGATGATAAGTCTCAGCTTTAAGATGTAACGTATTTGACGAGAATGAAGTGAAGGTGAAGAAGATGCTGAAGTCAACAATGAACCAAGCTGAAGAAATGTTGAAGAACATCTTCACGAATATCTTAAGAGTGTCTTAGAAGACCTACTTGTAACATTTGCACGTGTATATTTTTTTTAAATTTCCAGGCCTCTCTTGTTCAAGTTTTTATAACATTCTTATGTAATCAACGTCAAGATTCACGTTACTTTAATCATGAGAAATTTCCGGTGAATATTGAAAAGAATTAACCTATATTTTTTTCATTAATTGACATTTTTTTTTTACTAGAAATCATTTTGATCATTATTTATTTACTAAAAAAATTTGTTCCTAGAAACTATCCTGTTTTTTTTAGTGTGTTGGTAAACTTTTTGATGTGTTGTGCTACTTTTTTTTATTTTAATTACATGTTTTTTCTTCTCTTAGATTTTTTACTTTTATAATTATTTGCTCATTTTTCTCAACACGACCCATTTCCTAGGGCAAACTGAAGAAAGATAAGCTGTGGGCTCAATTCGAGTCAAGCTAATGGTGTTATTGTAGATGAGTTATATTCTTATTTAGCAAATATCACGTTTTAGGTAATTTATAATAAGTTAAAATTACAATTTAATAAAATACAAAATCTAATCTTATTATTTTCTGAAAATTTTTTAAAATTTGAAACAAAACAAAATGACTTCTCTAGATGACAAAAAATTTCATTAATAAATCAAAATTCAAGTTTCCAAAGAAAAGTTTGTGCCATTTTTCAAAAAAGGTCATCTGACCCCCAGAGTCCACCTTGCTTCAGTATGCCCCAATTTAATCTCTGCAAGTTCTACTTTATTTTCCTCTAGGCATTACTGGTTTATTTACATCTTGAAATTTATCTTCTTTTTTTTATATGCTTTTCACATCAATAACATATTAAACACAAATAAAAAAATTTATTTCTCTTGATCATGTTCAAATTGATATCAAGAGCAGGATTATTATAAATCAATCAATCCCCAGTGCGCTCTTGCAAATTGGTAAGATTGAATTATCGTTCTCTCGTTTATATTTCCGCGATACTATCGAGATAACTGGAGAGTATGAATTTAAGTGATACTGACAATCTGATTTAGTTAGTTAGGATTAAATCCATGAGGATAATCTTAAAGCTGCAATGTCTAAGTACACATGAAATATTTAAAAAAGAGAATGCAAACATAGTCGACGTCATCGAAAAGTGTGCTGTAAGTAGGACAGATGAACGATGAGGTGGACGATCCGGGACACTTTGAACCTTTGCAGATGAAGGGTGACTCTCGTGTGCTCTTATTAAGCCCTCTTGCAGCCCAGTGAGTGAACGAGTAGACTATAAGTAAAGCAAGATAGAAGAGTCATGAAGCAAAGCGCTCTTATCCAGCTTCAATTGGTTACACTGAGAAACCAGTGGATCGACCACTTTTTAGCTGTAAAGTAGAACAGAGTAGGTCAGAGTCTTCCCCAAAGGGATTGGCAACGAGCTCGAGAACCTATCCCATGTTTGTGAGCTGTCAATGTGCGGAAATGAGACCAGTCTAAAAGGGCGTTAAAGTGAGAAAACTTCTAGATAAGAAAGGTCAATATCAACTGAATATTTGGTTTAAGACTAGAACAGCTTTTAAGGCAAACTAAACATGTGGGATTAAATATGTTTTGTTTACATTTGTATTTTATTAGAAAGTGATCATTTCGTTTTATTATCCACAGGAAAAGTATTTTTTTGGAAAATTTACTAGTCATGATAAATTTGATTTCAACATAAAACTTCATTAATAATATTGAAAAATGCTGAATAATAAAAATCCAATATATTTTCTACTTTTTCTATGAAATTATAATAAAAAGTCTACAAAATAATGACCAGTTTATATTCAACATTAAAGTTGTTTGATCATCTTCCAACTTTTGGCTTTAAATTTTCATTACAACCCAAAAAAGGTAATTCCCCAACATCACCTAACATATTAACACATAATTATTGGTTTTAAAAAATCCATCGCAGAATACTCCAACACTCTAATTACGGGGGATTAATTCCACAACAATGTTTAAATTACCTCTCAGATCTCGAGTGACTTGATGGTAGTCCAGACATGGATTTTCTACAATTGATCATGTCCTTGGGGAAGTTATAGTAACAAAAAGGGTATCGTTGGAGGTTTAATGTAGAAAAAGTATCAAGAGAAAGCCAAAAATGAATGTAAATACCCTGCTGTCAAGTTGAAGAAGTATGAAATGAAAGGGGTGGCTTCTCCAGTAACTTTAGGCAGCAAATGGCCTCCAGTAGATTTGGACAATTCAGTTGGGTACATCCACGAAAAATGAGACTCTATTCGTGATCATAACCGAGATGGTGACGGTTATGGGTATATTACTCCCTTACTACAATACGCCAATGACTCATCATCCTGACTAGAGGGTTGGCACGGCTGGTGAAAGTGACGTCACACATACTAAAACGACTACATACAGAGTAAACTTGGTATATTATTATGCAAGGGGGAGCAGAAGTAAATGCTCAATTCTTATTTGTCAGGGTGTTCTACCATCCATCTCCCTGTATCTAAAAGTAACGAGGGAGGAAAGAACTGGGTTCCTTTCGACACAGTTTTTTCACTTCAATGAATTTGATTTTACAATTTTTTATTATTCTTTTCTATTCTAATTCTTACATTCAATTGAATTTTTATTGTTCACAGAGATTTTTAAATATTTTTTATATATTTTGCAAAGCTGGAAAAGCTTTTGAATTTATTCTTTGAAGATGTTATTTTCCTTAATTTAGAAATATTATTACCATGCAGACTTACACAGGGTCGATCCTTGTTGCAGTCAATCCTTACAAAGAAGTCGACTTTTATACTACGGTAAGACCATTAAAATTACTTTTTTATTAATGATATATATTTATAAACCCACTAATATAGTAATAATAGAAACGTTTTCTTTAAAATCTATTTACAATCAATTAAAAGGTTGATGTATGTTAGGTAATGATTCAAAATGCTTCATTATTTAATGTCAAAATTTAGATTGATTATTGAATATTTACTTACAATTACAGTTAGTTGGTAAGTTGATCAAAGAATCAATCCAACCTCATTACTAAAACATTAACCCAAAAAGTAATTCAATAAAAATTGAATAACTTATTCCAAGACGAAAATCCCTTTCTAATCTTTTGGGACCAAATTATAAGCATATCTCAATCTTCACACCTTTCTCGAATAGATGGAAATACCAACTCTCACTCTCTAAAATGCTAGCATTGATCCAAAACCAGATTTTGACAAGAAAATAGTAGGAATGGTTGTATTAATAATTAAATAGAAATTCTGACAAGAATCATAGCTATGGAATTATTAGATTCTAGACATTTCCAAGAAGGTACAAATAGAACTTGATTAGATTACATAAATAATAACAAGAAAGAAGAAATGATATATATTTTTTTCAAACGAATTAAAGGTTGAAAAGTAAAAATCTTAAAGTCTGTAATTTACTTGATTATTCAACATTATAAGCATGGAAGTAATCAAATGATTGGTGTCGGTATTAAAATAAAGATCCTGATAGTGAGAAAGATCAGTATTTATGGCGGCTTGGACTGAACGGAAGTACCTTTGTAGAATTGATAATGATGAACACCCAATGCGTGTGGCGCGTGTCGTGTTTTCTTCATCAAGTGTTTAACACATGACTGGGTTGTAAGTGTCTGTTGAATTTTATTCAAGCTCTACATCCGTTCATTAAGTTCTATGCAATCTTTAAGCATGTTTCTTTTCATCATAGATCCTGGTGGAGAACAAGATTTGATCATTGAAGAACATCTACTTTATCATCATGTATACGTGGATTAAAAAATCCAACAGAGCTGAAGAATGTTGCTTTTAAAGCTTTCAATTGAAAAGATGGTGAAGTTTAAGTTTCTAATGACGGTGATGGGATCGATAAACGCATCAAGAATATAAGGATGAACAAGAAAAATATGTATGTGATAATGATGAAGAAAGAGAAAAGAAGAAAAAAACAGAGGACAATAGACAGGACGCTTTTATCGTCCAAGCGCGTTTGCCATAAAAACAGGAAACGGAAGTGCCGATGAGCTTTTGAGACGATATATAGCACAGCTCTACGATTGCTTTGATGCAGCTTTCTAGGTCGAAGAAAATCTAAAGGTATATGGTTATCGCTTGTTCTCCCTTTTTTTAAAATTCTTTCTCTTCATATGAAGAAATAGACTTGAGCTGCATCAGTACGTGTGTTGGAAAATGTTGGCAGCTTTTACTAAATGTACTCCCCAAGTCTCAGGCGCTTTCTGATCCACCAGCCAAGTGGAGCTTCTAAACGAATCCGAAGTATATTAACCCTGGGGAAAATTCAAGAGTTACTCTGAGATATCATTTTATTCAACCATCTCACTTCTTTTCTTTATATTTTTTGTTATATCTCTACGATATTTATTTTATTTCTCTTTCATATCTACTCGCTGCTTATTTTATTTGTTATTATACGTACAGCTTTAAGGATTTGCTCTGACGGTTTCTTATTTAAAAAGTAATATAAACATGATTGAAAAATATCATTTATTTTAATTTTTAAAATGATAATAAGATATTTTTTATAAATTGTTGAGTGTGCTTTTACTCATTAAAAAAATTATTATTTTATTCTGAAATTGGAGGTGGTATTTATCAAATGAAATATTACTTAAACCATCCAGAGAGGAAATAGGAATTAAATAGACTTATAAACAAACACATGTACAGAAAAATTGATTTGAAATGAAGAAGTAATTAAATTGATTATCCGTTAATATTGAATACATGAATGATTTAATTAATATTTATTGAATTTTAAAAGATTTACTAAACTTTTTTCCCTTCATTACTTGATTAAAAAGGAAATTAAACGATGTAAACTGATAATAATGAGATTACATAATTCAATTTTCCATTAAATTATTATTTATTTTTAATCTCATAACGTACATTGACCTATTCAAATTTCTGTTCAACTTGCGTGCAAGAGAGTGTAAAAAAAAAGTGATTGAACAAGACGAGTGAGAACCCATTACACCGAACTTTGAACCTTGAAGATCTATTTAAAGGAAGACGCACCTTGATGTCAAGAAACATTGCATGTACGATCTGTGGTGTTTAGTTTCTTGACACGGCAACACCCTTTACTCTACCTATGACAGTGTTCCCAGCAAAAGTGAAAGTACTAGAGGAAAGTGTAACCTCGAGAGATTTGACCCTAGGGTCGTTACGGAAGAGGATCAAAGGATATGAAGCATCTTGACTTCAAAAGAAATATATGCTTTTATGATAATAGATATCTAGAACGTTCTTTATTTATAGTATATGGAATGAAAAATTAATCGTCCAACTGGCGCACCTTTAATCAAATAACAGAGTGATTGGAAAGTCAGGGAAATAAAAATAACTCGAGTGGAAAAGTAGTTCAATGATTAATTCATAAATGAAGGTGAGAAATACATGAGGAGGCCAAAAAACATGAATGTCATTGATGAAGAAAAGGGCAGTACGCAGAGAGGTGCACGCCCCTGCGTATTGATCCAGCCGAAGCGCACATTGGCTTCAAAGTTCCACCGTAGCAGCTCACTCTCTCACAGCCTTCATTTTATCCTTTCCTATTCACCAGGATATTTCATCATACTCGTATTTTTTATTACCCTGCTCTATTACTTAGGTGGTACCACCAGCAGTAAATTTCCTAGCTCGATAGATGAACGGAAACTCTACCACATCCTAACTCACTTCCTTCAGATAAAGTTGTGGGTAAACACGTACAGAAAATACCCAAGATTTTGCGCACTTGTGGAACCACACCTTTCCGTTGCCTCGACCCAGACCTTCATCACTACCGGAAATATATTAAAGTATTTTTACTCCCCCTGGGAGTCCTTACGTATATTCAAGACTCTTTTAAAGCCCTTGAAGGAAAAATTGCAATTGTAAAAGTCATCATTCTGGTTCTCACTAGCCCTTAACAACAATTCTCATGTCTTTTTTAGTTGAGTGCTTATAAGAATCTTGACACCATAAAGTCTTCGACATTGTTATGCATTGAAACATGAAGTCATCTTGCTAACAAAAGGGTCTTTGGGGTCATTTCTGGAACAGCTTTTCCAGTAATGAATGATTGATGATGAAGATGATTATGATGACCTAGTGAAGTCTAAATAAATCGTCATGACTCTTTTGATAGTTTCGTGACTATGACGACTATTTTCTACTCATTTAAACAAGCTACGATGTTGCAAATCAGTCTTCAGATGAGAGCTCCATCCCTAGTATGCTCAAAGGCGAGGGAAGATCCACTTATCCATTCCACTCATGCTATACGATCATCATGATGCTCTGGCGAGAATGAGGACGAGCTTTTAACATTATCTAGATCATCGAGATTTAATACCATACTTCTTACAGTATATCTGATCATGATGATATAGAAAACAGGCAAAAATAAAGATGTTAACATTATTTTTTTCTGAATTAAATACTTAATTACTTAGAAAATTGATTTGATATAGTTATCTTAGTTAATGAGATTACCTAAAAATTTGTCTATTTTAGGCTCACTTAGAAGTGAGCTAAAAATGCAATAGGGTAACTGAGTAAACCGAGAAACAATTAAAAATATCAATACAAGTGACTATCTCGGTCAGGTTTAAACTGGAGATTGTTGCCACGTTGGTTGCGGTTGACGTTGGGAGGGTGATCGTTATCTAAAGGTCACACCCAGAATTAAAAAAAAAAAAAAACTGGGTAAAAGCTCAAAGAATAAATGACGTGTGTAGCCATTAATAATCGATGTCACATGGTTGAAGATCAAAGGTATTTGTGATGTTATTCACAAAAAAGAATCATCTGACTGCAAATCAGGTCACATTACTTGGAATCGACATTCGATTTCTCAGTTATGATAAAAGGGTTGTATATTCCATAAGAATTTCTGGCTTTCGATGCTTTTAACCTAGTGCGATATTGAATGGCTGCAATTAAGCGGGTTAGTAAGGTCTCCTCTGGTGGAGGATGGTTTAATGAAGGGAATTCAACACTTGACACTTCCTTTCATAAGGAAAAAAAATAGGGAGAAAAGAGGGTTATATATGCTTGAAATAAATTGTTTTATGTTTATTTTTTCTTTTCTGGTTTTTAATCTGTTTGTTTTTCCTTTCAGGAACATGTACACCGTTATCATGGTCAGAAAATGGGTGCCTTGGAACCGCATGTGTTTGCACTAGCGGAAGCTGCTTATCGTTCACTTCAAGACAACGAGTGCAATCAATCATGTGTAATATCTGGAGAAAGTGGAGCTGGAAAGACTGAAACGACAAAATTTATTCTTCAGTATTTATGCTCAGTTACCAGTAATGTTGATACTTGGGTAGAACAACAAATTCTAGAGGCAAATACTATTTTAGAAGCCTTCGGTAATGCTAAGACTGTCCGTAATGACAACAGTTCTAGGTTCGGTAAATTCATGCAAGTTTGTTTTGACAGTAAATGGATGATAAAAGGTTGTATTATTCAAGATTATTTGCTCGAGCAGTCACGTATAACATTCCAAAGTCCTGGTGAACGAAACTATCACGTGTTTTATCAACTAGTTGAAGGCGGAACACGTGACAAAGAGTTTGCAGAGCAATACAAGTTGGAACCAGCAAGTACATACAAGTATTTGAATCAGTCTGGTTGCATTAAGATAGAAGGTATTTCTGAAGGAAAAAAATTGGATGCACTTAGGCTGGCTTTCAACGTACTCCAAGTACCAAGTGAAATGTGTGAAGGAATTTACAGGGTGCTATCAGCAATACTATGGCTTGGGAATCTTAACTTTTCGGATGTAGACGGCGAGAGGTGTGAATTGACGAAAGAGGATCTTGACATCGTTGGCAAAGTTGCGCCCTTGTTAGGACTCCAAGTCGAAGATCTCACTAGAGTAGTCTTAGTAAGGCAAATAAACGTACGAGGCAATATCACAGAAATCCCACTCAAGGTACAAGAGGCTAGAGAAAATAGGCATGCAATGGCCAAAGCATTGTACTCACGTACTTTTGCTTGGCTGATAAATCATATAAACAACTGTACTAATCCCGGTCAAGACAGTTCAAGATTTCTTGGTGTTCTTGACATATTTGGTTTTGAAAATTTCGCAGTCAACAGCTTTGAACAATTATGCATCAATTATACTAATGAAAAGCTTCATAAGTTTTTTAACCACTATGTATTTGCTATTGAACAAGAACTCTACCGCCAAGAAGAAATCCAATACTCTCATATTACGTTTACGGATAATACGTTATGTTTAGAGCTCATTGAAAAACCACCAAGATGTGTACTTAAATTACTCACAGAACAATGCCACATGCCAAAAGGTTCTGATTTAGCTTATTTAACGAATTTACATGCAGAATTTGAAACGCATCCATGCTATGTGAAGGGTGACGATCGTCGTAAATGGGAGACGGAGTTTGGAGTTAAACATTATGCTGGTTGCGTGACATATACTGTAGAGGGATTTGTTGATAAGAATAGGGACGTACAGCAAGACGTATTTTTCGATTTTATGTCAAGAAGTACCAACGAGTTTGTGCAGGAAATTACCGTATACCAAGACTTACTGGGTTGTACTGTTGCCCGAGCATCAGGAAGTACGACTACATTGTCACGAGGAACAACTAAAGGAAAGCCAACGCTTTGCGATTCATTCAGACATCAGTTACAAGCTTTGGTAGATGTTTTACAAGCGACTACACCCTGGTATGCTAGATGCATCAAACCAAATATGCAGAAAACTGCAAATCATTATGATGAAAAACTTGTATTAGATCAACTGAGGTATTTAGGAATGCTGGACATTATTAGAATACGTAAAGAAGGCTTTCCAGTGCATATGTGTTTTCATGACTTTGCTGCGAGATATCGGTGTCTCGTAAAAGGTCGTACCATGCTACCAAAGGACGATAAAGAAGCTACTCGGTGCTTAATACGTGCACAGGGAATACCTGAATCTGAATGGCAAATTGGTAAAACCAAAGTCTTCCTCAGAAGTTATGTGCATGAACCGCTTGAAGATGCTCGGAATAGAATGGTGACTAAAAATGCACTTATTATTCAAAAGATCTGGCGAGGATATGTGGTGAAGAAAGGTTAGCATTTCACACATTTGATTACGTAAATTTAAAAAATAGAGTTTCAATTTCATTGAAAGCTTTTCAATTATTTATGAGAACACATCATCATAGTTATTTATTCCATTTGAACATTCCTAGTGACTTTTATTTATACGTTTATTCATTTCATCGATTTAATTTTTAAATAAATTACCTTTGTAATTCAACTTATCAATTATTGCATAAGAAATTTGATAAATTAATTTATTCTATTCAGCACAATTTCCTATTAGTAATATATATTTTTTATTAAAAAAATATTTTAAAATAACATTAAACAATATTAATTATTTTTTTTAGAGTATCGAAAAGTAAGAGATGCAGCTCTAAAAGTCCAACATGCTTATCGTGGCTGGAAACTACGGATAATGTTTATCAGGAAACGTCGAGCAGCGATCGTCATTCAATCGCATCTTCGAGGAGTATTTGCTAGGGAAGTCGCAGCGGCTTTGAGAGAGATGCGTCGCGTAGATGAGGAGATGAGGAAACGTGAGCGAATGGAAGAAGAACGGAGACTAATGGAAGATAAAAAAGCTCTAGAAGATAGTCACAGGTATAAATTTTACTTTTATTCGTCTTTCTATGTGTATTAAATAAATCTCGGTAAAAATTGTCAATACTTATGTATAGTTAAGTAAGTAAGATTAAATGCTTGTTCCGTTTGTGCTTTATAGTGCACAGTACAATGGTATTGCTGGGATGGAGGCTGGGTAAGTTCTAAACACAACTTTGGAGCCCTTAAAGTGCGATGTTTGATTACACATACAATGCAGACCATTTTATTTTTTTATCAGATTTATGACATAACGAAATTTCTGTTTTATTTCAGCATGATTATGATTGAATTTTTATAATGCAAGTGGATTTATAAAATTCATTTTACTAATAAAAGAATCTTCTTGTTTTTACAGAAAAGCGCAAGAAGAAATTGCAGCATTATCTCAAATGGCTGAGCAATTAAATTCAAAAATGGCAACGACTGAACTGCAGTCAGTTGATCTAGATAATTTATTCTCATTTCTGTCGGACGTTCAATCGACCAAGAGTAATCAGATAATCGAAGAGATTGGCGAAAGGATGGATGAACTTGTAGAAGATCTAGATGCTGAATTAGAGAATGTATTACAGATGGAGATAGAGATGATTGCAAAGTCAGATTCGAAGATGGCAAACTTAAATTCACCAGATGGTAATCATCAACAGCGTAATGGATCAGCCAACACGGGAAAAATGGGTCAACCAAGTTTGCCAGAACCAACAGAACCACCTCCACCTCCACCACCTCCTTTACCTCATGCTACCACTAATGGAGATTCGACTACAGAAACTGGAGAACCAATTTATGAGTCTGTTCTACCAAGAGAAGAAAATGGCTTGAGTAGTCCTATCCTTGTTAACGGAAACTCTACACAAATGGTTAATGGTGACAGTTGTGGGTCACCACCGCCTATTCCTACAAGTAAGATCATCAAAGAGCCGCCGGTAGCGAGTCCACCTTCTCGTCCAGAATCAAGAAATTCAACAAATCACCATCCTCTAACGAATCATCATCATTTATCAATGAGCCAATCTGCCGGGCATGAACAGCTTACTGCTGCTCTACAGAATACACAGACTTCACAAAACCAACAACCAGTTGAACGTGAGCAGCGACGGAAGTTTAGGGTCGAAAGGAAACTTCTAGAGCTTGAAGAAAAGAAAGAACCAATCGAACAAGAAGTCACGTACCATGATATTGTTGAATTTGCTCAAAACTACTTCAACAGTCATGAGCGTTCTCCAGAAGGTACTATAATGGCTACGTTGACGAGGAAATCTCGGGGCAAGAGTATTGAGTTTGTACCAAAATACGAAATGGTCACATACTATAAAGGGTCTAGTATCCCCAATTCTCATATTCACATGTATGACCCAGATAATGTGAACCTTGCCTGTTCAGTGTTTAGAGACCTCTGCAAATATCTGCGAGGAGAAATGAAGTTAGAGCAAGAGATTGCAACTATTCAAACAATAATTGGTCATGGTATTGAACGTGAAGAGCTTCGTGATGAGATTTTGGTTCAGTGTATGCGCCAAGCTACCAATAATCCTAATGCAGAATGGGCAGAGCGAGTTTGGTTGTTATTATGTTTGGCCATAGTTGCATTCCAACCTAGTAAACTATTGTATAAATATTTTGTTTCATTTTTAAAGAAAAATCTTGCATTGGAAGGAAAACTCCGGCAGTATGTTCAGTGGTGCGTTGATAATTGTAAAAATACCAAAGTTTCTTGTAGACAATATCCACCGTCAACAGTAGAAATTGCTGCCATGAGAAGATTAGGAACTATTGTCTGTAGATTTTTCTTCTTGGATGGTAGAACAAAAGCTATCGATGTCCATCCTACCGATACAGCTGCAGATGCTGCTGCAAAATTAGCTGAAAAATTGGGTCTGCGATCTTTAGAGGGTTGGGCAATTTATCAAAGTCGTCCCGATGGTGAGGAACATGTACGAGCACACGATTATTTATACGATGTAATAGCTGCATGGGAAATGAAACAATGTAAACTAAACACATCTCAGTCGTCATTTTCAACACTTAGACGTGGAAACAACCAGACTCTTGGAAGTGGTGACAATCGTTTTGTTTTCAAACGGCGGCTCTTCCGTAACACTCGAGAATTATCACAGGATCCAGTTGAAGTAAACATGCTTTATGCTCAGGCTGTTTACAACGTCGTCAAGTGTGATGACTTCCCTATTTCTGAAAAGGTTGCACTTCAGTTAGCCGGATTGCAAGCTCAAGTAGCCTTGGGGGATCCTAAAGATAACGATCGTCTGGATTATTACAGTGAAGTTGACAGTTTTCTACCTTACCGTATAAGCCGCGCTCGTGGTGATGATGTTTGGGTGCCAATTATAGCTCAAGCACATAAACAATACGGCGCAGGACGATCTGAACTCACTGCTAAGGTTCTTTACCTTTCGTGCGTCATGCAATATCCGCTTTACGGTACAACCATGTTCAATGTCACTTATCGAGGCTATTGGTCATATGGAAATCAACTAATTCTCGGAATCAATTGCGATGGTTTAATGTTAATAAAACCAGAAGATAAATTTGTTCTTGCAGAATATCGATATCAAGATGTTGAAAGTATTATGCTCGATCCTAGTGATTCTTTTATTACTTTATCACTATTGAGACACAACCCAGATAGTTCTCATAAATGTTTTGTGTTCGAAACTCCTCAGAAGAATGAAATAGGAAGTTTGATAGTGAGTTACTGTCCTGCTCTAGCTGGTTGGATAACAGAAAACGAAGCTCCAGCGAAGAAAATCAAAGGAATCACAAATGAAGATCGCGTTCGGTTGTATCATAATTTAGTAAATTGTCGAAGAAATTTAGTAGATGCAGAAATTCTCAGAAAGCCACAAGATTCTGGCGGTGGATTCATTAGAAATACCCTTCGGCGGTTATCTAAGCATCGAATAGAGAAGTTACGACAGGAGCATGGTAGCAGTACAGATCCAGGAGAGACTTATAAAGGATTCCCACATGTTTATTGGGCTTTCAGTAGACAGATGATACCACAAAGTCTAACCAAATTACCAGATCCTGAAGAGCAAATAGCTCTAAGTGTCTTCCAGTTAATTTTAACTTACGCTGGATTAGGACAAAATGGAGATACGGTTCGTAGTGTTGAAGATGAACATGTAAACTTAATTCAAACAGTGATGGAACGGTGTATGCGTAAAGAAAACCTTTTAGGTGAATTATATATTCAATTGATAAAACAAACAACAGATCACCCAGATCCTAACAGCCGTGTCAACTTAAGACATTGGGCTTTGTTATCTCTTGCCTGTTCTGTCATTCTTCCTCCTCAGAAGATCATCAGAAAATACTTGATAGCTCACTTGAAACGCTGCGCTAGTGATTATGTTACTGAAGAAGGCAAATACGCAAGATTTGCTGAAAAATGTTTGTACAAGACACAAGGCACTAGAAGAAGACAATGGCCTCCTAGTCGAGAAGAAATAATGTGTACTATTAATAGAAGACCTATTTATGCCCGCTTTCATTTCATGGATGGTCAATACCATGCTGTGGAGTTTCATCCTTCAGCAACTGCAAGAGATGTCATGGAAATCATTAAAGCGAAAATTGGACTTGAAGAGTCTGCAATGGGTTATGCTATTTATGAAGTTCTTGGTGCTACTGAAAGATCTTTAGTTCCTGAGGAAAAAATTGCTGATGTGATGTCTAAATGGGAGAAATACAGAACAGCTAATGCAAGTCAACAAGGACAAGTACCACGAAAACATGGTCATCATCTATTTTTATTTAAGAAACATCTATTTCTTGATCAGTATATGAACCTTGATGATCCCGTCGAGAAAGAACTTTTGTATCATCAAGTGTTACATGATCTTCGTGCTGATCGATTCCCTATCACCGAAATGGAAGCAGTAAGTACACTTTCAGTTTATTATTAAATTTCGGTAGAATAATGCATATTTTTTAGTGGTAATATGCAAAATTATGTATTTGCTGACATTATAATTTTAAATATTGCTCGTGAAAAATCTGAAAATTTCATGTTTTCAAGAACGTTAGAACGATTTTGCATAATACCACTTAAGCTAGTGTATTATCATCATTTTTATGGATCTAGTCCAGTTACCTATATAGTGATCTCACAAGCCTTCTCTTAGCCTGAATTGACATGATAGCATCATGATATATCTATATCTTTCATCAATTTCAATCATACAAAAAATATAATAAAATTTAATAGTTGAATTTTTTGTTTTTGTCTAAAAATAGTCTATTTGAAATATACATTCAAAGTTTTTCTAATTATCAGGGTGAAAGTTGATGGTTCATCGTTTCAATAATCCTTGAGATTGATATAAATTACTTGTGAACAGATTAGTCAGATCCAAGTTAAAGGTAATGAATATAAATTGATGAATGGCTCAGAGGAATAAAATGACATTTACTGATTCATGTTTTATCGTCTTTAATATTTTCAGCAGGAACTTTTATAATTTTAAAAATATCTGATTCATTTATTTTCAGTGGAATTTATTTAAATGTTAATTTCGAATTGAAGAAAGCATAAAATAGAGCAGTCAATTAATTGTTTTATTTATTAATTATTAACTGAATTCTGTTTTTATTAAATATATCTAAAAATGTAAATCAAATAGTATTATCTATCGTTTGAACTAATTATTTTTCAATAGTGTTTTTATTGGAAAAATATTTTATTGATAAAACCAATCGAATATCAAACATTCAATAATATAAAGAGGATCTTATGGACTTCAGTCAGGGATAATAATATCTGATAAATTTTTGTATGTTTGCATTCAACATTTTTTTTCATTTCAACAGCTTCTTCTTTACCTATTTCATTTTATTGAAATCTTATAAAATCTCTTCATATTTTGATCCTTTACCAAAGATTGCAAAAATTTTTTCAATAGATATATTTAAATTCAAATCACCAACTATTCACTAGAAACGTTCTAGATTATAGATAAATTATATACATTTTCTTTCAATTACAGATAATGCTTACCGCCTTACAAGCACAAGTAGAACTTGGCGACTGTCAGGATTCTTTAAGTAATCAAGAATATCGTACAATTGCTAGTCACTGCCTACCATCTCGAATGGTACCAAGTTTTAATATTGAAGCTGTTATACAACATCACCAATCGCTTCGGGGAATGACACCTCCTGAAGCTAAGAAAGCTTTCCTTAATCTCATACAATCTTGGCCACTTCATAAAGCTACAATCTTTGATGTTATGCAGTCATTCACGTCCAATTGGCCAAGGGTTTTATGGTTAGCTGTTGATCAACAAGGGCTTCATCTTCTGGAACATCGATCAAGAAATGGATTATGTACTTATGAGTACAGTAGCATTTTGAGCTATAGCCCTGCGCTTAATTGTCTTATGATTATCACCGGAACGGATAAGAAGCAGAGTAAAGTTATCTTAACTACTTCACAGGTATATACTTCTTAGATATCTTTAAAAGAAAGACATTTACATATAAAATAAATGATTATAATTCACTAATCTAACATTATCTTTGTAGGCTTTCCAGATAGCTAATCTGATAAGAGAATATATGGAAGTTCTTCAAATACCTCCAGAAATTCCAAAACGGGAATCAACGATGATCCAGCAGTTGAATCAACCTCAGCCACCACCAATGAATGTAACAAATTCAACGAGTGGACGAAAATCTCGCCCAGCCTCGATGCTACATAGAGGTGCTCCCATAATTCATTCTCAAGCTAGTTAAAGATCATTTTGAGTCTTCTAAGATCAATCATTCTACTGTCCTTCATAAGCTTCATAAAATGCAAGCTTTACGCGTAAAATGTCATATGAATTAATGATCGAAAGTGCATTTATTAAATAAAATATAAGTACTCAAAATTTGAGTAAATTGTTTTTGTGAAAAATAAAATATCTACATGGCATTTAGCGTGTTGATGAGGATTATTAGAAATATTTTAACCAACGAGGCCTATCTGTAAAAGACAAATGTCAAGCGGTGAGAGTAGTATGGAAAACTAGCTTAGTTACATTTTTCTTCCAGTATTTATTGCAAGAATAAAAATATTGATAAATAAGTTAATAATTATTAATATAAATATCGTTACATTATAAATATAATATGAAGATGCAGTTATGCCATGCGTACTTGTCAAATATACTGCATCATAAATCGCACAAATGCGACATAAACTGCCATAGGATTTTATTCTTCACCGTAAAATATGGAACCAAAGGAAACACTGTTTTTTTGTATGCGTTATTATTCGAGTCATTTTTAGATGATAATAATGATGATGCTCACCATTGAGCATTTTTCCTATGACTATTATTATATTCTTTTTCCTAATATAAGTAAATATTTTTCAAGACTTTTGTCTCAACAAGCACCAGCAATGACTTGTCTATTGAATCATTGTACCATATCAACCAAACAGAATAAACAAGAAAAAAAATAAACATTTCTATCTGATAGTAAAAGAAAAAAATGAAAACATTAATTCGACATACTTATCTATGATGATAATTGTCACGGCATTGCCTAGAACGCTAGAATGATTGTACAGCTTTTAATCATGTCGCTCTTATAAGCGATTTGCAATGTTATTATTCACAATTGGAGCTTCGAGATGAATATATTCAATCGTTGCAATTATTATAAAGTCTCTACCATGCGAGTTATTGTGTAAATTTATTTGCATAAGCAGTCGTGACTTGTATGACTGTTGAGAGTTAGTTTTAATGCTGAGGAAATTGAAAATGAACTATTATAATATGAAAATTTGCTATTCGTTATTTCTGTTTCTCTATAGGACAATCTTATAATGTTTAGCTGATAAAAAAAATTATTGGCAACTGGTTTATTTGTAATGTAAAGCCATTTAGGTTGTGAGTTAAGATAAGCGTTGACTTGTCGACTGCAACGTCTTCTTGTAAGCCAGGTTGTGGAATGCCTCGCGATTGCGTCCAGACTCTATTAAATTTGAATTATTAATTTCATCAAAGAGAGTGTGTATATATCGATAATTAAATTAACCTTTGATGTATTTATTGATTGTAATTGATTGGTAATTACAGTAATGATCAAAGTCTAAAGAGTTTATACACTTCGGAGACTGGAATGTCTATGTTGTAAACTGCAAACAACCTATCATTTTTGCGATCAATATTATTATTATTAATAGTTTAGTCATGTTTGATCGTCACAATTTAAAATACATTAAAACGGTTGTAAAACTTTTTGAAATCATTGTTTATTTAGATTATTACTGTAATCACCAATTGAAGAATTTTTCTATACAAATAATCATTGACGAACAAATTTTCTTCTTTATTCATGAACTGTTTATTATACTAACTCATGACTTTTTATAAATTTTGACAAAAACTTTTGTAATCTTTTTACTTTTCTATTTATACGTTTTTTTAGATTATGGTAAAATGCAAAGTATGGTCGATTCGACGAGTGCAGAGACAGACTGTGATCCGTTTTCGGGTGTTCTTTGATCTTCATGAAAGATTTTTGATGAGTGAGAATATTCAATTGCTTGTGTATTAATGAAAGAATGAATGGATTTAATTAATGAAATATTATTAAATATAATTATGAATAAGTTGACTGTGTGTTTAAAATTGATACATGACAATTGATTCCTATTATACTGTTCTGTATACATACAGTAAAAATAATGGTGCGTAATTGGTGTATAAGTTGTTTGCGCCTCGTACGTACGTACATACGTAGCTTAGATTAAATAAATTATTGGTTGACAATGTTATTGAATTATATTTAAAACGAAATAAAATGATCTGTATATAAATGTATACATTATAACAAATATACGTACATAAAATATATCATATAAGTATGGTTAATTAAAAACAAATTTTGAAAAAAAAAACTAAAAAAATAATATTAAATATGTATACGATTTACATCAACGCATACATTTATGTTAATGTGCATTATCTAAATAAAGATAATATACTCTATAAATAAATAGAAAAATGTATTAACAATTTGGTATTTATAAAATTTTTTTAAACATTCCCGCCATTCTTAAATGTCGGCTATAATAGATCCTTTATTATCGACAGAAAATTCACTTTTCTCGAGAAAATCGTCAATTTTCCCTTCTCCACCGATTGAAAAGTTGTTACGTGTAAATATATACATACTCTCAAGAGAGTAAAGTACGCTCAGTTAAAGCGTAAAATTCAAGAAAGTAGCGCATGCGAGTATTTTTTAGTTTCCAACAGTTTTTAGATGACTGTGCATAAGGAAGTAACCATACATTCCTTTGAATTAATCAAGAGTTCATTCAGAACGCCTGGGTGATAAAAAAAAGTGTGTTAATGTGATATATTTAATTGCAATGAAGAATAGTGCCCACGTGCAACGAAGACGACGAAGACGTTGACGAACAATATAAATCCTTATCATGGCACCAACAAAACGTAGACCTTTGCATGCAAATTTGGGGATTGGTGCAACTGGAGGTAGCTTTAGATCAAGAAATATGAATTTCCGACCAGCTGCTAGGGTTCAAGAAGATCGAGGTGGCACAAAACCTACGACAACACCAAGCTCAATTGGTTTGGTATTAGTGACTATGCTACTCCATTTATGTAGAAAGTCTTTACTCTTCAACATAAGGCTCAAAGTTGCTATATATATAATATCAATTTTCACTATTTCTTTAATAGCAGATTTTATGCCGATACCAAAAACATATTTTGCACGATCTGACAATGTTTTTAATCGTTATTTTGTGAAATGGGGTTGGGGATGGCTGCTAACTGTGACAATTCCCTGGGTAGCTTTAACAGCACATACTATAGGATGCGGTCGTCGATCTATTCTTGTAAAACATCTACTCAGGCTAGTTATAGCAACATTTGCCTGGTTTGTATGGGTTAAAACCTTCAACTTTATAGAAACTCACCATGGAAGATGTTTAAATACTAGAGATCCAGAGTTACAGACTAAAGTGAAATGTTTACAAGCAGGCAAATTTTGGAATGGACTTGATATTTCCGGTCACACATTTATTTTAGTTTATTCAAACTTGATTTTAGCTGAAGAAGGTTCTTCTCTTATTGGTTGGGAAGGAATCAAAGACTGGATCATGAGAGAAGAACACTCTAGATCATTATCAGAAGTTGATGCTAATCCATTGAGAAACTTATCCAATGATGATTTAGAAATTCTTAAGAAAGCTCACAAAATACTTACTCCATACTTGAGAGGATTGTTTGTTGTTATGACACTTCAGCAAATGCTTTGGGATGTGATGTTAGCATCTACATTACTCTATTATCACATTATGGTTGAGAAGTTTATTGGAGGAATAATAGCTATTTTAACTTGGTATGTGACTTATCGTTGGTGGTATAAAATGTCATTAGCAGGAATAATGGCACCTGGTGAAGGATTGTTTAAATACAATGAAATGAAAGAACAGCAAAATATTAATGCAGCAAGAACTCGAAGAAATACCTTGAATGGATCTACTCCAAAATTCATGGGAATGCCAATACGAACGCAACAACCTGATGTTGATGAATCTAAAAATTCAAAACCAGACACACAAGTGTCTACATAACAAATATTATAAAATGAACACGAATTTTTGAATGGTGTTGGATACTAATTAATTTTACGTAATTAAATTTCCTATATTCTTTTTATACAGTGATTTATCATTGTTATTATCATTATAACAAATGATTATAACCATAAATATCTTGAACGGAATGTTTGCCTGACCACGACAATTCTTTGCTCACTCTCCTACTTTCATGATTAAATGTAAAATCATTTTTGCTACAATTATTACATATTTGTATTTTATAACAAAATCAAATAGAGAGAATGAAATTATATATTCATTAACTACGTTTGTATAATTTTAAAGAGAGTTTGTGTGATTGAGCAAAAAAGTTAAATAAGTACAAATATAATTTATTACTTAGAGTATCTAAATAAATAATATATAATATATTGATTATTTATTATATAAATTTGTATAAGAATGGGACTATTATAATAAAAAACCTTGATAAAAATTAAAAATCTGAATTTATACTTTTATTTATCTTGTATTCAAATAATACTTGGTATAACTATAAATATTCTTACACTTAATATTAAAGTATGCACACTTACAATAAAATAAACATTTACATTAATTCCTCTAGTTATTATGCATAAAATCATTCAAAATTCGTTTTCATCAAGTCATCGAACATTCTCACTTTTAAATTGACTTTTGAACCTTGATAAAGTAAAACTTAATATTCATTTATCTATATCTACATAAATCGATGCGATTAGTTGGAAAAAAATTACATCTAACGATCATTAAAAATCGCTTAAAAGTACATTAGAAATAAAAATGATAGCTTCAAAATTTGAATAAAGTTAGAAATTCAAATAATTATCTAAATTTTCAGGTAGATTTAAAGAGGTATGTATAGTAAATGTGAACTTTTAATTAATATGATTCACTGGAAGTGAAATTTAATGTCGTTGTACAAAACATACAATGATTCCTATCATTCAAACTTCAAACACTCATACTATTTGAAATATATAATCATTAAAAATGTAATTATATATGTATAGTTTTTAATTTTAACTGTAACTAAAAATTGTCCAATTGTTTTCGATAGAAATAATAATCATTTTTATAATTAATTATGTATCGAACTATTGAATATGATATACAGGTACTTCACGATATATATTTATACCATTTATCTTTGATTTTTCCATTGAATAGACTCAAAAATTGCAGATATACTAAAAACTTATATAAAAATTATTTATTTTTAATCGTTGTTTACGATTTTATATTGATAGAAGTAATCATTTATTGGTGTCAGTTCTTATGCCATGTGAATAACGGTTATGATAGTAGTACTACATCAAGTATTACTGCGAATTTTGGCTTTCTGTTTGAGTGTAAAATTGCTCTCCAAACCATTCTCTATGCATTTCCAAGTAACTGTAAAATAAAGTTATATTTTTTAAATATATTTATGTAAGCTCTAACTCTAGTTAATTTGCAGGAATATAAACTTACCTTAAAAACATGTCAAGATGCTTCAACAACAATTTCAATTTTTTGGTAGGCATATCAGTATTTTGTAACAAATCTGGTAGCTTTACTGAAAATAAATTTAAATAATGTAATTTAAAAAATGCCGTTTATCATGACTTTGATACATATATACAAAAATTAATTTACCAAATAGCCTAGCGAGATGTACAGCTCCAAAATATGTTGAAGGACTTCGAGGAGCGCCTTCATTTTTTGTTGAATCAGGCATGAGTCGCCATTTATTAGCTTCTTCAAGTAAAGCCATAATTTGAGCTGGTGGAATTGTTGGATATCTTGAAGTTGCTCCTCTAGGACTGGAGCATCGAGAACTTGTACTAGCTATACTCGAAACATTTCCTACTTCTTGTTTTATATCTTCGTAAGATCTCAACTGTCTTGAATCATCCACAGAACTCACTCTACAAGACCGTAATTTCCTTTTCAAAGACGAAACAGGTTTTGATGGAGGCTCTGTTTCAGCATCTTGTTCTCTAAATGGCGGTAAATGTGCATATTCTGAATCTTCCAACTCTTCTTTCACAGTAACTTCAGGGGCTCTACAAAATTTATTCATTTCCATTAATTATGAAAAAAATTTTTTAAATTAAATGATTACATGAGAAGTAATATACTTACTCGACTACTTCATCTTTAATTTGTATCGAATGTTCAGCCATAAATACCGATGATTTAAATGCATTATATTGTTCTCTTTCAGGCCGATATAATAACAGTTCTGGTAATGTAAAGTCAAAATATATTCTCAAACCATCAGCAACTTCTCTACAAATATTAATTTCATTTACAGTCTTTTCTATTGTTATATTTGATTTGTTTCTTTGCGGTTTTTCCGGAATATTTGTCAGTTGTGTTGTGGTAAAGTGTTGAACCCAAGATTCAAGAATATTACATACGGTAGGCTGGGCTGGTAAAACGGCCAGCTTATTTTTATGATTTATCAGCTCATAATCTTGTTCTAGTATTCTTCTCAACATACTTCCAATGTCAAGGTCAATCCCGGGTCTCAAACTACTACCAGACTGATGACTTCCTCCACCTCCACTATCTTCATCTTCACTAGATTCTTCTCCAAAATCTGAACTACTTTCAGAATCTTCTTCTGTGATGACTTCCTATACATATTTTTAAAAATAATTTATTAATATCGATAAAAAAAAAATTAATATAGATCTCATATCAATTGAATTACCTCAGTATCATAATCGTCGTGTTGGCCTGAGCTACCGTCTTCTGACGTAGTTCCAGAAGCGGCTCGACTTCCACCACTCCTAGCACGTCGACGGGACTCAATTCCAGCTCCAGAAAGTCTATCAACCAATTTATGTGAACGATTCTTCCGTTCACGACGATATAGATACGCTCCTCTGCGTGTGGAAGGCATTTTTCATTATTTTTTAGGGTTATACACACTACTATTGACTACTTTATTGATAGTTTATTACATACAATTGAAGTTGAGCCTTCTGAGCGAGGTCTCTTTGTAATTGTCTATTTTCTTCAGTGTCCTTTAGAACGTATTCTTCTGTTACACACCGATCCCAAGAAGAATTCCAACCCTGAAAGATATACATGTTGCCATTAGACACCCCGTTTGTTTATAAACAACACGATTAACAGAGAAGTAGACGTTGTTTATATACCTGAAAATGAATCAAATACTCCACGGCTTTTCTACCACGTTGATCTTTATTTACAATTACATCTAAAACCTGGATAATAATACAATTATTATATATTTGTTAGTTTTCATTAATGAATTTAGTATAATCAGATTACTTGAGCGTAAATGGAGGTTATAAATAGAGCGCCAAAATAGATACAATAGTGGTGTGTTTTATTATCGCTTAATCAATTAGAGAGTAAAGTATTTAAATTGATTGGAAATACCTTTGAATCATAGAGAACTTTTGCTTTTGTTGGATCTGGCTCATAACAAAGAACTTTTTCACCATCACAGAATTTAAATTTTGGTCCTCTAGTAGACACCATTTTTTACATTTAATTTTTAAAATATTTTAAAAATCATGCAAAAGAACAAAAATCTCATGCATTTTTTTTACAAATTACACACTTTAAACTGTAGTATTCACTTGTATTGTAATATGTCATTACAATAATATAAATTCGACGCAGTTTTTGGAGTATAATGAAATAAATAAAATAAATATTTAAAAAAAAATCTTATTGAATTAATTTATTTTCCATAAAATATAAAATCATAAAAGTTTGTTTATGCGTGAAGAATACAAATGCCTACATATAGTTAGCACATATGCAAAATTGAGTGAAAGTTAGTGCAAATCAGTGCAAATTTTAGAATAATTACTGATTTGTACATAAATCGATAGAGGTGCTGGTTTCGTCGCTCAGTCGATGGAAAAGAAAGCATTTTTTTAGTTTTTTAAAATTTTTTTAGCTTAGGTGGCACCATACAACCCATCATTACCAGAATATACCTTCAGATCGCAATATACCGCGAATTCAAATATACTTTAGGGCAAAAATTGGTGATACAGTTCCAATTCCTATATCCTATTCCGTATCAGTTGTGCTGAAGAAATGGCGGACAAAGACGAAACGGAGAAGACTATCGCCGAAGACTTGGTTGTTACCAAGTATAAAATGGCTGGCGCTATTGTAAACCGTAAGAAAACAAACTACTGATTTTCAGCATGTAGAAGAATATCAAATGAACAATCTACGAAGAAATATTAGACATTTCATAGCTTATTTAGTCACAGGCCATATGGAATGTGGGCCCGCCAATGCCGGCCACCGCTCACCATGTGCACTTGTATTTTATTTTCTAATGCTAGCTTTTATCCATTTTTACAATAAAGTATTCATTTTCTAAGTATTCATCAACTAATTAGTAATTCTTATTTAGCTAATTATACGCTTGATGTGCTAAAACCACTCATTTCAATTGTTAAACTGTAACTCAATAGCTGATAAAATCTACACAAAATAATTCTGCTTCCATAACAGCTAATATTTATCAATTAATCATCGAGAGTAGTCAAAAATGTTTTGTTAAATAATTTGTCATGATAATTAAATATTTTAATTATTTTTAACCGTAATCTTTTTGTTATTGTAGAGGTCCTAAAACAGGTCCTGGAGAAATGTGTTGCCGGTGCTTCAGTCAGAGAAACCTGTGAATATGGTGATAAATTATTACTTGAAGAAACCAACAAAGTTTTTAAAAAAGAAAAAGAATTAAAGAAAGGGATTGCATTTCCAACGTGTATATCGGTCAACAATTGCATTTGTCACTTCTCTCCCATTGCTAGTGAGCCAGACCTTATTTTAAAAGAAGATGATATGGTTAAAGTGTAAGTATACTATAAGTTTCTGTCATGAATTACTCCATATATCAAAAATTATAATAAATTTTTCATCATTTTTGAATATAGTGATTTAGGTGCACATGTAGATGGTTTCATTGCTGTTGTGGCGCATACGATTGTTATTGGATCTTCTCCAGAGAAAAAAGTCACTGGAAGAAAAGCTGACGTAGCATTAGCTGCTCATTTTGCTTCTCAAGCTGCTTTAAGACTCCTAAAACCTGGAACAGAGGTAAAATATTAGTAACATTATTTTTATCTATAATATTCTTATCTTAAATATCATTCAATTGATAAATTATTCTTACAGACCTATTCCATAACAGGAACAGTTGAAAAAATATGTGAAGCATATAAATGTAAACCGATTGAAGGAATGTTGAGCCATCAATTAAAGCAATTTAAAATTGATGGTGAAAAAACAATCATTCAAAATCCTAATGATGCACAAAAAAAAGAACATGAAAAATACACATTGGAAACTCATGAAGTGTATGCAATGGATGTATTAGTCAGCACTGGTGAGGCTGTTGGCCGTGAGCAGGATACCCGTGTCACTATTTACAAGAAGACAGAAGAGACGTATCAATTAAAATTGAAAGCTTCCCGCATGTTTTATTCCGAAGTCACACACAAACATGGACTCATGCCATTTAACTTACGCACCTTTGAAGATGAGAAAAAAGCAAAAATGGCTGTGGTTGAGTGCGTCAATCATAGATTAATTGAACCGTTTCAAGTTTTATACGAAAAACCCAATGAATTTGTGGCACAGTTTAAATTTACAGTATTGTTAATGCCAACTGGGCCTCATAAAATTACAGGCTTGCCATTTGAAATTGATTCATTCCAATCGGATTGTGTAGTAAATGATCCAGAGTTGAAGGTAATATCAATATTATTTTTTCGTTAAGATGACAGTAATTGTTTTTTATTACCTGAATATTGATACTCATACTTATTTATTATTTAGATGCTCCTTAATTCATCCGCAAACCCTAAATCAGCAAAAAAGAAGAAGAAGAAGGCGGAAAAAGCTGTCGTTGAAGCTGCTATGGAAGTAGATGCTAAAGCTTAACACAGCCTATTTCATTATACGCCCATGACTTATTGACATCGTGCACGCTCATTCTCTTACAATTCAATTGGAGCAAAGAGTAATACTTTCGTAGAACTTTTCACGCAAGAGCCTTATAACAAATATTACCCTCATGGGCGCGTATAGTGGCAGACATTAACGCTCTAGCACTGCCACATATATTTTTCTTTTAAAAAAATTATCATAATGAATCGTGCTATGCGTGTATTTGTCCACGGAAGTGTCAAGATTAACTCTGTATTAATATTTGCTATTCATTATCTTCATTATGATCATCCAACACTTAATTATTCTTTTTTTATACCTACCAGCGTCTCTCAACTTGTCGCAGTGGTATCGTTCTTGTACATTAATAAGAATTATGAGACCTTTTGGAATGATTGCTGTTTTACAGTTAATCAGTTATTATCACAGTCGTTATTAATTTTGTGTGTACATGTAATAGGCTTTTTTATGCCTCCATTAATTGTTTATATTAGATTTGGTATTTCTTAAGTTCTTTCTCAAGAGAATTCTAAAATTACTTGTGTGATTTAAAAATTGAAATAACAAAACGATGGTCTAGCGTTTAGTTTTGAGATGCATTGATGCAATCATAAAAATTGACCTTATATTGTAAAAACAGAGTGTTGACTTTAGGAGTATTCATAAAAAAAAAGAAAAAGAAAACAAATTAAAAGGCTACAGATTACTTCGTTTATATAAATCCCAACCACATGATCAATAATTCAATTACTAATAGTAGAAGTAAAACAATATATAATAAAAATATTAATAATGATTTTATTCATATTAATTATGATAGCAAGTCCTCTAAGGTTTGATAATAATGAATTGGTGAATACATTTTTGACAACAGACCTACAGAGGCTATACACAAATGATTATTGTGTAATCATAATTTTATATAAAGTCAATAGAATTATATATCTGTTATAGATATTTTTTCTACTAAAATTATTGTGCATATGATGTCGAATGTTAATAAGTGTAGTTGTAAAATGAATTTATTCAATGACATTGAATTGTCAAACAAAAAAAAATCTTCGCGTATCAAAATTGTGCAAATTGTTTTTAACGAAAAAGAAAAATTTTTTACAAAAAGTTTAGACATCATCCACACAAATGATCTTGATCCACTCATGAGTCAATTAATAATCGAAATATCCAATAACAATATTTGAAAACTGTTCATTAACAATAAAGTAAATGAAATGAATTCATTCATGCCGACGAAATAGTTGTATTTTATTTTTATTTTTCGTCGGTTGTGTCTACTGTTGTTGATTTTCACGGATTTAGTAAGGAAAAAAATTATATTTAGAACTCTGGTATTTACAAATAATGTACCTTTAATATCCTTTAACTCAAACATACATTAGTATTTATATTTGTACTTATCATCAAGCCATTTCAATATCATTCTCTTGAAATTTCAATTTAAGTGTCATCGTAATGGGGGTTGTAATATCAGCAACATTTATTTCCATTCCACTAACAAGTCCCAATTCCGATAATGTTTTAGATAAATTAACCCTAGTTTTTTCTTCAATACTTGACACTGTATGCATGTACAGAGTTTTATTTTTACCTCCGACATTAGCAGTAATTCCAGGATTCTTCATTTGTAAATCATGTCGTTCACATAATAATTCTATCAAATCCTTTAACTTGAGATTGCCATTGCGTATCTCAAGTTCGCGAGGAATTTGACTGCAGCCTAAGCAGTCAGATTTTTTTTCTGCTTCGTAAGTATATGTATAAATACCATCTAGATCATTCAAGACCTGTAAATATAAATAATCCAACGGTAAAATTAAATTTTTTTTTAATAAAATTCAACTAAATATTTAATTACCATATAATTGTTTAATGATGCGCTGCAGCTTGTAGCAAGTTTGAAAACTTCTGTAGCACACACAGCAGCAATAGATGCATTAGTTGAGGCAACAGCAGGTATTATATTTTTAACTACTCCTTGGACTAATCTATAAGTTAATCCTCGAATACCAAACTGAGTAGCTCGTTCAACTGATTTCTCATATATCCAATTAATATGTTGTGGATCATCTCCATCAATTGGACTTTCGAAAGGATTTTCTTTCTGCCATTGTATCACTTTCACGTACTCTATACAATGTTCTGGAAGCCTTGGAGTATTTGCTATGGTACAAAGCGGATATGTGGTCTAAATGACCATTAATATTATTATTTATCAATTTCATTTTTATATTATGCTATGAAAAACCATACCTGAGGTGGATATAAATCTAATGTACACTCAATGCAAGCTGTTAGACCAGGTAAAATAACTCTTGCATTGCCTTTAAAGCCTTCAGTTCCTCCGTCAACCATAGGAATAATGCTAGATTGGTCTAATTCACCATCATTATAATTCAAAAGTGAAATTAACATTCCATTAATCCATCTTCTCGCTACGATGGAATCTAAACCACAAACAATTATGTGGAATTGCCGGTAGAAAGATTCATCTTTATCCTGAATCATACAGCAATGAGGAGTAACATTGCATCCAGGAATTCTACTGTTAATGAACTTCGCAGCACATTCTGCTTTGGAAGCTCCAATATCTTTGTGCCGGAATAAAAACTGTCTAAAAATATAAATATTTTTTCATTAATGGATTAATGTAATCGGTGTTAGAATTTTGTTGACAACTAATAATGAAATTACCGGTTTAAATTTGATAATTCTATAGTATCCATATCAATAACATCAATTTGTCGAAAACCCATAAGTGCTAGATTTTTTAATAATTCGCATCCTAAACCGCCAGCTCCAATAACGAGTATTCTACAGTTTTCCATTAAAAATTGCAAAGTGTCAGGTGATGGTTCAAAATCGGGCCGGCAAAACGGTCCCGATCTTTCCAATACTTTCCTCAGGTGACTCCAGCGTCTATGAGTATAATCTGTTGCACTCATGTTTCTATTTATACTTGTTATTATCACAAATTTTAATTATATTCTATTAGACAATAACCATACAAGTGATTGAACAAAATAGGTTGTAAGTAGATTGAAAAATGTTTATTCTAAATTCCTAATGCAATCTTTAGGTTGGCATTGGAACTGAACTTATTTTCAATTCTATCAAGTTGAGAACCATTTATCTGTGAATATAAATACTTGTAGACGGTTGTAAGAACAACACTTTTTGAAATATGATATTTTATAGAAGTTCCATGTGTTAACCTCTAATTTCTTTAATTAAATATAAAATTTAAACCACGTGTAAGTGATGTAAAATTGTTTTAATTTTATATATATTATATATTCGTTATCTGGTCAATTAGATATGAAGAGTATGAACTGTCATTTATTTGCAGAAAATAAATTTTATCAATATTATCAAACTTATTATTTCATTCTTTAATTATGAATCATATGTCAAAAAGCCGATGATTTTAAAAATTTTTTAAATATTATAAATAAATATTAATTATTATTTTTTTGTCAAAATTAGGATAATTTAAAGTATTGTAATCATGCCGACAATCAATGTAAAACGTGATCTTCTATTTGGAGCACTTGGAAAAACATATTGTAAGGAACTTTTATTTATTAACAATATGTTAAGATACTTGATAATTCTATTTAATTGTAATAATATGTTAATTTTTTAGCCGATGATGAATTTCAAAATCTATGCTTTGCTTTTGGATTAGAATTAGATGAAGTGGTATGTTTTACATTAAAAGACTAAAATACTAATCTTATATTTAATGAGATAAAATATATTATGATTTAATACAATAATTGTTTATTTAGACTACTGAACAACAAATGATTGCAAAAGAACAGGGGACAGAACAAAGTAGTGGCGCATCTGAAGAAATAATTTACAAAATTGATGTTCCAGCAAATAGATATGATCTATTGTGTTTAGAAGGTCTCTCAATTGGATTGTTAGTTTTTTTAGGAAAGTAAGTTATTTGGTATTATTTAATTGTTATCAGTAATTTGAATAATTAAAAATTTCGATTAAAAACAGTTTTAACAAATTATTTTTATTTTAAGAATTAATCCACCTCAATATAGACTTATTTATCCACCAATGCCAAATAAACTTACAACAATAACCATCACGAATACGGTAATTATTTTAAATCTATAAAAAAATTTAATTGATTAATAATCGGTTTAATCGAAGAATATTTCTTTTTTTTTAGTGTAAATACATTCGACCACACGTAGTTGGTGCTATACTCAGAGGAATAACGTTGACGAAAGATTCTTATAACAGTTTTATAGATCTTCAAGATAAATTGCATCAAAACATTGGTAGGAAGCGTTCATTAGTTTCCATTGGAACTCATGATCTCGATACTATCCAAGGTCCATTTATTTATGATGCAAAACCACCTCAAGATATTCGGTTTGTACCTTTGAACCAAGACAAGGAATGTGACGGTTTTGGAGTCATGGAATTATACGCAGTACGTATTAAAACTCATCTTATTAAATAACTATTTAATTTATTATTTATTTTAAATTACAGCATCATGCCCAATTGAAGCAATATTTACCAATTATAAAAGATAGTCCGTATTTTCCTGTTGTTTATGATAGCAAAGGAACTGTATTATCACTGCCACCAATTATAAATGGCAATCATTCTAAAATAACTTTGAATACAAAGAATATATTTATTGAATGCACAGCAACTGATTTAACAAAGGTAAAAAAGATAATATTTAAAATAATTATTTCTCTAATATTATTTTATTAAATTAATTATTTGGTTGTAGGCAAAGATCGTTATTGACACAATAGTTTGCGCTTTTAGTCAATATTGCAAAGATCAATTTACTGTTGAACCAGTAGAAATAATTTATTCAGAAACAAAACAAGTACTACGTACACCAGAATTAGAATACCGAATGAATGAAATAAATGGTGAAAAAGCAGCCAAGTATATAGGCATTGACGAATCTCCTAGAGAAGTAGCTAAATTATTATCAAAAATGTGTTTAAAAACTGAGTTCAAGAGTGAAGATAAGTTGGTAGTTACAATACCACCAACGCGTCATGATGTTATTCATGTTTGTGATATTTATGAAGATATTGCGATTGCTTGGGGATACAATAATATTAAGAAAACTGTACCAGACACACCAACGATTGGTCAAGAATTTTTGTTGAATAAATTAACTGATCATTTACGGCAAGAGCTGGCTCAAACAGGATTCACTGAGGCACTTACTTTTGCTCTTTGTTCGAGAGAAGATGTTGCAGATAAATTAAATTGGAGTTTTGAATCTATTCCTGCTGTTACAATATCCAATCCCAAGACTCTTGAATTTCAAGTAGCAAGAACAACGTTATTGCCAGGATTATTGAAGACGCTGGTTGCTAATAAAAAAATGCCTTTGCCACTAAAAATATTCGAGGTCTCAGATGTTGTGCTGCGTGATGCAACAGCTGAATGTGGAGCAAAAAATCAACGTAGATTGTGTGCAGTTTACAGCAATAAATCAGCAGGTTTTGAGATAATTCATGGACTTCTTGATAGAGTAATGTTGTTACTTGAAGTTCCATGGAGTATTGATAAAACTAATGATGGGTATTATTTAGAAGCTGCTGAAGGTAAGTAATATCAATCGATTGATAATAATCAATAGGTATTAATAGAATTAGTTTATTTATAAATAACGATATTTTGTACAGATCCAACATATTTCCCTCAGCGTTGCGCTAAAATAATCGTTCATGGAAAGCCAATTGGAAAAATGGGTGTTCTACATCCACAAGTATTGCAAAAATTTGACCTCCATTTACCTTGCTCGGCTTTAGAAATAAATATTGAACCATTTTTGTAATTGTATTCACTTTTTTCATACTGCATAATTTTATTATCATTTACAATGAACTTTGTAATTGTAAAAAATTCCTCATTGATCTAATATTTTTTCCAGCATAGCTTTAGTATTTATTAATACATGCATTTGTATGAAATCAAAGTGTTAACATAAGTTGAATAAATTATCAAAAGAATATAATTAATAATATTAATTTTTTCACTTCAAATGACCTTTAGTAGGATTTCTTCATCACTTCTATTAGTAAATTAAAAGTATATAATTATAATAAAATCGAACTCATGGTATTATGTCCATCTATAATCACAAAAGTACCTAGTACTAGGAAAGTTCATTTCAAATAGTAAAACGGAGTAATTAAACGATTATTCTTGGAATTAATCTATTAGCGCCAACATGAAATATAAACATCGATAAATTACCATTGATTAAGATGATTAAAAGTGTATAAAAATAATTAAATCAAGATTTAAATAGCTAATAGAAACATTTCATTAAAATTTATAAAATACACAATGAATATAATGGACAATATGATTATTAAACAATTAAAAAAGATTTAGTGATGAGAAAAAAGACTGATATTTCGATCGATAGAGGGTGGTTACAGTATTATTCCAAATACTTTAGGGTTCAGTTATACGTTGACGAATTTGCGTTCTAGTTCGATTGTGTATGGGGTGGATTGTACGTGTAGTAATATAATAGGTATATAAAAAGAAAGAGCACGAGGAAGGTATGCATATGTGTTCTGTATCCACATTCCACATTGTCCTGTAGTACGAAGACTGTAAGCGGCCTCTAACCCTCATATTCAACTCAGTCAAGCTTTATCATAGCGAAAGAACGGTATCTGGAATACATACATAGTGAGTATAGTTTATACAATGCTGTACGGGTAGTGTTGGGTTGGGGAACACTGTGGAAGAGTGAAACAAGTAAGTGGAGGACTGGTTAGGTGAAGACTCTACTAGGAACTGGCTGGTCGGCCATTGTAGACATGGCGGGTGTTAGCTTACGTGAGTGACGGCAATTGTGAATAATTATCATTGCGGAATATATATACATATATATAGATATATATATATTCAAAAAATCAGTGTTTTCGTGTAAATTTGGCGGTACAAGAAGGATAATTTGGTGTCATATGATTAATCCGATAGGTAAAAATGCAGAATGTAGCACAAGGAACAACTTCGGATAGCCAGAAACACGATAAAGCGAGTGTACACGACATTACGTCGTCGACTCCTCAGTCCTCGAACTCTAGCCCCACGAAGTCGGAGACCGAGACCTTTTCAGAACTTCAACCACGCTTTATGACAGACTCATCAGAGAGTGAAGAAGACAGCATTTCCGAGGTAAAAATCATCTAATCCTCCATTTTCTTTACTCTCTTACGTATTTTACTTTTTTTTTCCTTTTCTTCATCACATCCATTTCCATTGCACACGAGGGGCGGTCACTGAAAGGCATTTCGTCCGCATATCGTCATATACTTTTAACAATATTATCATTTCTATATCTTTATAACTACTCCCAAATTCTTATCCCTTTATCTTTCCTATCAATAAGTTTTTATCATTGTACAGTGCTTTCGAATTCTTTTTCTTTTACCTGATGCATTATTGCATTTCGGTTTAATCAATCATTTCTTTGAGTCATTCGCTAAAACACTTGCGCCTATCTTAGTGCGAGTAAAGTCTGGCGTTGTAAGGAATTGAGTAGTTGTCATCACCGGTGCAGTGAAATAATAACCAGACGTTGTCTATTTCGAAATATTATTTTCAGTTCTATGAAAACGCTTCTGCATAAGCTGTTCAATATTATAGTTACGAATGCGATATAAATGATAAAGAGAGAGAAAGACAATGAAAGTGTGTAATATATACATATATGTGTGTGTGACATGATCGGAAATATATTTTAGGGCCGATCGCGTCTCATGTGTATTTTTTTTCTTTTTTTCATCAACATAATTTCAAAATTCTATTATCATTACTGCGTATTTTACTCATTGATAACTACTGATATTACCAACAATTAATTTATAATAATAACAACAACATCAGTATCTAAAATAATCATAATAACAACAGTAATAATAATAATAATAATAATACTTTTTCGAAATTATGTCGTTTGCGTCAGGTTGCTTCTGCTAATACTGCCTTTGATCCGGGGCCTACGACCTAACTCTCACACTATCCACAAGTCAGACTTGCTTTACGAGACATGAGAAACTGTTAATGACTGCAAAGATTTTTTTTTACCGTGACCTTTCGCTATAAACTTAGTTACAAATTAATATAATGATAGTTACAAATAATCTAAATAAATTGACTAGGCAAATTCGTACATTTGTTACATAACAAAAAATATACGTACATTTGCAGGTATGTGCATCTTGAACGTCAGTCAAATACACGCGGAATCATTCAGCATATTTCACTGATGAAGTCATTAATAATTTCTGAAAATCATTCAACTCATTCTATCAATAATTTATTATCCATCATTTAATAAACTCTATTATAATTAATATCATTTGGTATTGGAATTTTTGACGTTATTAACGTTTACAATTCATCTACGGCTGCGTCATTTACTCCAATTTAAGATTCCGAGATACAGTCAGCCTCTCTCTCACTTTCATAAATCTTTCCTCTATCAAAGTACAGCGTAATATTATTTTAAATTCCTCCGAGTTTTTATTTTTTTGATCCATCTTACAGTGTTTAAGAAATAGCCCTTTTTCTTCAGCACCCTTTGCCTTTATCCTTTGTTACGCCTTGACAAAGTGAAACATTTGGATACATATAATAGTACATAGTGTGTTGTTGTGAGTGAATTAGCAGGGCCGTAACAAGGAAGACAGTTTATAAAACAGATATGTATGAAAGTGAAAGAAACGATTCAAATGAAAATAAGTATTGAAATAAATAAATAAAAAGTCAATAATGTGAACAGAACGTCTAGTGTGTTAGGTGGTGGTAAGTTGGAGAAAATAGCGTTCAAGTGTCAGAGTTTAATCCATCTCTGGAATGGCTGAACATTGTGTTGAATATCCTTGTACATGGTTCTTATGTGTACTAAGCCAACGAATGAGTAGTCAGCGTATAGAGTCGAAGCTCTCAAACCATCGGCGGATATACTGACGTACAACTATACTTTCACCCAAGTATCTTCTTCCTTTATACCTATCGTTTATTCTTTCCCATCAAGTTCATTTTCTTCATTATTTATTTTTTACTAAAAAAACATTTGACAATTATAAATAATCGTTGTGTTTAATATTCAATATCCTCAAATTATATTCCTCCCTACATCATTTTCTCCTATGAAATAATATTGTACGAGTAAGTGTATCGTTTATGAAGTAACGTCGTAATAAATGTTGAATGTATTTTTCCTCCTTATGGAATTTTTGCTGTTGTCTTGGACTTCAAAGTATTTTAACAGTCGTTTAACCGTGTAGTAATGATTTTTTTTCGTCTAATTTGTGTGTTAGTTACGTTGTTCATGTAAACTCACCTAAAACTACTCATACATTCTATCCTTAATCTATGGCTCTTACATTCTGACGTCCATAACCTCAATTTTTCATTTTATCCCGTTGTGCATACCAGAAAGACCTTAGAGATATTTTTTATCCCCGCTACACAGGCAAATGTCGGACAGTCATTTGGTGAATCATTTACAAGTGAGAGCCACACGTAATATAGATTATAAGTTATAATATGTTTAATAAATAATTTAGTGTAATAGAAGGGGAATATTACTTTTGAATAAGTTGTCTATAACATTCGCAATATAACAACGACATGTAAGTTAAATCGATTAAATGATAATTAAACTTGAACCAGTTATTTTATTACAGCCAGAATTCTTTCGTGCTGTAATCGACGAAGTTGGATCAGGCTTGGATCGAGATCATTGCAGAGAATCTTCTAAATTTTTATTAACACCTGAGGCTCCAGAACGTTCGGTAGATCCTGAGACTCAGGCAAGATTGGAAGCATTATTGGAGGCGGCAGGAATTGGAAAATTATCATCAAGTGATGGGAAGCATCTACCTGACCACGAGGTACTACGACGATTAACGTCAAGTGTATCTTGCGCGTTGGACGAAGCGGCTGCCGCACTTACACGTATGCGCAGCGATAATCCTCGTACGCAGAACGAGAAGCGTTCTCTCGTAGAAGCGTGCACCGACGGTGACGTCGGCACCGTTAGAAAACTCCTCACTGAAGGTCGTAGTGTTCACGAAACTACGGAGGAAGGTGAGAGTTTGCTTTCCCTTGCTTGTTCAGCTGGATATTACGAACTTGCACAGGTTAGTTGAGTTAATCATCTTGTCTTATTGTTGACAATAACTAGCTCCAAAATATTATTATGTATATTATGATATATTTTAGGTACTTCTAGCCATGAGTGCCAGTGTTGAAGATAGAGGCATTAAAGGTGATTGTACTCCATTGATGGAGGCTGCAAGCGCTGGTCATGTTGATATTGTTAGTTTGCTTATTGCTCATGGAGCTGACGTTAATGCGCAATCTACATCCGGTATGTGGTGTTGTATAAACCGACAACAATGACTAATTATTAATAATTTAATCTTGTGATAGTTTGAATAACATGGATTAATTGTTGACAGGTAATACGCCATTAATGTATGGATGTGCTGGTGGCCACGAGGAAGTAGTGAAAGTTTTACTTGAAGCTGGAGCTAATGTAGAAGATCATAATGAGAATGGACATACACCTTTGATGGAAGCTGCCAGTGCTGGACATGTAGGAGTGGCCAATATTTTATTGGAACACGGTGCTGGTATAAATACACATTCAAATGAATTCAAGGAATCAGCGCTGACTTTAGCTTGTTATAAGGGTCATCTTGATATGGTGAGATTTTTGTTAGACGCAGGAGCTGATCAAGAACATAAAACTGATGAAATGCATACTGCCTTGATGGAAGCGTCAATGGATGGACACGTTGAAGTGGCGAGGCTTTTACTAGATTCAGGAGCACAGGTCAATATGCCGACAGACAGCTTCGAATCGCCATTGACTTTAGCAGCATGTGGTGGACACGTAGATCTTGCAATGCTTTTGATTGAACGAGGAGCTAACATCGAAGAAGTCAATGACGAAGGTTATACACCATTGATGGAAGCTGCAAGGGAAGGTCATGAAGAAATGGTAGCGTTGCTTTTGAGTCAAGGAGCTAATATTAATGCTCAAACGGAAGAAACGCAAGAGACAGCACTTACTTTAGCCTGTTGTGGTGGTTTTCTTGAAGTTGCTGATTTCTTAATTAAAGCAGGCGCTGACATCGAATTGGGAGCTTCAACACCACTCATGGAAGCTGCTCAAGAGGGTCATTTAGATCTTGTACGTTATCTCCTTGAGTCTGGAGCTGATGTTCATGCTCAGACTCAGACAGGTGATACGGCTTTGACCTATGCCTGCGAAAATGGTCATACAGATGTGGCAGATCTGTTACTCCAATTTGGAGCTGATTTAGAGCATGAATCGGAAGGAGGTCGTACTCCTTTAATGAAAGCCTGCCGAGCTGGTCATCTTTGCACCGTACAATTTTTAATTTCTAAGTTGGCCAGTCTTAATCGTAATACTACCAATAATGATCATACTCCTTTATCACTTGCCTGTGCTGGTGGACATCTCGCAGTGGTGGAACTTTTGCTTGCTCAGTCTGCCGATCCATTCCATAAATTAAAGGATAATTCAACAATGCTCATTGAAGCAGCTAAAGGTGGACACACGAATGTTGTTCAACTTCTCTTGGATTATCCTCATAGTATAATGATGAACGCTCAGCATAATGCTGGTGCACCAGCTCCTATGCTGCAAATGCAGCAACAACAGCAGCAGCAGCAGCAACAGCAACAACAACAACAGATTCAACAACAACAACAACCTCAAACACAACATACCCTTCAAATAGCAACTCAACGACAGCAACCAGCACCACAACAACAACCAGCTATTTCACAACCTCAACCTCAAACCCAACAAGTCCCATTATCCCATCAACAACCACCATCTATTCAACCACAACAGCAACATCACCAAAAACAACAACAACAGCAGACTGCAGAGAACCAGAGTCAAAATTTACAACCGAAACATAATAGCCAGAAATCTTTGCTTCGAAAAAATCGTTCTGTTACGGTTATGCCTGACACTAGTTTAACCTCAGCTGAAGCACAACAAGTTCGTACTCAACCTGCAGGAGAGACGGTAAATACTACAATTGACGATACAAATATATTGGATAAAGGTAGTGGCAATTGTGCCTGTCTTTCGGAACCTAATATTACTGTGAGCTCCGTTCCATCACCTACGGTTTCAACTACATCTGTTGAAAACCGTAAAAGTTCACGACATGAGCAAATTCTTCATAAACAACAAATTCTCGAAGAATTACAGGTAATTACAGTATTTATATAATTGTATTTTTGTATTATGAGTAATAAATTGTGAATAATAATTTATATGGATTACAGAGGGTAGAGCGTGAACTTCAGATCAAAGGTGCTGGCCATTTGTTTCTGGGTACGCCTGAATTAGATGAGCATAAGAGACAACAACAAAAGACAGCTGATAGTGCACCAGATTCAACAGATTCATTATTACCAGGACTATCAAATATCGATTTACCTTCACAATCAACTGCATTACATGGTAAGTATCTCAAAGTACCTTGAATCATAAATTCCTTTTCGTGCGATCATTTCGTTTATTTACAATTTTCCTCAATTATTTACGTCACATGAATAAAATCAACATAAACAATCATATCATTGCTAATAGCTAATTCTAATAACGTTTCAACGAAGATTTGCTATCATACATTTACCTCCAGCGTTATTTTTCGTTTCATTCAACATTTTTCGGTTAACTTATTTATTCATTAAACAATAATCAAGTCGCTGATCGTGAGTACTCCAATATAATCGTTAAAGACCGAAAATGGCACACTCGTTCGAATGGTATTGGTCTTTCGTTAGGGTTGGTTTGCGGCACGACGAGCGAATCATCGGACAGGCTGTTGTCACATGAAGATACCGATTGTGCACTTGCATTTTGCCGTGGGTTATACCTTGGCAAACAAATAGCTGCTAATACACCAGGGCCCATAACACCATTACCAGCATCATCATCCTCATCGCCATCATCTTCAGTTGGTATTATTGCACCATCTCAGACTACTGGTACTGCAGCTCTTCCACAACCTATTGCTAGCAGTGATGTCAGTCAGAATACTGCCATAAGTGATCGACCCAAAGCTAAACCTGTGTCCAAAAAAGAAGGAAAAAACTTGAGAAAACTTAATACTACCAGTGGGAAGTTTCTTCAGCAACAGGTTCAACAGCAGCAACAGCCTCAACAGCAACAGCAGCAACCAGTCACTCTGATGGCTGGACCTAAACAACAAGATAAGCGTCAGCATGCTTATCAGCTTCAACAAGTGCACGATCTTCAACAGCTTCAGCAATTAAATCAACAATTTCAAATGCAATTGGATCAAGTGCAGGTTCGTCGATTCATCTATCACACTATGCATGAGAAGGATGTCTTCGAGTCGGTTACCTCTCTCTTTTTTTCTTTCTTGGGAGTATTCTCAGTAGAACATTGTCAGATCATTAATGTAGTCATTCGGTTTCATTTGCTCTGATGCAACTAGTTCGTTAAAACAATGATAGTTGGAAAAATTTTTTTGTACACAGAAATTTATTAATATATTTATTAAATTCATTTAATTGTTAATTTTACTTTCAGTATAATTAACACGATATGAAATAGTATTCCATATAGAAAGATAAAGAATGTAATTATATTTCAAAAAATTTAATTATTCAATTTAATTCTTGCTTTTTTAAGCAACTAAAATGATTGTCTGACAAAAGTGATTGATTGGTTACCCACTCGAACGTTCATGAAGGTGGTAAAATTGTGATCAAATTTTCGGATGTAATTATCACAGTGTTGCTAATCTCTGAATGCAGGTACAACAGCAACAACAACCACTTCAACCACAACAACAGCAACAAGTTCTTCAACAACAAAGTGGCGTGGGGGGTGGCAGTGGAGACGGCGAAATCTTTATGCCCAGTCCACTGGTGGCACACCTCCACTCCACTCAGACCCATCATGACCATCTTCATGATCAGGTATAATTCAAAATTGATAAAACAAAATCATGAAATGTTATTGTCATGTTTTTAAATGGTAATAATTCTCAATTCGACAATAAGTCAACTTGAATCCCGAAAATATTTTGTGTGATTTTTTTTTCTTTCGTTTTTTTTTCTTCTTATTAATTATCTTCAGTATCTTCTTTCTCATTTTTTTTGCGTTTTTTTCTTTTGCGTTAAATCCAAAAATTTTTGCGAATCCGGAGATTCAGAAGTTGAACTATTAGAAATAGTATGTATGATGATATCTTTGATGTATTTGCGTTTAACTTCAAATGTAGCAAACAACACAGCAAAATATTCCGGAGCCTATAGAACCGGAATTGGCAAGATTACATAGAGACAATGCTTGTCCATTCTTTGCGGCTGCACAAAAAGCAAAAGAACTAGCTGCAGAAGGCAAAGTGATGAAATTAGGAGATGTTCACATACCAATGGATGAAATTGCTGAAATTATAGAATCCATTACCTTCGACGATGTGCCTAACGGTAACTATATGGCTCGTAAGATCGCGACTATTCAGCGATGTAGAACTTATTTATATTATATATTATTTATCATGGCATATTCTGTTATTATTTTATCTTTTGCAGCTGGAGCTGAAGATCAAGATGAATTAGAACTAAAAAAATTTGAAATTTGCGATAAAAATCCAGAATTCCCTAAAGAACTGGAACCGGATCAACATTCACGTCAAATGTCTGAGCAGGTAAAATATATTTAAAAGTAATTCATTAATTACATTGTTAACGATGACGAATGAGGCTAATTCAAATATTTTAATAATATTTAGGATGCTAATGGTTCTATTCGACGAACAGTTGAGAGATTAGCAGCCAGAGAAAGAACTTTGGATGATGTTTATAAGAAAGGTTTTAAACGTGGACTTCGTATAGCTGCGGCACAAATCCGAGGTGATGAAACTACCACCATTCAAGAACAACCACCACCATTTAATTCATCTCGTATGTACAAACTTTCTCTTATGATATTTATTTTCATTGATAATGATCTTACTCGGCTAAAAAATTCTTCTCATGATTGTTATTAAATGAAGTTATTATCGAGGTAAATTTTTTTAAGCATTAGAATGCCTGCTGTGGGGTTGGAATCAGCAAGCAGCATACTCAAAAGCACAAAAAGCTAGTGCTGGTACGAGCAATACCGGTTCTAGTAGCAGCATTAGCAGCAGTAGTACTAGTAATAACCATGTTCAAGTAGCAACGCAAACCCAAGGATTGGCATCGAATGCAGTGATAGGTCTTGTTGAGCCAGATAAAAATCAAGCGTATACAACAAACGTTGGTGTCAAAGATAAAGAAACTCGAGAGACTCTTTTGCCACAACAGTCATCTTGTCAACAACCTCAACAGCAACAACAACCACAACCATCCCAACAACAGCAACCACAGCCGCAACAACAACCTCAACAGCAACCGCCACCACAACAACAACAAAATTATCAATTAGATTCAACAACGGGAGTAACAGTTGGACAATATACTCCGGGACCGATTGTAGCAACTGGAACACCTGTAGCTGCTGGAACAGCACCGGGTGCTGTTTACCCAGCGGCTACTGCTGCCCCTAATCAAGTTCCAATGGCACCATTTTCATGTATGGATGTTGATTCTGAAACAGATAGTAATCATGATACGGCATTAACACTTGCTTGTGCTGGTGGGCATGAAGAATTAGTTGAATTTCTTCTTAGTCGCGGTGCGGATATTGAACATCGAGATAAAAAAGGATTTACACCGCTTATTTTAGCAGCAACTGCTGGTCACCAAAAAGTTGTGGATATCTTATTAAATCATGGTGCTGATATTGAAGCGCAATCCGAGAGAACTAAAGATACACCACTTTCACTAGCATGCAGTGGAGGAAGATTTGAAGTAGTAGATATATTATTGAATCGAGGAGCTAATAAAGAACATCGTAATGTATCTGATTATACACCACTGAGTTTAGCTGCTTCTGGAGGATATGTTAATATAATTAAGCTCTTATTAAGTCATGGAGCTGAAATTAACTCTCGTACTGGTTCAAAGCTTGGAATCTCACCGCTCATGCTTGCTGCGATGAATGGCCATACAGCTGCAGTTAAACTACTTTTAGATATGGGTAGTGATATTAACGCTCAGATAGAAACTAATCGAAATACAGCACTTACTCTTGCCTGTTTTCAAGGTAGACATGAGGTTGTTAGTTTATTGTTGGATCGTAAAGCCAACGTTGAACATCGAGCTAAAACAGGGTTGACGCCCTTGATGGAGGCTGCCAGTGGTGGTTACGTTGAAGTTGGTAGAGTTTTATTAACAAAAGGCGCAGATGTTAATGCAACTCCCGTACCCTCGTCGCGTGATACTGCCCTTACTATTGCCGCTGATAAGGGTCACTGCCGTTTCGTTGAATTATTATTGTCAAGAGGTACTCAGGTTGAAGTAAAAAATAAGAAAGGAAATAGTCCACTATGGCTAGCCGCCAATGGCGGTCATTTAAATGTTGTAGAACTTTTATTTAATGCCGGTGCAGACATTGATTCTCAGGATAATCGTAAGGTTTCCTGTCTTATGGCGGCATTCCGTAAAGGTCATATTAAAGTGGTTAAGTGGATGGTTGCTCATGTAACACAATTCCCTAGTGATCAAGAAATGACAAGGTATATAGCTACTGTAAATGATAAAGAACTACTAGAAAAGTGTCAAGAGTGTGTTAGAATAATTCGAGCTGCTAAAGAAACTCAAGCTGCAAAGGCTAATATGAATGCATCTATACTTCTTGAAGAATTAGATATGGAAAAAACAAGAGAGGAGTCGAAAAAAGCTGCTGCAGCACGTCGACGTGAACGAAAGAAGAAGAAAAAGCTAGAAAAGAAAGAAGAGAAACGTAAACTGCATGAAGAAAATAAAAAGAATGAAACCATTTATGAAGATAAGGAAGATGGTAAAAAATCTGAAGATGAAGCAGAAGATGCCGATCGAGGTGATGAAAGTGACAATGAGGGTGGTGCTGATAGTTGTGAAAGAATGGATAATGTACCATCCCCTTCGCCTGTCAATCGGAGTCAAGATGATCCCGATAAAGAAGAAGGAGACAGTGGAATAGATGCTAATAGTCAAGGCAGTTGTAGCAGTAATGATGTTAAAGCCAGAGAAAGAAAGAAAGACAAAAAGAAGAAGAAAAATAATGCTAATAGTAATGATAAAGATTCTTCTCCTCATCGTCCTCAATCTTCAGTTTTTACTTCTACACCAAATTTACCCCAGAATAACAATCATAGTAATAATAATAATATTAATAATAATTCAGTATCATCCAATAAAATTCAAATTTCTGATAAACGCGCTTCAACTAGTACTACAAGTAATACTGTAGGATGTTCATCAACATCTACAACGTTATCAGCTTCGTCTGTTTCTGTCAATCGACAAACAGTTGCTTCAACATCATCTACAGGTGGTTCATCTGAACGTAAACATAAAGGACAACTGGTATTCGAGTCTTCACGACATCCTGCTGAACGAGAAGACTTTGAAGCAACTGGTAATGAAAGCTATGTATCAGGAAAAGGTAAAAAGTCTGGTGGTAACCAGTATGATAATGAAGGAGCCAATAGTAATGTCAAGACTAATTCAACAAGTCCAAAACAAGGTGGTAAACGTGAAGAAGGCTGGAAAGAAGTAGTTCGTAAAGGACAATCTGATGATTCTGCAAGATTTATGAATTCTCCATTTCGCTCAAAGAAAGTAGCAGTTCCACCTAATGCCATTAGTAGAGTTATTGGTCGAGGTGGTAGTAACATTAATGCAATTCGTGGAGCAACAGGAGCCCATATTGAAGTTGAAAAACAAAGTAAATGCCAAGGAGAAAGAATTATTACCATCAAGTAAGGAACATTAAATATTTTTTTATTTCATAAATTCTTGTTTGGAGTGATTAACTAAATTATTTGTCATGTATTTTAGGGGCTCTTCTGATGCAACAAAGCAAGCTCATACTCTAATAGCTGCTCTGATAAAAGATCCTGACGTAGATATTCTCCAGATGTTACCAAAGAACAAACTAACAGTGGTTTCATCATCAACCTGGGATAAATCCATGGTACCAATGAGCGCCGTAAGTTTGAGGCGCATTTTGTTATTAAATTGTGTCTTCTTTTTCAAAACTTTTAAAGAGACTCAATCGTTGTATAATTAACAATTTATTTTTATGTTTTTTTTCCAGGCATCTAAACCTAAAATCGGTCCAGTGAGTAAAATACAAACTACTGCATCTGGAGTTGCTGGGTATTCCAATAAAACCAGTTACAGTGCGTCAGGAATATCATCCGTAGGTCAAATAATGCCTTTAAGGACTTCATCTACTATTAAATTAGCGGGTGCATTTTCAACACCTCTTTCACGAGCAACTGCTCCACGACTTGTTGCTGCGGCGGAAAAACGTGCGCATACTTTAACATCTGGTCAAATTACATCATTAACAAATACTAGAACAACTATGTCTTATACCAATGCTATTATGACAGCCGGAAGAGCTACAAGAATTATAACAACAAGCGCACCACAAACTTTTGCCGCAAAGCTTTCTGATATCACTGCCACGACTCATACTCCAACAACGGTTATGCAATTGAATCATAATCATCAAATGAATAAACAAAAATCATCGCAAGCAAATTCTGCGATAGTAATTTCTTCTTTATCATCGTCGTCGCCATTATCGTCGTCATCATCTTCATCCTCTTCTTCGTCATCGTCGTCATCCTCGTTATCGTCATCGTCATCGGCGACACCTCTAACATCACCACATCCAGCCATGACAAATTCATCGCCAAAGCACTGCCGAACACTGCCTAATCTATCTGCTCCACCAACAATGCCAGCTCAGTATTCTGGTAAAACATGTTATTCATCTACTTCAATGGGCATTTCAACGTCTACAGTTACTTCGAGTATATCAAATGGACCAGATGGCAATATTATATCAACATCATCTGGCCCTGTTCGTGTGACACCATCTCCACCAGCTGTCTCTCAGTCAACTGGTTTCCATCAGCAACAACAACAAATGTCTCAACAGTCACAACAACAGCAATTAGCTCAGCAACAACTTCATCATCATTATCAACAACAGCAACAGCAACAACAACACCAAATGCGTAGCACAACTCCAATAGTATCAACAATGTCTGAACAATCTGGAATGCATCAAGTTCAACAAGCTACTGCACCATTAGAGTATTCTCTTTTTAATGATACTTTTTCGAAAGTCACTCAACAGTCAATGTGGGGTGGACGTGATAATGAATCTCATCAGAAAGGAATGAACTTTGCAACTGTTGCTGGCGGTGGAGTCTCAGCTAATACGTCCGGTCCAAATCAAAATAAATTTATTGATAATGTACCACCACAAGTAGATGCATCTAAAGCTCCTGGGTACAGAGGAACTGCGCTGTGTTCACCTGTTTCAAATAAAACTAATACTAGTTGCAGTGTTGCCAGTGTATCATCAAGCGGAATTCATAATTCGATTCAACAATCGCAGTATCAGTCAGCAATGAATAATTATGTCAATGAACATTCATTGTCGAACAAATCTTCTGATTTGGCAGTGTCAAGACCAATGATGAGTCAACAAAATATGGAGTTACCAAGTTCAGGAATGGGTCAATATAGTCGATCAATGTATCCTGGTGAACTTTCTTCACGAAATGTTAATGTGAACGTTCAACATCAGTCTCAACGAGAAATGCAATCCCAACAACAATCTCAATCACAGCAACAATCTTCGCAATCATCATCGGCACCACCACCACCTCCGCCGCCGCCACCATTACCACCGCAATCTCCTCAGCAAAAACAATCTACATCGGCACCTCCACCGCCACCTCCTCCTCCGCCATTACCACCACCATCACCACAGAAACATCAACAGCAGCAACAACAAGCTCAACAACAACAACAACAACAGAATTCTCAACAGCAATCTATGCAATCCCAACACATGGTGCAACAGAATTCTCAATCAAATATTGATGTTGGTTTATTCAAAAATAATAATAGTGGATACGATCATTCTAATGTTAATTCTAGCTTATTGAAAATGGTACCAAATGATGGTCAATCAAGTGGACATCCTTTGTTGCCGTTTCATGCTTCACACTTGCAAAGTTATGCGCCAACGATAAGCCAATCTCAAAGTGTTAGTACTACTGTTAGTATGTCAAGATTAAATCCACGAGCACCAGATTTTTCCAGTTCCCTACATCTTAATAACAAATCGCAAGTCGCCATGTTCAATACAGCGGCTGGAATGCATCCTAATTTATTTGCTGCAGTTCCTACTGCCCCACCATCTGGCATGCAATCTAATAATTTAGCCATGCTCAGTAATTTTTCTCTTGGTAAATACCAACCTCCTGGGACTGCTAATAATGCTCGTGGACCACCCATGTCTCATCCATCAAATCTGTCAACAAATGGACAAACTAGATGGCAATTTGGACCGCATAATAATTATCCACCGCAAGATGCAATGATGGTACAAATGGGTTTTCCTAATCATTTGGGAAATATGAGTGCTTCTCAAGGAGGAGGAATTGATTTAATGTCAGGATTGGAGAATGGTGGATCACCATCAATGTCACCATCATCGCCAGCACAAGTTGCACAAGAGATAAACCAATTGAAACTTGAAGATCGAAAAGTTCCACGACCTATTGGAACGGAGAGAGCTTGGAAAAACTTTGCGGCAGGAATGGGACCTGGAGGTGAAGCGGACTCCATAAACTGGATGTTAAATAATGAAAAATTGGTTGGTTCGTGGAATCTTCCTGCTGGAATAGAAAGACATCAGATGTTCCGAACGAACCCTGCATATAATCGTGTTTCTGCAATGGATGCAGAACTTCATCATATGATGGAATCGACTTTTCAGGTATAATAAAATTTAAACTCACTTAGACATTTTTATTCGAGTAAACCAATTAACAAGTGTGACTTATAAATAAATTATTTTCTAGGGTCACTTGGAAAATGCTCAAGCATTTTCAAATGGAAGTGCAGCAGGATTGGCGATGATGCCGGGTTTAGCTCTATTGCCAGGACAATACGGCAATGCGCCAGGCTTACCCGAAATGCCACCACCGAATGATACAACAAAAATGGATGCACCTACGTGGGGGATGCCTGATCCAACTGGACAAGATAAGCACCATCCGGTAATTATTAATCCACTATGTTTAAAATAATTAACCTGAGTACGAAACAATACAAGACGTATTTAATAAATAAAATAATTAATTGTAGGCTTGGAATAAATGGACTCACTAATGGATGAGTCTTTCTTCATGATACACAGCTTTTTTCTGATACTGCAACATCACTGACAGGATGAAGGAGACCAGGAATTATGCAATGAAAAGAACAAAAAAGAAAAAAACGAAAAAAAAAAAAACATATTTAGTAGTAGTAGTTGATGAAACTGGCATAACGAAGCGTTGTTTTTAGACACCACATTAATTACATTACTACCTATATTCATTGACACCCAGATCCAATATTACTTGTCATGCTAGGTGATAAGATGGTAAATCCTTATTACAATCTATTGCTATTATTATCTTCTAATATACTTATTCGATACCAATAATAAATTGGAAATGTGGCAGCGTAAGGCTAGCGCGAGCCAAGGAGCGGTCATGTGAAAAAGAAAAAAATTATAAATGTGTGATTATTGGTAGAACTTAATTGATTAGTTCGATATTGTGCTACCTAAACCTATCCTTATCCTCCAGTTTAATCTAAATTATCTTTGACTGTCGAGTTAATTCATCTTATTGAATGCCATTAGATCTATTAGATCATTCCATACATTTTTGCTGTTATTTCAACAGGACTGCGTCAGAAATGAAAAGATTTTTGGAATGATTCGATCACTTAGTATTATAGCGGAAGAGGATGCCTGCTATTCAAGCATTTCGGCTCGTCTATTTATCTGTCGTCTTATTTAATAAACAACATACTTGCCAGAATGGTCGCATTAAATTGTGTCCTTCTTGGCCAATTTTTGTTTCTTTTTGTTCTTTTCTTATATATGTATATAATTATACATATTACTTTTTCATCCATGCTTTGTATCTTATGTATATTGTTATATCTACTGATAACGTTAATATATTCAAATTTGCTTTTTTCGAGCGCCATTTTTCTGCTTGGTTTTTAATTTTCTTTATATTAAATTTTTAAGTTATACAAGACATCTTTTGAATCTACGATAACATTACGAAGAAGATTGTGATTGAACATCATCAAATCTATGCCCCATTCTTCATAGCTGAATAACATCTGCGGTAGTTGGCGTACTTTCAACATAACTTGATTTTAATTAATTTACATTGCTGAATGCTTATCTATAATCATCGTTATTTTATATTCTATATATATATATGATGTAGCTTAAAGAATTATGATCATTTCCTTGGTATTTTCAAAAGCTGCTCATTTATTATTGCTTTTATCATTGAACCATTGGAATGTCAATTAGCTAAGTTATGTATATACGTATATATGCATGTGGTATACAAATAAGTATGGCGGCGCGAACATTAGTTTTTTTAAATTGTTGTAGAACTAATAGTATATTTAATATTGTAAGATCAGTTCATGTAGCTAATTTTACATTATTTAAACAACATTTTAATAAATTGGATTATAATCAATCGAATTATTTGATACCGCATTCTTTAAATTTTTCTCTAAAACCTAATAACCTCAAACATTTAACGTATTTTAAGAGATTCAAACACTCAAAAAAGAAGTCTAAGGTTTTTATATTAAATTTTATGCCATTTTAATGTGACATTCTTCGGAGTATAGTTATTTATTCGTGTCATCTAATTTAGGGAATTGAAGAGGATGATGATGAGGAAGAAGAACTTGATCCTGAACTCCAATTGTTATTACAAACAAATAAAAATGCTAAGGTTGCGATTGTTACAGCCCCTTCTCTACGGCTTGATGCTGTTGTTCACCATGGAATGGCTATAAGTCGAAAGTAAATAAACAAAAAACAATTGAATTCTTTTAATGATCTTGATAATAAATGAAGGTTATCATTTATTGTTTATTACCACTGTTTATGTTATGATTGAATATTTTTTAGCAAAGTTGAAGCAGCTTTCTATGACAGTAAAATTCGATTAAATGGGAAACTAGCACTTAAAAAAGCGTGTCAGGTAAAAAATTACTAACACTGAATAATAGTAGAAAAATATTTTTATTTTATTGTATAAAATATTCTATTTATATTTTACTAAATAAAATATACAATTATTTTAGGTAACAGTTAACGATGAAATTGATTTCATTCAAGGAGTAAGCCCAAAAAATCCGAAATGCCTCCTTGTTACTCGAATTACTATTTTAAAGACATCTTCAACTGAAACTGGTTATAAAGTGAAAGTCCTTCGAGAAAAGTCATTGATGATAGAGAACTATGAAGAACCTTGGATGCCCATCTCCAATGAAACGTGATAACAATGTTTACTTTTAAATCGAGAGAATTCAATTCTCTGTCATTAACTATAAATCAACATAAGTTAATTTTAGAATTTAAAGTTAAGAACGACATTAAAACGAATATTTAATAGTTTATATACTTTTGTATCAACTTACCTCAAATGTTGTTAAAATTCCTTTGTTTCTTAATTCTGATAATTTCTCTTTCACTTCATTATCATCTAGATTTTGTTTGATTTCCTAGAAGAATAAAATTATAATAACTTGAAAAAATTAAATTTAACAATAATATTACCTGTATAATATTAGGCCTGTGAACTGGATCTACATATGAAAGAAGAACGATGGCAAAATGTAACTGTTTAACTTGAATACAATGACTGATAACTGAATGAAATTGCAATTTATCAGTTACTCGGCAAGTATGAAGTAATCTCAACATATGAATACATTTATTGATAACATTACTGTTTGAATCAGCATGAAGTTCATAAAAAGTATTGTCAATAACAAGCTGCCAAGCAGTGATATAACCTGGACAATCAACGATACCATCCATTGTTCCAAGGATTAATAAATTTGATTTCAATTCATTCGTAAAAGAATATTCTACCATCCGTTCTAGAGCCGTGTTTAACAGTTTATAGTCATTTAGATGAAAATCAACAAAAATTCTTGGAACTAATCCGACAGAACGTACACTGTATTGATTTTTGACTAAAATTTCTGCTAATTTTTGTTTCGGACAGTTTTCGAAACCAGTGATACTGTAGCGAATCCCATATTTTTCCAACTCAGCTAAATATTGCAATGATTTCATGTATTGATTAAAACTATCCTTATCTCTTTTAATATAATTCAACAATTCAGCTTCATTCATATGTGCTTGAATAATCTGCAATGCTCTAAAACGTTTTTGAGCAGTTTCATCTTCATCAAAACTAATAGTTATTAAATGATTGATGTAGCCCTGTTTATCACTCGATTCTACGAGATAGCAGGCTTTTAGCAGATCGTCATCAATAGCAAAAGCGTTACATGAAGTATTTGAGTCACGATAAACATTAATTGTATTATCAAATGAATCATAATTATCCCAATTCTTCGGTTGGAGCCATTCATTCAGCAAATCAAGTCGTAATTTTGTTAAATTTAATGTAAATACTTTCCCAAGTTCAGTTACTGCAGAATTAATATCAGGTCGGTGTTTGATTATTCCTTTGTATCTCTGAGGAATGGTTTCATCATTATACAGCTCTTTAATTAGCTTCTCTGGATTTTTTAACAGTTTCAAATATTGATTTTGGCCCAATCCATGAGAATATAAGATATGTTTGGATGTATATTTGAAATATTTTTCATGAATTTTTATGAGCTGAAACAAAGTAATTGATAGAAACAATTATAAAATTTATTTAATGAGAAATATAGCAAATCAATTATTTACCTTTTCATGTGAAGGAGTGATAGTTCGATCTAACTCTTGCCACTGCTGGGAATGAATATAACATTCTTTAGCAGCTTCTACTTGATCAGCACCTGGAGGAGCATGAGTGACAACATGATACCAAGCGGCTGCTTTATACTCAGCATCTTCTGTTGCCTTCAACTGATTCAAACACTTTTTTATATCTTGTAATAAGCAATCGCTGACTGGTTGAACAGCCCATTGATTCGTGTTATTCTGTTTCATACACTCTTTATCTGGCCAAGTTTCTGATACTGCATTTTTAACTGCGATTGTACAGATGTTATGAGCAGGCAGCTGCAATACTCCAGCTATCGTCAACCATTTCTCGTAAGTTCTTAAATTTAATTCAGGACTTATTAACTTATATTGATTAACTTCTGGTAGAAATGGTAAACGCCATTTAGCTATTTCTGGAAGAGGATTATCATCTTGAGCAAAATGCTCCCAAGATTCTTTTTCTAAGTCTGTTGGTTTAGCAATACGTGTATAACTTTGGAGAAAATACAAATAACTTATTCGATCAATTTTTTTCTCATCCGAAAGTTCTAAAAGAATAAGCAAAATCTCATAGTGATAGAAATTAATTAATGGTATTATACGATTAATAAAATAGTCTGACTTATAATTTTCAGTCGAATTACTCTGAATCTTGCTAATTATTTTTTTACACAAACTTTTAAGTTCTTTCACATCTGTATTATCTATTTTGAACTCTTGTTGACCATCTTTAGCTATTTCTAAATGGTATTTTGGTTCCCAAGAGCAGAGTAATGTTTTGAAATATCTAAACAAACAATCATTGAAATCAAATGGGAAATCAAAACAAAATTCTTTGAATAATTCAATTATTTTTGGATCTCTAAATTTCATAATCCTTTCCAGAATATTTTCCATATTTTTAATATCATTTTGAACAACTTCCTTGAATGATATTTCAAATGGAGCAAGTCGTTGGGCCCAAGTATGTAATAATTTTCTATTATAAAAATAATCAAGGCTATTATTTTTTGTTAGTTCACAATATTGATAACCAATAATACAATGAATTTTTTCTCGAGATGGATCCAATTGAAGACGCTCTTTAGTAAATTTAAGTGACTCCAAAGCTTCTCTTTCAGGAAGTATAAGTAGACATGATAATCCCAAAAGAATATCAATTACCCTACTTTTCATTACATCTTTTAATAATTTATTTATACAACTTTTTATTAAGCTTTTTATCACTGAAAACTGTGTTTCATCTGCTTGTACATAAACCAACTCAGCTTGAACTACTGATAAAATTTTGAATAATGAGTAATGATGATGGTTGTTTTCAAGCTGAGATGCATATTGAGTTAAGTTTTTATTGATTAATGTAATCAATCTTTCTAGTTCTTCAGTACGTTCATCACTAATTTTTTTATAACAAGAAATTAACTTAAACGCATTTTTGTTAAATACTAAGAGTGCTTCACTTCCAGATAATGATAAAACATGAGTATAAATTGGATGTAATTTCAATAATTCCGGTGCCAATTGAGTATCATAAATTATTTCTGATCCTACAGCCACATTGTATGCATCAATTTTATTAGAAATACTAAAATTGCTGATTAATTCACTGGATGAAGAATTAACTAATATTAATGAATATTGATTTTTCAGAAATGTTGTTAACTCTGGATCATCATCACTGATTTCAACTAATAATTGACAGATTTCATCAAAATATTTATGTTCCTCAGGAAGTATTAAATAACATCCCTTGAACAACTTGAAGAGATACTCTTTGACGATAATTGACTTTGGTAAAAGTTGTAAAAATTTATAAATTCCATAAAATTTAGGTAAACCAAGTAAATAATTAAGTCGTTCGATATTAATGCAGAGATTTAACCAAATAGTTTGTTCATCAACTTTACTAATTAATTTGGCAATAAAATCAACCAATATATCAGTTTTATATAAATAATAGCCTTCAAAAGTGATAAAAATATTAAACTCCTTGTGTAAATTATATAATTTTTGTAACAGAGGTATAGTTTTTAGAATATCACCAAATTTAATAATATTTTCATTACTTCTAGTCAACATATCTTTCATTTTGCTTTCAATAGTACCCAGCACCATAAAATAATGTTGTAGAGAATCATCAATAATTTTAGAAGTGTTGAGTTTTAAATGTATGTGCTTCACTATAAACTCGCAACAGTTTAAAAACAAATCCTCATTTAATTTTTTCATTATTGCAATTACCTGATCAATATCACCTCGATGTAAATAATAATTGATACAATCATAGAATACCTTTTGTCTCAACCTGTTATCTGATTTAGTAAGCTCTATGAGGTCATCAGTCATGTTGGTATTATTCCGTTTAATAATATTTTGATACAATTTTGGACATAAACCAATTTGAGCGAAGCCATATTTCTTTAAGATAAGCTTTACTGCAACAAAGGTGCTTTCCAATCGAACTTGAGCTACAAGAGGGCTATTATATTCATAGGATTGCTCAACAAGTGATATTAGCGGATCACTCCAAGGTACAGGTGCTTTTCTTAATATATCTAATGTCCGTTGTAAACGAATCTGAATACTATTAATATAACCAATTATTGCACTTAATTTTCTGTCCCAGAGAGCTCTATCACCTATCCACCATTGTTTAGAAGTGTTCAAAGTATTTTTGATGTATTTCGATAATGCTTCATCATTTGACAATGAATGATTAGCCATAAATCGCTGTAGAAAATTTTTCATGAGATCAGGAATCCTATCAATATGCGCTTTATTAATTATAATTGTAATAACATTAATTGGTTCACTTTGATAAACATTCAATGGTAAAATAATTTTATATTGCGTTTTTAATTCCAATAAATCTGTTACTGCTTCTAGAAGAAACATAAGTCGATGAAATTTGGATTTTTTATTGATGTATTGTTGATTAATCTGAAGAATATTATTATATTCTTCAAAACAAAATAATTCAATAAATTTTTTAATAAACGTTAATCCAATTTCCGGCCATTGATTTTTATGTGATTGCTCTAGAGTTTTAATTTTCTTATAAGCCCACAAAATGATTTCATCTATTTCACTAGGTAAAAAAGATGCAACTGAAGGAATAAAATATTGAAACCAAGGCCAAAGATCATCAGGTGCAAGTTTATGAGGTATTATATCAAGAATTTTTTTAATTTTATCTTCTGTCAATTCAGGAATAATTGAAGATGAATGATATGTCCAGATTAATGTAGCTGCGCGTATATTTCCAATAGATAAATATCTAATACATTCATTAAATAAATTAGCCTTTGAAAAATGATTCCACTCGCTACTATTATAATCACTTAATGTTGATTTTATACTTTCAAAAGTTTCTATTCTTTCCAGTGTGTAATTAACATTTTTGAGGAAAAATAATAATTCTTGCATTTCTTGTTGGTTTGCTCCTTCAATTTGTTTAACAATTCTCCTCTTAACATAATCATATAAAATTTTTGTACTTTGATAATCATTAAATGTTACAGCATTATTACAACATTGGTAAATAAATTTTATGTCAGTTATTTTTTGTAAGGCTTGAATGAATGTAGTCAACTCTTCGGGATTTCTATCATTTTGATTATCCTTAATCGAATTGAATTGTTGAAGTAACTTTGAAACTTCAGCTTGATAAATATATTCAGTATTTAAAGAATATTTTGTAGCAAATGCTTGTGCATCAGCAAATCTTTTTTGTCTTAATAATCGAAGTAAACGATCCTCTGGTAAACTTTCGTCGATAGCTTTGATACGAATGAGATCAATAATATCATTTGAATTTTTCATGCCTTCCAGAACAACCATACAGTCCATTGGATGGTCACCAACTATATTTACTAAACGTGTAGTTATTGACACATCCATTGTAAAAATAATATTAAAATCTGGAAAAGTCATTAAGTGAAGTGATGTGGTTAATGAATGATTATCAGGAGGTGCCATTAGTACAAGTAAATGAAAGTTATCAGACTTTTCATTAAACGTTGTAAAATCAGCCACTGGACCATTCCAAATTTCTTTTATTGCGAGTGTATTAGGACAAACAATGCTGAGTTTTCCATCTGATGAAAGACTGATCATTCCACTGTATCCATTGAAAAACTGCATTTTAGTGTATTTGCATGATAAATTAGTGGTAGTAAAAGAAATATCTTCTGGATAAACGTACATAGAATCATTTCCAAGGGCTACTATAACTAGTTCATCGTCATTTTTATAGTAAACATGATTGCTTGTTGGAGCCTTTGCAATCACAGAAGTATTTTTAGTTATATTTTCTTTATTATTATCTGCAAAAAAAGAATTAAGACGAGCTATTTTGAATATTCTTCCATCAGAAGTTACTATAATAGCATTAAGATCATCATTTACTTCTTCTAGACATATTTGTACAAGAGAATTACAATAGTATTCCTTTTTAAAATCAACATTAAGCAACTGCTGACCATCCTCTTGAAGATCAAAGCAATAAAGAGTAGCTGAATGAACTCCAATAAAAAGATACCGAGCATTGGAAGATAGACAATAGCTTGTGATTGCTGAGTCAAATCCAATGTTTGACATCACTTGACTACATGTTTGTGTATCAAAGATTGTAATATAGTTGTCAACTACTATGCAGAAATATGAATGAAAGATAGTTGCTGAAATCTCTGGATTACGTTTCACGGCTGTTTCAGATTGAATAGTTGCTAATGTCCATGTTTCATAAACTGATTGAGTAGTTTCAGCAAAATTTCTTGCTCCAAAATTGAAAGTTTCTTCGTCAGCTTCAAAATCTGATAGAATCTTTGTCCATTGAGCCATATTTTTTACTGTATCTACAGTTTAATTAATTCATTAGGTACTTATTGAAGAATAAAAAAAAAAAACTAAACTAATTTATTACACTACTGAATGTAAACAATTTTCAACCGTTGGCTGATTCAAACATAAACACTGATAAATGAACACTCTAGATGGAAGACAACAGCAAAAAATAGAGGCCATTGGAAAGAAACTTAAAAAGTTCAAGATGACGAGCTGTGTATTCTCGTTGTCAGAGGTCAATACAGGTCATTCTTCTCAAGAATAACTACTATAGGTAAATACTAAGTTATGGGTCGGATACTGGGGTAATAACAACCATCGGTATAATAGAAATAATTCGACTTTTGAAACAAGATAAAACCGCAAATTGCTAGAATTTTAGCATAAATTATGCTCAGATCATATTTTTGACAATTGCAATGGAAAGCTTCTGCTCTCACGAAGCCGTTAATATGCTTATGGTCTATGTACGTCTCATAGATCGTAAGTTATTAGCGAAAAACAAAGTTATGCTGCAATGGAACATAAAAAAAACCTTCAAACGCTCATAACTCGACAACTATGCGAGATACAACATTTTTGACGGGGTTGAAAGGTTTGAAATGGGTGCCGATTTTTCCTCTTAGGTCCAGATCTTTCATATGAGCCCTCGATCAACCCTGTAGCACCATTAGCATAGAAGTTATCCATGTTTTTATGTACTACAGTTATTCACAAATATCTCGTGATTTTTCTGACCAACCAAAGTCAATAGCTACTATTTCGGAATCGTCTCATCCAGATCTCCCCAACGAGATCTATAATTTTATGATCCAAGCATAAACATAATTACATGCTGTTTTTTAAGGTTGAAAAAAGTCCTTCTATTTTGGCGATCGAGGGCTCATTCTTGGAAATGCGGAATTCGGTCACCCCCTACAAGAATTTCTTCTAACCCCTTTAAAAACGGACGAGATTTTAGGCCTCAATAACTCTAAAACGGTGGGTCCAAAGATCCTTTTCAGGGACGTTTTGGAAACCTCATAATCTGAGCTAAACATACAACTCCATGAAAAACGTATAAAAGAATTTCTTCACCCTAAAAATCGCAAACATAGAACAAAAGTCACACTTTTTATGGGAGTTTGCTAATTATTTTGGCGATTTTAAAGGTCAAGGAATTTTTTATATGTTTTTCATGAATATACATCTATAGCCTAGATTCTGAATTTTCTAAATATTCTTTAATAATTACTACTGGACAATTTTTTCACGAGTTATAGAGGTCAAAAGATAAAGAATGGATAATTTTTTGATCCATCCATGAAAATTATCGTTTTTCGAACGATTTCCCTGTTACCTACTCAATTTCAATTGACATCGAGCTTCGATCTTCCACCGCACAACACGAGAGCGTAAAGTCGTAAATGTGTACAATAATTTATTCTTATAAAAATTTAAAAATTCATTTTTCTTTAACGTCATATAATGATTATATATGTTTATGACTTTCTAACATTTAGAATTATTTAATAAATTTTTATTAGAACTGAATAAGAGGTGGTTGTTTTTAAGGATTTATATCATTAGTTGTCTCACTTTAAATACTTTTTCAAATAAACCGAAAGATAAAGTGACGTGAAAAAAAAAGGAGATATAAGTATTAAAAAATCATGCCAATCGTTTTACATATTTTTTGAAAAGACATACAAAAGTATGTCATAAAATTTCTTTTGTTGACTGATACTCGGAATGGATTAACTGATTTCGATTGCCAGCCAGTTTTTTGACAGTTTTCAAGGTAACTCTTGAATTAGTTAGATTTTAAATTAAATTGATTAAGGTTTTATCGAATACGAAGACGAAAAAAAAATTTCCATATCAAAATATATATTTCCATATTAAAATATATCCTAGTAGCAATTAAGATACAGACTGCCGTCAGATTTACGTATGATGCTGTCTTTTGGTTTTCTAACGTAAGATTAATGTTAGACGTCAGATGCTGTCGCAGAAAGGATACAGACGTACGTAAGTCTGTCGAAAATTCTGACATCAGATCATGGCTACTAGGGTAGATTACGTGAATCATATATTTATAGGTAATCTTTGGGTGACAAGATCAGTATCAGCTCAGCAAAATCAATGAGTCATATATATGCGTAAATATTTCTATAGAAAGGTTCCATTAAGACTTCCAGATAATTTTATTCTCATTTATTTTTTGTGCAAAATATCAATTTGTTTTGTAAATAATTATATAATAAATTATAATGTCTATATTTAAGGTTAATTGCCTGGATAGAATTATAATAATAGTTTTCATAAAAAAATACTATTACTGAAATATCAATAAACTCGTAATAAGTATGATTAATGTTTCTTTGATCTTAAGACTCACGTAATCATTTATAGTAGTCAGTCAAAGGTACGATTTACAGAATTTTTCATCACTTCAACAAATTTGAAAATAATAAACTGACCTCAAAAAAATTTATTATATTTCTTTAGATTTTTATATAAGATTCAATCAAACAAGAAATATTTATTGATCCATTAAATCGATAGATTTTTTTATTGAAAAAGAAGCACAAAGTACGAAGAATTATAGCATCGTCATGAAAATAGCTATTTATTATTTCAAACTAATTATTTGAAGTAATAATTGATGTAATAAAATCAAATGGAGTGAAATAATAATGATACAATTTTAAAATGCTCACCAATTACTTGAAAACTATCTGTTAGTAATGTCTTATTACATTCGATCTTTTTGCACTAGTGAAAAAAAGTTATTAGAAATGTATTTTTGTGCAGTATGAATTAATAATTATTTCAATAATTATTTCAATTGAATAAACAACATATACTCGCAGATAAGTAGACATCTAATTAATTTTTGCTTCTGACGTCTCTATTTCTTTAATCTATTAATTAAATTATATAAACAGGTTGGAAAATTTGGAAATTATTTATTTAATAATTATCAGAACAACAATTGTAAAAATAATAAGTTATTTGATTTGAAAAGATACAACAATTTATAAGTAAAATAAAATTTAAATCAAGATGTAATTATTGATTGATGATGTATAGATCATTAAATAAATTCTATTATACAAGAGATATTACTCTTTCTCGCTCCAGTAACTCCAGAATACTGGAATTCTTGCAGTACTTCCTGTTTTCCTCACATTTTGAACATATATCCGTAAGTCAAGGTCTTTGACAAAAAAGAAATGATTTACTAATTACTATAATTTTTTACGTGTACATGATATCACTTTTTTGTTTTTGTTTTGTTGTTATTATTCTATTAGAAGTTTTCAATGCCTCTCTTTACTGAAAATGATTAAAGAAAGCATTGAAGTTAATCAGATTTATAAATGATTCTTTTTTTAATAATCAAAATGAATGTTGAAAAAATTTGAACACGTTTTTTTAATTAACCTTACACCTTTTAGAAGGCTGGAATATATTAAAAGTTAATATTATAGGGTACTGTGATCACATCCTTGGTTCAAAACCTATTTCACTTATCAATTCATCCACATGAAATGAATTAATTAATATTTATTAGTACAGTAAATATTCCAATAATATTTGAAACTAAAATTTTTTTAAAAAACTTATAATATCAAAAATAATCCAATATAAAATCTTAAACATTGTATAAATAAGAAATTATTTACACAAGAAATTTGAGATGAATTGATGTACAAAGATGAACATAAATTGAATATTTGAATAAAGAATAAATGAATTTTGAAAAATTCTTTGGTGATAAACCAAATTGAAATTTCGTCATAATCATTTGAATGAACAAAGTTTACCTTTAATTCAATTTATAAATATAATCACAGAGTTCTTTGAAGTGATGTCATGAGACTACGACCTATAAGAAAAGAAAAAAGGAGAGAGAGAAGGTACGATTGGGCTCTGGTATTGGCAAAGGAGTATGAGAGGTTTTAAGAGTAGGGGCCCTCGCATATAAGAGAATATCAAAGAGGGCCGTCTGTAGTTTATATTTCAAACCAACACCGTTCTTTCTCCTTTTTTATTTTTTCATTTTTTATGATTTTTCAAACTGCAATTCATTCAATATAATGTCCTAAAACTCATGTCAATTCTAAATTACAATTATTTTTATGATTAAATTGTATCTATCAATAAAACAATGCAATTACGATCTTAAAGTGGTGTACTACAATAAATTGGAAAAATAAAATATATATAATTAATAAAACATAATAAAGTTTCTTCTTTGGTGATTTTTAAACAAAAGAAAAAGAAAAATGAAATCAATTAGTATATTATTGTTAGCACTTGCATGCCAGGCTTCTTGTCAACGAGTGATAGAGGCCCAACCAAGTAATCCAGGTGATAATGAGCCAAATTTCGTGACTCGTAAGTATTGTGAAAGATGATTATTTTGTAAAAAAAAAAAAAGAAAAATGTGTACAAAGAAAATAGTGATAATATGAAACAACAATATAATTTTCAACAAGATGATGTTTATTGTAATAATAGAAATAGTTTCATTCAAAGTAATTGAAATGCGTACTTAAATTCATTAGAATGACAAGAATGACAATAGTAATAGTCAAGTTGATTTTTAGCGATGAGCCAGGGAGAGCAACGAACAGGTATAATAGCACGTGTGGTGCAACACAAATGCTCGGCGTGACGAAGGTTATGTCAGAGATTTACGTAATAATCGCGACGGAACTCGGTGGAGAAAGTCGGTTGGACTTGAAGTTTCGAAGATATTACGGTGTTCGCAACTACTACAACAAATTTAACAGCTTCGTACTGCGGTATATATATGAGAAGTTAAAGTAGAGAAAGTGTCTAAGATGACATGATGATGTGTATTTAGGGCTTTAAAATTATTTAATACATTTACAAATGTTAGAATATCCAATACCTTTCCAATTATTTCCAAGTATTTCAAAAGTAGGTAACATTTGATCAGAAAATTATATACTCACTATTGCTATATGATAGCTTGAATATTGAGTTTGAATGATATCCATAACGAATCACCTAAAATTCATATCGACAAATTGTTGACTTTCTTAAAAAAGTACTTTTTGGAGGAAACTTGTGAATTTTACATGACCGGAAGTGAAAGCTGTTGCGTAAATTCCCTGTGAGTAGGAAGAAAAATCCAAGATTAAAGGAAACCTTTAGAACAATTATTTCATTGAGATTTTTCAGAACATTCTCTCGATCCTAAATTATTGTTAATAACAGTAATTACAAGTAGATGAGAAGCGTGATGATAAGTATGTATTTGTTTTCAGCTGAATATATACTCCCTTGTAGCAGAAGTGATCCAGCACTCGATAAATGCATCCAAAAGGCATTCAATCATTTAAGACCTTACCTAATAAAAGGTAATTTGTAAAATCATCATAATAAAAATGAAAAAATACAAATAAACATGCAGTGTATAATAATAAAGAAGTAAATAATTATAGGAATTCCGGAGTTGGAATTACCGTCAATTGAACCTTTGGTAATACCTCAACTTGGAATGGAAAATGGGCAGGGAGCTGTAAGAGTAAAAGCTCTCTTCACCAACATCACGACTTATGGATCTGGCAATTACACTGTTAGCAAAGTCCGGATTGATTTGCGTACGCTTCGAGTTGATCTTCAGCTCAGCATACCAAAGATAGAAATTCAAGGGCGATATGAAGTAAATGGGAAAGTTCTTCTGTTTCCTATTCAGAGCCAAGGCGAATTTTGGGCCCGTTTCGGTATGTTTATTTTTATTCATTTCATTTACGAGAGGATGATGTCATATTTTTTCTATCCAGGTGATGTTGAGGCAACAGCACAAGTTCAAGGAGTTGAAGAACTAAGAGATGGCGTACGATACATGAGGATATCACGACTATTAGTCGATTTCAACTTGGGAAGCTCACGGTTTCATGTGTCAGATAAACTTATGGGCAGAAATGTTATAGGCCAGGCAATGAACCAATTTCTCAATCAAAATGCCAGAGAAATAATTGAAGAAATGCGTCCAGCTGCTCGTGCCAGTATTGCTGAACATTTCATGGCATTTCTCAATACTGCCTTTACCAAAGTTCCTCTCAAGGTTTGGCTTCATGACACGTGAAAAAATCCTTTGTCTTTATTCCAATATATATGTAATATGTTTCATTATTCTCTTATGTTCTGCTTTTTATCATTTTTCACGAGCCATGCATTATTCAGGATCGCGTGACGAGTAAGAGTGAGAGAGTATGTATTCAGCTAATTAGTGAGCAATCAAAAAAAAAAAAAAGAAAATAAAATATTACATCATATCTAAATATGTGATTTATACACGAATTTTTTCATCATTATTCATTTCTAATCGCCATTTTTTTATTTGTTTACAGTTTGTTTTCTTTTTTATAAGGTACCTGTAAAAATTTATTAAAAAGCATGAAAAAAATGCATAAATTAGAATTTTATGGACTGTGTGAAAATATTGTAAAATATAAGTAAGAAGTACATTTTTACTATTAGTTATCAATAAAAATTTTATCAAAAGCATGAAAATTGTTGTTTTTTTTTAATCAAAACCTCCATAATGTTAATTTGTGATCCAAAACCTCACTATTTATGATCTATAAAAAATTCACTTAAAAAATAATTACTCTTACGAATTTAATAAAAATTCTTGTAATATTTTCTTCGCATTAAAAAAGATATAACTAATCTGTGAAAATAAATTAATGCAAAATTATTCAGCAAAATGGTTTTGCAAGAAAAATTTTGAAATTAAAAAAAATAAAAAAAAATAAAACGTAAAAACCCAACATATTATTTTTTTTTTTAATAGCATGTAGTTGATCACTTTTGCTTTGTCACTTTTCATTTAACAATTGGATAAAGCTCAAGAGTTTTAATGGAAGGTTCTCCACTTCTCTTATTTGTCAATATTGTGTGTTTTTTTCTTCATTTATATTCTTGAACTTTTCCATACTTATTTCATTTCGATGAAATATTTTTACAATCTTTTCAATAATTAACTATCCTTGACAACATTCAATTTATTGCTAATATTTTTATTTTTAGAGATACACAGTATTATTTACGACTCGAAAAAAATACCTGAGTCGAATATGACCATGAAATTAATATAAACATTTACCTACACCTCAATAACAACAATAAAAATAGTAGCCTTTTTAAATAATGAACAGTAAATAAATAATTATCTATTTTACTAAAGTTGGTCAACGAAAAATTCATGTCACTTCCCATGATTTATTTCGTAAAATAATGTGACAAATAAAATTAATTTAATAAAAAAGAAGCATCGAAAAATGGTAATTTTTTGCTAATTAGTACGTTTTAACTACGTATTTGATTTTATCAATTTAGCATTGAATTAATTTTTTTCTGTGCTATAATAACATTTTATAATTAATATAAATGATTTCGAAATACTTGTTATCATAGTAAATTAATTGGACATATCAAATTTCGTATCCTTGTTCTTTAAATGAATTAATACATTGATGATCTACATTGATCTACAAAAAAGCACGTATAGGCCGTCTGTTTTTGATAACAAATTAGCAGCATTGTCGGGTCTCCTATCATTTGAACTTTAACCCTGGTGTTACTTTTTAGTTTCAAGTGACGTTGGTAAGTTGCGAGGGATAACGTCGATGTAGACAGACCAGTATATTCGCATTTCCTTGGTAGAAGTCATCAAAAACTTGAGAACGTTTCATTTTTTTTTTTTTTCAATTTTATCTTGTCTTCTATGCTGCTCTGAAATTTATTTTTTCAATCAATCAAACAATATATTAGTGAATAAATAGGAAATAGTTTGGAAAAGTAAAGATTTCGATGATGGGTCAGTTTACTAAGAGACAGTGGCTTACCCTCATCGTTATCAGTATTGCTGACTTTGCTAATGCCATCTGTGTCTCACTCCAAGCTCCATTCTATCCCCAAGAGGTGAGTCATAAGTTTCTTCAATTAATTAGAATGATATTACATCTCAAATGAATGGGAATTCATAAACGTAAAACCGTCATCATAAATAAAAGCTGTTTACATTTACTATGTGATCATACTTATTGTATTATGTCTCAAATTAATTAACATGATGTCAAGTATTATCACATCTTGGTCGACAGAATTTAGCTAAATAATATTATTCCATATTCGAGGAAGATTGCATCAGGTTTGGGAAGCTTGTTCACGTGATACTTGAGAGTAATATGAAATTTTGAAAATCACTCTGAAAAATAAATCAATATTTAAATAGATTAGAGAATAATGATGATAAGTCAAGTTGATTAGGAATGAATGTTTCAGTTATTTAGAAAGTAATTTTAAAAATTCTTAGAATATTTCATATGTTTATATCTGTGTAAAAAGATTGTAAATCTATTGACATATGCTCAGAGTTTATCAAGAAATTATCTCCAGTAACACTTACTTCAATACGACAATATAGAAACTATTATACATCAATTAAGTAAATAAAAAGAATTTTTATTCAAATATATATCCATAAATAATTCAATAATTCTATTTTAATATTTCTAACTGGAATAAATCTATTTTTCCTCTGAATGTACTTTAGGCTGAGAAGAAAGGAGCAAGTCCATCAGAATATGGTCTGGTGTTTGGAATATTTGAATTAATTGTCTTCCTCATCAGTCCAGTATATGGACAAAATGTTTGTAAATTTTTTTATTGAATTCAGATTAATTAAATTATTGCTATAACATGAATAGATATTCCTTATTGATGTGGATTTGAATGTAGTTAAATAGAGTTGGACCAAAGCTGCTGTTTAATGGTGGTATTTTAACAACTGGCACATGTGCTATATTCTTTGGTCTTTTGGACCGAGTTGAGGGTCATTATCCCTTTATCGTACTCTCTTTCGTTATAAGAATAGTCGAAGCACTTGGTAATGCTGCTTTTCTTACTGCCAGTTTTGCTATTATTGCCAAAGAATTCCCAGAAAATGTAGCCACGACATTTGCGAGTTTGGAAACTTTCTTTGGATTTGGACTTATCGTTGGACCAACGATGGGTGGTGCTTTATATCAGGTATTCATAAATATAAATATTATTAGTCAATTTAAAAAATTCATTTAAACCCGGATATTGCTATTTTCTTTTCTTGACAAAAAATCTATAATTATAGGCTGGTGGATATACCATGCCATTTGCTGTCTTAGGATCAGCTTTGATCATAACAGCAATCGCAACTGCTTTCGTTCTTCCTGTACATAATGATTTAGATCAAGAATCTCAACATTTCGGAGGCAAGAATATTTTTTAATAAAAAATTCAAGAGCTGATTAAAATAAATAATGATTAATTTAATTCATTAATTTTAGGATACACTAGTGTTCTGAAAATCCCAGGAGTCATAGTGGCAACTGTTTCTATAATTGCAACAAGTATGAGTATAGGATTTCTCCAGGCAACACTGGAACCCCATTTGCGTCAGTTTGAATTAAGTCCAGTAGTTTTGGGATTAATGTTTGTAATTAATGGAGGTACTTATGCTGTTACTGCACCTTGTTGGGGTTGGCTATGTGATCGTCGTTTAAGACCCAAAGTAAATTTATATAGTGTTCAAAAATTTAATTCTTATTATGTTAATAATGAAAATTACAGTCAAATCTTTCTATAAGCAAGTACTTAGACTAGTGTTTTTTCCTCCGAACCAACGTTTTATATAAATGCAGAAAATTGCTTATAGAAAGGTAGTCTTCTTGTTTTCTTATATTAAAAATAGCTTATGAAGAGATTTGATTGTATAACAATTTACAGATTGTAACTATTAGCGGTTGTATATTTGTAATGATCGGTTTTTGTTTGATTGGCCCAGCGCCTTTCATTCCATCTCAAACACTCCTATGGCTAACGATTTGTGGACTGATTATCCATGGACTAGGATTATCTGCTCAGTTGGTAGCAGCGTTTTCTGATGCTCTGGCAACCACAGTGTAAGTATTATCAACAATCACCAAGTTTCCTACTGTTGTCTCAACAGTAAGACACTTTGCTTTCAAACCTTTTCTCTAGATATCATCACCATTATTTTCTACTTTGAATCAATTAAACCAGACATTTAAATTTTGATAGATCTTATGGATTCCCTAATAACTTTGAAACTTATGGGCTAATAAGTGCTCTTTGGACGAGCTCTTTTGCTCTAGGTGCTTTTATTGGTCCAAGTGTAGCTGGAATTCTGTTAGAAAATATAGGTTTTCGGAATGGAACAATGTTTATTGTGCTGTTTCACTTCTTGATCGTAAGTTAATGTTTGATTAATTTTATTCAGTAATGATAATTGCAAGTGATGATGAAATAATTTGTAATTAGGGTATTACTGCAACGGTATTTGTAAGCTGTTCTCGGGCTCCAAAACCTTATACAGAAATTGATAGTGACGGGAATATACGAGGATCATTAGCTGATAGCGGTAGATCTCACAGTCCAAGTTTATCTACTCGACAAGCTCATAGTCATCAAAATGAAACCATTGATAGGCTTAGTAGTATGAATTCATTAATAGTTTGTAACAGCTATTCTAATCGAGCTGGAGGTTGGTCCCGAGCATCCTACAGTGGTCGTTATAGCCATAGTTATGGCTCAATAGAAAAACGATATCTTTTAGAAAGAACGACGTAGAATTTGGATACTGTTATGTTGGTGTTTTTGGAATGGTTTTTTAAATATTCTGAGATTGTGAAGTAAACGTGTTTATAGCTGATACTATTAGCTATTAATGGACTTGAGACTTAATTTTTTTTTTCACATTTTAATTACATGTTAGCATCCAAAATTTTTAAATCAATTAGTTGATCATAAACGAGAAGAAAACATTGATTTTTTCTAAATTGGACAAACTCTTAAAAGTGAGCAAATTTTTTTGGCATTTTGTCCATTTGCAAATTTTATATTTCATTTATCTGATTAGAAGTCATGCCAGTTATTGATAAAATTACTTAAACATGTACTGTAATATATAATTTTTTTTGAAGCGTTGAATCATAAGAATTCATATCTTAAAAATGATTTTTTTCTACTTAATCTCAGTAAAAGCATATGGAGCAGCTATGACTTATCAACATAACATAACCGATAACATGATTTAATAGCCTAACTAATACCGACAAACAACTAGCAAATTTTTAACGTTGACTGTTGCAAGTTCTCCGCATGCATATTGAATTCCTCTGCGTTTGCCGCACCTTCTCACGTGCAATCCAACCCGTGACTATTGTAACACGTCTAAAACTATGTGCTTAGAAACTTCTGCCAATGCTATTAACGCCTTAGAAGTATTTCATTAACTGACATTCCTTTAATGACTCATAATAAATACCTAAAATGTGAATTACTAGAACTTTAGAGGGTTTTATGAATTTTATGATGCGTGTATGCCAAGATCTTCTGGTGTGCAAAGAGTTGGATCAAACATCACGTACATACATACATGCCAACGCAACAACGAACATTCCCTATTCTTTCTAAACCACCGTGTTCGCTCATGTGCATCGACCTGCCCGGAAGCTGTCGGCTATTCTACATAATGCATAACACAACAGTCTTCATATACCTTTAGATTTTTTGATAGAAAAAATATCGCCATATGTATTAACTTTATAAAAAAAAATTATTTTCCAAACAATATGCACAGTTTTTTTGTTTCAAAGTTTGAGAATATAAAATTAATTATTTATTATGTTGTTGCATTAATTGGAGTTTTAAGACCTTTGAGTGAAGAAGGGGTTTATTATTTATTCAAAGGGCAAATTATAATTGAAAATTTGACGATTGTAATTGATAAAATAAATGATTCAAAGAAAAAGGCAAATTAACGCCTGCGAATTTATTCGTGTGCATCGGCATGTCCACATTCTATTTCGTTCTACGTAATAACACAACACGATTAGCAAAGTACTTTATTTTCATTAATAGTATATACTTAATCTTTTTATCCACTTAAGAAGTCATTGTCCTTAGCATCTTTTAACAAGTTCAAGAGATAGGAAAAATGCTAGTTCATTCAATTCCCTGATGTTTTTTTCTTTTACTGTAATAATACTACTTTTTTAGAGAGTTAATTAACAATTAATCGCATGAATTATTTGTAATTATACTTAATGGTTGACAAAATTGGAATATGGTCAAGACAAGTACGAAAAAAAATGCGTTTTGTAAGGGTGAAAGGCTAAGTTGCTATTTTTATAAAACATTTTGTAATTGTTTTACTGTACTAGATAATTTTTCTACTCTTTAAACTTTCAGAACGATTCATTGTCCTGATTAATTGTTGCTTTTTAAATCATTACAAATTGTAGTTTTTATTAGAAAAAATAAATGAAGGTAATCAAAAAATGATTAATGATGGCTATTACTTTTGCTCTACATGACTAGCTGATTTCAATAATTTTTTTACTTATTATAAATGTTATAATTTATGTATAAATATTATCAATTATCTAGTATGTAGCATATTTTTTATTTAAACTTTTGCATTTATAAAAAAAAAAATTCATTAATTAAATAAAAATATATAGCAATCAAATTGTTTAACTACTTCCATAAACCTAAAGTTCAAATGCTGAATAAATTTACATCTAAAGTAAACAGACGAATGTAAATATTTTTATTCCGTGGAGTCTATGTGTGTTACAAATACGCAGATAATGAAGGTAGAGCTTAAATTTACAAGGAAGTAAAATGACGCACCTGCTTAAGAATTAAGATTAAGGTAAGAAGTAAAAAGGAGGTTCAGGTGTGAGGGACAGGAAGGAAGCAAAAAACAGGTTGCCAGTAGGTACACTCTGTTGGGCTTATTCGAGTAGAACCCGCAACTACATTATAACATTCATGGCCATCAACGTCATCAGATTCAGTAGTTCATCACTCACGATTCTCATGACTTTTAGTCAAGTTTTTTAGTGACTTTTATTTCACAAAAAATTTTATTATTTGTTTTTTATTTCCAAGTGCGCAAATCAGACACAAATCTTCAACATTTCGGAAGTTCCAAGTTGTTTTGATGTTACCAGTCCTGGTGTTCTTTAAAGAACTGAACAAGAGGATGAATAAATCGACTTTAAAACCGATTTCGTGACTCCAAAAAATTGTTTATTTTTTTTTGGAGTATTTAAGTACTAAAACAAGGTGCTGCCACCTGAATGTAACAGAATCACTAAATCGGAGAGCACAGCAACAGGTCTCGAGGTCCAAGGGTTGGTCGGTGTCCCTCCCACCACCCTGAAGAGCCGGTTTTAACCATAGAGAGATGGATCGCGCATGCGCTAATACTTTTCCTCTTTTGAACTTATCCATACTCTTCTTTTTCTAACTGCTCGTCGAAGTAAAGGGAAAAGGCCCGCAAATACGGTCTGTCTGAGCTTTGCGCATGATCAAAGCCAACACTAACTTGTTTATCTTTCTTTCTCCACCATTGCATCCAAAAGTTTTTTTTTATTTAAACGTCTTTCCCGCGTCTCTTAGTCCTGCCTCCCAAGAGTTAGTATTTTTTTCACAGACCGCCAACACGATCAGTCATATCAGTACCCGCGGAGACATCAACAGAGAGTGTGTGTTATACGAGTTATCAAAAGTTTTCATTTTTATTCATTATACCGGTAATTATTAAATACATTTTATCCAAATATCTATGGAATATACAACGTGCATATTGGTGGTGACCAGTGCAATGAGGATCTAGTCTCAATAAAGGTACGTATTGTTAAATCAATTTATTCATTTAATATTTTTTCTACTATTAATAAATATTCTTCTAAATTTATTACACCTCAAAAAAATGATTCTATTAAAATGTATTGAAATAGAGTTTTAAAAAATTCTTTTTAAATTATGTTAATTTTTGGAGGCCGTCAAAATCAAATATTTGATTATGAACATAAAAAAAAATTGAAGGTAAAAAAGGAAGGTATTATAAAATATATGGGTCGAATGTGTGTTAGAGTTTTCAAAGAAATAATGTGTATGAATTTGGGTAGTGATTTCAACGTATGGAAAGAAGTGATGTGAGAATGTAAGAATGATTTCGAATACTTGAAGTCTAAAGTACATTTACTTATTGCCGATGTTTCCATGTAAATAAAATATCATCGATAACATTATTTATTGAGAATTCGATGATCGGTGTACAGAATAATCGAAAATTGTGATTCCACACATGTCGATCATTGTAAAAGGGAAGAGAGACGGGAGAAATGAACGAGACGGACGATACGTGCGCGTGTATATGCGTAAAGAAAAATCGCGTGACGGGAATATAACGACTTGGAGGTCTTTTGAGAATATCCCAAGACATTCTAAAGACTCTTTAGATGATATTAGAAAAGATAGAATTTCAATTCATAACTTATGATGGATATTCGTAGAATAGCTTTGCGTTTGATCATTTTAAAAACTTGATTTTCAAACTGGTTAAAATATAATTATTGTCATTAAATTGTCATGTTGATTTTTCAATAACATATTTGTGAACATAATGAACGAAAAAAAGAAAACATTGATGGAGTTTAAGGCATTCAATGCACCTTATAAAGTTATCATTTTTGTCGAGTCGAACAATGGAGTATGATGCGATGAACTCACGAGTTCACACCTGTATAAAGTATAGGTATATAAGGCTATATTTAAGTACTTTATTTCATTCTATTGTATATTTTTTTAACCAAACACATTTAGTCACATCTAGAGACAATAATGATTATTTAAATAATATTTAGTTATCAAGAAAAATTATTTATTTATTTTTTAACTTGATTTTAAAATGCCCTGATTAAGTATTTATATGTAAAACAAAAGGTATGTTCGAATAATATTAAATAGTTTCCTCATTTTTTTTCGTCCTGGAATACAGCCTCGGCAACCTAATGAAATTCAAGATGTACCAATATTTGGAGGAGAGATCGGCCGAGGTACTTTCACCGTTCAAAATTCGGTCATTACACCTCTTGTAAATAATTTATGGCTAAATGGTCTTTCAATCATTAAAGTGTCGACAATAATCAATGTACGTAATATATTATTAAAGATCTATACATAAAAGTTTAGTAGATAAATCACAGTAGAATGTTGCTACTTGATGTTAACGATTTCATTTAAAAAAAACGAACATGTCGAAAACCTTTTATATTGTTAAACCAACGCTTTTAAATTCATATTCATTGACTGTTCAAATGATTCTATTGTGACTTGGTGTAATTGAAAGAGTTGATTATACAAAATTATTTTTGAAATCATTCTGTGGATTTTTTCTTAATATCATTTACATGATTTCCAATAGCTTGTAAAAGTTTTGAATACGAAGTGTTTCGTACACTCATTGTCACAGTATCAATTACAATATCTTGGCACAACTCTCAGACACGTGCATTTATTTCATTTGCATTTTTTCTTCCAAGAGCTAGTGTACTTTTATTGCTTGTGGTTACTTTCGCGGTCGTGGTCTCTTGCCAACCACATAGCTAATGTCGAATTGGGTAGTTCTTCTGATGAATAATAATCACTTGATGAGCCAACGATTCCGGAAACGTCCTTGAGACGTCTGACTATTGTAGGATATTATCTAAATTGGCACATAGAGTAATCATTTATTCTTTTTCTCTCTATCCCTATTCGGTTTAATGTATCAGGACTAATATGTCGGTGTACTATTTTATACCACTAGGGCCTTGATCCGCCTTACAGTTGCTTTTTTTCTTTTTTTTCTCTCATTTCGCAATGGAGAATAAATTAGAATAAGATATGAATTTATAAATAAATATGGTTAGCTTGTTTATAAGTAATCAAATAATATATTATTTATTTATCAAAATTTTTTATTCATTTCTTTAAGATTCAAAATAATTTTATTTTTATCTCCAATCAATACTTATATTAAACAAATGAAATACTAGTCATTGAGGTAGTTGAAAAAAAATTAATTTAAATGAAAATAATTAAATTGGATAGAAGAAATACTTGAATGGTGAATGATTAGGAGAAAAGAATATTACTCAGTGATTGTTCAATAAAATATTTGTTCACCATATCAATTAATTTTTTATTCATTCAATTGAACAGGTCAATAGATTCAACAAAAAGTTAATATATCGTTTGGTCATAATAACAGTTGTTGAAATATTGTAAGATTGAAGAATGTATGCACGTGAAATCGGGTATATTGCATCGTAGGTTTTTAAGTAGCTACGTGCCAACGCCTAGACAGCAAAGGTTCTGACTTGATCGCGCGACACTTTCACTTTATTAGATAGGCACATACGCGTGGACCCGTTCGCCGGCCTCGGTAAAATTGTTGTCGAATGGTTCTTTTCTGCTCTTACCGGTTCGATTACTTTTCTCAACTTTATCAGGTCACATTTTTATAATCAACCAAAATTTATTTTAGTTTTCAAGATCGATAAAAATAGTTTAGTAAATATGAGATTGTAAGGTCATAAAAATAGAAATATAGATTAAGTTAAAAAATGTAAACCTTGCACAATATTTTTTTTGCATTAATAACATATATGTGCAGATTTATTTTATGTGAACAGAAGTCTTGTTTCGTTACACCTGACTACACTTCGCGACGGCCTAGACATTTCTTAGTGATGACGAGAACCATCATCTGAATAGGTTTCTGTTTAGAAAGGGAGAGTGAAACCATTTAGGACCTGTAGGATAGGTAGGGTCAGCCTCTAATTTTTTTTTTCTTCTTTTATTTGATATTCAATGGAGGAATGATGATCGCTTGTTTCCTATCGTTTTATTTTATTACGAAAAAATAAAAGATCGTGTTCAGAATAAAACAATCTCAAATAATAAAATTATTCATTTTGTTTTCAACATTTCAAGGCAATCGAAAATCTTCAATTCAACTTTCATAAAAGAGAAGTTTAACATTTATTTATTTATTGAATTTTTTTTTTTATTGAATAAGATAAATTGGAAGATTGGAAAAATGAAATAAATAGAAAGGAAAATGAGCCTGTTTGTAATGAAAGTAGTAAAACAATTAAAAAAAACTTCCGCTACTTTGCAAACATTCAAATTACTAGATCTATATAATTAAAATGTTTCAGTACAAAGTTTAATTTGCTCTGACAAATATATAATATTGTTGGTCTCATTGGCTGCTAATATCCCCTATGTAATTATTGAAACTGAAATTCATTAAAAGGAAATAATAAAATATAGGAGTAGTGAATGAATAAAGTACGAAACTAAAAGCATTTAAATGCGGTAATATCATCATCAACTATCCAACGTATAATCACAAATAATTAACAGCAACTCTGATGATTGTGCAATTAACGTTTGACATCTCAAATTCATTTTCTCTAAGTAAGTATACTTGGATTATCTACAATATTCTATCAATTTTGAATATTTATTCACAGAGTTCTTTCATTTTATGCATTAAAGAGTTTGATTTTATCAATTATTCCATCATTTATGTATCCAGCTAGAAATAAATCAGTATCTAACATTAATTTTTTATCAAATTATTTTCAATTATAAATTCTGTTAATGCAAAAAGGTGGAAAGCTTGAATTTATAAATAAACTAATTGTAGAAAAATTATAATTAATATTATTTTAGCTAACATGTTTTATGTAAGCGGTAAAAAGGAGAGTAACTTTACTAGTATCGCCAATCATATGCGCATTTTTTTTTTTTTTGATAAAACAATTACGGAGAAATTTGTGATTTTTATGTGATAAGATGTAGTTTAACATAATTATTTCTAAATTATATATTCAATTTTATTATACCACTTTTAACCAAAAAAATGTTTCATTTCATCACGACTTTCAAGGAAAAATTTTTTTGTGCAACATTTTTTTGATTATATTCATGGAAAAATTTTATGGCAATTTTTTTTCAATCAATATTTACTCATTCTCTATGCTAACGATTATCGTTTAAAATGACGTTTAACTGTTTTTTTTATCAAATTAATCTAAACTTCCATGAAAAATGTAATCATCCAACATTAGCTCATCCTTTTTTCTCTAAAGTACTGTTAAAAGTGACGTTGAAATTTCTTATCAACATTAGCACCAAGTTGCATGACAAATTAACTCATTTGACATTTACTCATTTTTTGTTCGTATAACCGTTGTTGTCTAGTGGGACGTTATCATCCATTAATAAAAGACATGTCATTCATCAGATAGATTTAGGATTTCTCGTGTACCATCTGTACTATGACGTGGTATCTTCAAGGTCAATAATCCACAAGTTCTTTGATGCACTTGTCTTAATCATTTTTATATGTCAAATAATAATTTGCGGTGACTTTGACCAACTTAAAATATCCGGTTCCAGTTATTTACCGTTTCAAATATTTTATGCAAAATTGACATGATTAATTGATATAATCGACTCGAATTAAAATATAGATTGTTCTTAAGAGAGAACTGCAAGGTCATTTAGATCAACCAGCCAACGCACTTTCATATCTTAAAGGTATAGTGCAATAATATGAACAGTGGCTGTCACCCAAAAGACAATCTTATATATAGTATGAGATTAATTTTCACCATTAATTGCGTGCAAAGCTCAACTGTATTAGATTATTACTACACGACTTTCCCTGAAGTGAATTATAGCTTGTTAATTGGCATATATACCGATAAAATAAAAAAAAGAAATATATCTTTTCTCTAATTGTATAAAAAGTATGAGTTGCGTTACGGATAACATGATGTAATACATGATAAATTAATATTAATATTTTATACTAAATTTAAAGACGATCAAGAACAAATTATAATAAACATCTCTAACAACTTTCTTCCGGATTCTCGATAGCAGGGAAAATCTCACATACAAGAGATCGCGTGAAAACAGTAAAAAATACGAAGAAAAAGTCCCCCCAGCTTCCTACTGACAGGTTTTCGGAATGTTGTCGAACAACATTGTAACTTTTCTTTATCACCTATGTTTACTTCCGACATTTTTAATTATTTTTCCGGCTTTGACTACTGTCAATTTTAATGCAAACGTTGGATTCTGAACTGTATGGACCAAGAATGCTGATTATGTCTTAGATGGAATTTGAAAAAAAGACTTTGAAAGAGAGCGATGGTGTAAAAAAAAATATATGTACATTTAGATGGATATATATTGTATCTATATCATGATATAAATTGATTACATAACCATTTGTTAGTAAGAAAAACCACAGAGACCCTGTAGCAGTAGAACATGTTGCAAGTTTGTCCTACTTTCTAATCAAGCAGAGACATTATTTTTCACATGTTTTATGCAAAAAATTCTTTTTGAATATCTCCAATAAAACATCAATCACTTTAATTCAAAGACGAATAACAAATACCCATAGAATGAAAACGATAGGTAAAAAATTAACTCGTTTGTCAGTAATAATATTTTTAAAAAATATCTGATTAATCATTAATACTGATAATTTTGCATATGTTAACAGCACCAATGATGTGATAATTAATTTTAAATGCCTTCTTTAATTAATTATTATATCAGATTATTTTTATTAAGGATTTATAACTACATTTTATTATTAATTTAATAGAACTCTTTATTGAGCGGCATAGCAACAAACTTGTTACTTCATGTTAATTTAATCTATTTCGAACCGCAAAAGGAATCGTGGCGAAGGATAGAAGAATCTGCACATCTAACTGGAATTAAATCCGGGAGTTTTCTGTCAGTACGCGGATGTTTTTTCTAGTAAGCCATTGGGTGTACTTATCTCTAGTGTCTTTAATCCGGTCATTTTATCGAATAACATTGAAGCTATCAAGTAAAATAATTTTTTTACTCCGATCATGATGTTGTGCAATTTTTTCGCAATATCTAAATAATCAACCTGGGCTATAACAGGTTTTTTTTTTCAAAAACCAAGTATTTTTTTTATCAAATTTAATCAACGAAATTTTTTTAAATGAATAAAATACAAATAGATTTTTAATGATTATAAAAAAAAAAATGGGTTTTTCATGATAATTTCTTTTTTTTATTTCGAGTAATAAATATACTCGAAAGTTCAAAGATTTATTGTCAACTTTCCTTTAGTCAGTTGTAAAGAAAATGATAGTTAATTAGAAAAGTATATATTCTTCGGGAAAAGTCTCATCAGTAAATATACTTAAAACAGAAAACGGTAAATAAATAAGTAGGCAGATAATCGACACTAAATTATATTGGTACCCGTATGTGTTAAAAATACATGAATTATGATTACGGATTAGATATATTTAACTTTAACTCAAGAAAACGACTTTATTTATAATGCCATAATCCACCATATCCATTTCCACATAAAATCAAATGTGTCGGGATTAGCTTTGGAGTAAAAAAAAAAAAAAAGGAGAACTCTTTTGTGATCATTACTAGACAAACTAATTTATGTTACGTGCTTGTTATTAAACTGGATGTATGAAAAGTAATACGCTACATCGCGTGGGTGTATGTATTGTCTCGTAAAGAATGTAGAAAGTAAAGTATCTTGAGTAATGCAGAGAACAAAGTATAGGTTGTGGACGAGAACTCCGAGAACGGCAAGGATGGATGCGCCAATGGGAGGATCTTCTTCAACTATCCTCATGTTCTACGAAGCATGTCGTTGTAGAAAAGGTCATTCGATACATCTTATTTTTACCTCGACATTTATCATTCATTTTTTTCGCTATATAAGAAGAATTCTTTTAATTCTAATTGATCTCATTCCAGCACAATTAACAAATACTTCTTACATATTCTTCAAATAACTTTATAGTAAACTTCTTCAATGATTTTTCTACATCCTCTAAATACTTTCTAACTGAGTCCTGATGAATAATCAACCTTAGCAACAGGATACAATATTCCATCGACAATCAGAAAAGTAAGAGTTTCAAGATTTGATATGTTGGAATATAATTCAACAAAATTTCCTATTTGTATATCAATTCCTATGACTTTTAAAAGTATTTCAAAACTTTTATATCGTTATATTACTGGTATATGTGATGAGATGTTCGCGCGAAAGTTAAAGTTCAAAGAGTGTAGGTACGTTGGTGAAGATGAGTCTTCACGTGAGATTATGTTTAAAACATATACATAGAAAGGTGCATGCACACAAAATCAACGGATCTATCGTGGTGTATATAAGCTTTAGGTTGAGAAAAAAAATCTACCGGTTTGATTTTTTTATTTATTTATTAGCTGGAGTATGCTCGGAGCAACTCACGAACTCTGAAGAAGATGAAATAAAAGATTCCATTAGACATAAGACATGTAAATGTGTATGGCCCGTTAGTAGGTATTTCGTTGCGTCATTGTAAGATAACTTATTCGTTTCATACAAATTTAATCATTATGATAGAAAAAAATTTATCACTTTTACCTAATGAAAGGTATGTTTAAAAAATTTTTTCTCACCAGTATTTTTTGTACAAGTCATACTTAGTTAATAAGAGAGTATGATATTGTCATTAAATTAAGACAAATACCAGGGCAATGCCCGGTGATTTGTTGTTATTATAATCCAGAGCTTGTGTAACTGCGTTACTCACCATTCGCTTTGTTTTGTCAAGTAACTAAACGGGTGCAGGCAAACGATATCTCACGACCAAGCGACCGTAAGTTGCACTATGGTTAGTATTATGGCTTGGATCCTTTATTTAAAGAAATTAATTTTTCTAGCATTTCATCAGAATGGTGTGATAATTCGTCATGAAATGTAGAAAGTGATAATTTTTTTGTCCCTCTAATTTCAGAATATTTTTTCAATTAAAAATAATATTTCTCATGGTTTTAATAAGCAGGAGAATGGTAATAATTAGAGGATTGAAATGAAATATATTGGAACGAAAATTCTAGTCTCTCTAAAATTTAGATTCTAAAAAAAAAAACGTTATCGACTAGTCATGATTTCTTTGCAGTATAGCTGTGGAAGAAGCCCTTTCGGTGAATCAGTCCTTTGTGGCTGGGTTTCTCAGGGTCAACCACTTTTCGCATTTACAATATACATATATGCTTGCATGAGTGTTGGTCGTCTGCACTTTACTAAGTAATTTTGTTCCTTCAAACTTTTCATGGTGTAGTGAGAATATGACAAATACTCAACTCTATGTTATTTTAAAATTGTTTGGAAAATGTAAATATGATAACAATAATTGTCACTGAAAACGAAAATAGTGAATTAAGAATGCAGACATTTTTAAATAATGGGATAGTCTTGAAAGATGCTTGAAAAATTATGCGAGTCTTTTTTTCACTAAAAGGCATGTCTACAGACATGGCACATAAAAATTCAAGAACAAAGCAAAAAAGTCGTTAAAAAAGATATTTGTGGCTGAGAGAAATACCCTGAGATGTAGATGAAAACCAAATCTCAAGATGAAATATCACTTGGGAGCTAGAAATATGATGTTCCTTGGCATTCAAAAATATTTTTTCATCTTTTTAGAGGTGTAATATAAAACAAAACAAAAAAATAATAATTTAATCTCTAAATAATAAAATTTATTTCCAGATAATAGTGATACCCAGTTTTTGGAACTTATGACCAAAATAGTATAATACAATGTCGGACTCTGGTGGTACAGATAATCCAGCATTTAATAACTCTGATGAATACAATGCAACGAGTACGAACTTAGAAAATAGTCAAACAGAGAATCTCCAGCAGGAGCAAAAAGATAAGTCATTGCCTATAAGCAATGGTCATTCTTTCGTGTCAAAACACTATGTTGAGCCGAGTCAAAATACTCCAGAAGCTCAATACAAGACTGAAACCAGGATTGAAGTTCCTACTGAAGATAACAAAACTTCAAATACTATTAAAACCAATGGGATAAATGGGAATGGTAATAATAATGATTTAAGCTTTCTCAATTCAAGCATCACTAGTGGCCAAATAAACGGTAAGTTATACTCATTTCTATAGCCAATTCATAGTATATACAACACTGGTACCAGTCTAGAATAATATTCTAGTGTATTAAAAAATTTCTCCAACCATAAAAAAGTGTTTATTGCATTGCCATTTCCTTATTAGCTTTCAATTTAGATAGTTAGCAACTCCATAAACAATCTCCAAAATTTCTTAAGCATATTAGGTATCATGATTACATACAAATTTACAGTTAATTGCAAAATATCAATTGAATCCACAAGCAAATTCTAGGTCAGTGAAACCTGTGAGTTCTTGACGATATGTACCACGACTCACTTGTTGCTCTGTACCGCATTCTTTACTCTCCTCCTATTTGACAATTCGATGAGGGTCAGGAAGTTTCAAGTTTCACCCAAACGCATACATGCACATGTGACCTTGATCTTACGATTGATGTTGGCAGATGGTAAGAAGGAGCAAATTGAGGCCGTGAATTTGGAACTGGTATCAATGAGACCTTATACTGGGAATAATTTGCAGACCAAGGGACAAGAAGCATGTGAGATACCAAGTGATCCTTATGAAGAATACTTTGTTCCTGTTAATGAACACCGAAAATATATCAGGTATCATCGATTCATAAGCTTGGATATATCACTTCAAGTTCTACTCTAGTGTGGCCTTACTCTATTTTATTTCAATTTCAATTGTTCACTGTTCACCAGCAGCCTGGCGTGACCACGATCGCACAAACTTAAACATAAATTTTCAGTCTCGTAATTTACCTTACATCACATTCATTTTTCATTCTTCATATCTTTTAATTTTAATTTTGTGGTCGTCAATCGTCAGTTCTTTTATTCATTCATTCGTTTTCACTGCTTCGGTTGAAGCCAATCAAGAAATAATATTATTAATAAAAATAATAATCATAATAATAATCAGCTTCGGTATGTAAAATAAAAAAAAAGATGAATCTTCACATGAAAGTTGTGTTCGAAAAAAAGTTATTCTCATAATCCCCAACAAAATTAGCAGCAATCCAAGTGCAGAGGTTGAAACCACCGTGGCTGGTGTCCGTTTTGATTTGGGACCGGGTGTTGGCCGCGAAGGACTAAGCCTGAGAGACCCGGCCGCTGGACTTGTCGACTATTCCCACTGGCTCAAGGCCTTAAGGTACATCAAAGGAGTGCTTTGAGTTGGCGACAATTTGGAGAGGACGATGAGTCAAGCGACACTAACCCCCTTCGCTTTCAATTTAAAATTCATGACCATAGGGTTGATGCACGTAGAAAATCAGAGGAATAACGATGAGTCCACTGAGAAGGATCATGATCCTTCAAAACAAAACAAAAATGCACATTTAGATATTTAATAACCCTGGGAAGCTTTTAATGATGTTCCTAACTTATTTTAAGATGCATATGAAATGTCAATAGGCTGTACAGATATTGCTTTGGAAATTTAGAAAAAAAAAATTAACAAAAAAAAAATGATCTTAATTTTAATATTTTATGTTTCAGAGGTGAAAAACTCTATGTCACAAAGGATAAAAGATCGAAAAGTTCGTATTGGCGAAGAATAGCATGCTGGGGTTTTGGATTAAGTGTATTAGCAGTTGCTCTTATAATTGCTATTTTAGCAGGCAGTAAGATATTTTGTAAAGTTTATTTTACTGTTAATGTGAATGAATGAGAAGTTTGATGTTATCGTAAAATGTTTTAGCTGGTGTAATTTTAACTCAAGAAGCTACGCAACCGCTGGATAATGAGCATCAACGGTCACTTGACGATGTTAATGCTGCCGGAAGTCAAGAGTTTATTAAAAACCCACCGTCTAGTCCACCGCCGGAAACGTCTACTTTCCCACCATGGCGAACAACTGATGAGACCATGTTGAAAACAGTACCTAACGCACTAGAAGGAAGTATTTGGTTGGATAACCTTATGTGGAATGATGATCTGATGGATGTTAAAACACGAGTTTATCGAGATGTTGCCAGCGAAATAGAAGATAATCTAAGCAATATGATTGACACAGAAGGAACAAGGACTATGATTAAAATTTATAATATTACCAAACATGGCCAGGTAATGTTTAGAATTGGTAATCCACCAGTAATTCAACCCGATCTTCTTCAGGGTAAAATAGAAAAAATGCTTCGTCAAAATGGTAACATGATTGGAAAGTACCATCTTAGCAGAATGCATGTCAAACATTTGATAGATGAATGCCAGTATGAAAATTTGAATTGTTCAGAACTTTGTCAGTTTGACTACGCCAAAGGCATATTTGCATGTGGTTGTTTGCCGGGAAAAATGCTTGATGCCCTGGGAGTAAATTGTATAGATGAAAGTGATTTAAGTAATATTGATATGGTTGCTGAAGAACCTAAATCAACGAGTCAAGAAATGATTCAAGGTCGTGGTAGAGCTCCGGAACAATCATTTGAGCCAGAGGGAGATCATGATCACTGGATGCATCATCACTATCATTATGATAATGAACAGTCATTTACAGATTCAAGTATAGATAAAAAAGATGAAACTAGTTTAAAAACAATGTTAACAATGAATGACGAACCTAAATATGAATTAAATCCATCATCCGAGCCTAATGATGAACCAAAATCTCAGCAAGAAGAAATATCAAAAACTGTTGTTAGGCCCACTGTGGAAACAAAAACGACTCCAGATTTTAATTTTGAATCAAAGTTTGCAACAGAATCAACGTTCAAGCCACATTTTGAAGAATCAACACCTGAAATAAAAATAAGTTCTAATGTTGACCCACTTCCTGAAGAAGAATCAACAATGATACCTAGCGTTGAACCTGAAACTAATATGGAAATGGATGTCAAACATGAAACCGAGGCAGAAATGACATTGAAATCAACTACTGAGTCAAAATTAATATCAGAACCAGCAACAGAACATATGGAATCTCATTCAGAGTTAGAAACAACCGTAAGTTCTATGACTGAAATGGAATTAGGATTAGAAGCAACATCAGAAATGAACTTGGAAGAAAAATCGCATCCAGAACCAACAATGGAATCACATCCTAAGCAAGAGTCAAATTCAGAGGAGTCAATGAACAGAAATCCTCAGATGAAGTTTGATCAAGAATCAATGACAGTTTCTCCAGTTGATGAAACATCCACACCAATGTTGTTATCAGAGATAACTATGAAACCAGAATCAACTACAAAATTAATGACTGAATCAACCTCTCAATTAAATTCAGAAACGACTCCTGTTGAACCTAAACTTGAAGAAGAGCCAACATTAACATCTGTTATTGAACCTGAATTTGAACCAGAGCCATCATTAAAACCTGTGATTATGATAGACTCAGAAGAAAAATCTCACATGCCTTCAAGTTTCGAGCCAATTGAGCCTGAAGAAATGTTAGAAGAGCCAAAATCTATGACTGAATCAAACATGAGCTCTCAAGAAATAGAATATCATCCAGAATTAAATTCTGAAATGGATTCTTCAATTCCTTTCACAACAAAAACAACAATGATGTCTAGTGCTATAACTGAGAATCCTCCAAAAACGACTTCAATGATGTCTAGCGCTGTCACTGAAAATACTCCAAAAACAACTTCAATCATGTCTAGTGATGTAACTGAGAATATTTCAAAAACAACTTTGATGTCTGATATAGCTGATGTAACAAAATTCGTTCCAGATGAGGTAAAGACGACGTCAGAATCGATAGTGGAATTCAATCCGGAATCTAGAATTGAACAAGAATCCACGATGAAATCTGATATTGTGACTCAATTCAGTACAACTGAAATGGATGAAAAAGTGAAATCAACATTTGATTCAGTTACTCAAAGTGAATTGACGATGAATATGGATGGCAGTACTACTTCTGAACCTACAGAAAAACACATGGAACCTGAATTTAATTTTATGACAGAAGTAAAGTCGGAGACATCAACTATTGAATCTTCTACTGTATCAGATGTAGAACCTGAGACTACTGAAAAATTAAAATTATCGACGGAAATGGCGTTTGAAGTTACAAAAGATGTAAAGTCAAACCCTGAAGTTACTCAATCATTCTTTGTATCACCTACTATGGAAATAATGAATGCAACTGAAGCTAGTTCAGAGTTCCCACTTCCTGTAATACCATTAGGAATAAAACCAGAATTAGAGAAACACATGGACGACTTAACAAATATGACTGAAACTTCTACCACTATGATACCAGAAACCGTTGATATAACCACAAGTTTCGATTACATGAGTGATTTTGTTGATGATGATAACTCTGACAATCAAACAAAAATTGATGACTCTAACTTGCTTCATCCAGTAGATTTTATGAACACCACACATATGTTAGAAACAACAGAAGAAATTATTCAAGATAAGGAACATTCAATTAAGCCAGAAATTAATTCTACACATTCTTGGATGAATAACGATACCAACATTCCTCCGGAATTAATTCCAGAGAAAATAGATCCTTATGTTTTAATTAGAAATGCATTTAAAACATCAACTGAAAGCGTAGAAAGTACTACTGTTTCGGTAATGCATGAACTAGAATCTTCGTCTGAAAATACCAATGAAAAATTACCAGACATTCCAACAGCATTTGAGGAGAAACATTTTGAGAGTATGTCGCCATTTTTACCAGAAATAATTCGCGAGAAAGAAACAAAGAAAGCCCCAAGGCTAGATAAAGACGAACAGGATTTCCCAAATCCGTTTGAACCACATGTAGAGGATGTAATCATCCATCATCAAATTACAATGACACCACCTGCTGACGTGAACGGAACTGAGTTCACAGATGTAGCAAATAAGTCTCACCTGTCCCACGATGCTTACCAGACTGAAACAAGTCACCAAGAAAACATGGATATGACAGAAACAACGACTACTACAAATTCTCCACTTTTGATGACTCAAACGGACTTTGCAACTACTATACTTCCAGAAATTGATGAAGAAAAAATAGAAAATTCATCAACTGATAATATTATCAACCATACTACAGATAAAAATATTAATGACACGAATATTGAAATAAATGATGATATGACTATGAATATGAATAATAGTAAAAATAATGAAAGTATGGAAGAAATGAAAAATATTACCAATATAGAATCAACTACTTATATGGATGAAGAAATATTAGAAACAACCACAGCTCGAATGATGATGTCTACAGAAGCAGAACCTTCATCTGTGACTCTCATTAACGATGATGATTCTCCATTCCCAAATAAAGATGAAGATAATGCATTAGAAGATCAATATAATGACATAATTGAGGAAAGAATATCAAAAAAAATTGATGACACTTCTAATTTACGGAAGAAAAATTTTCTAATTAATAAATTAAATGGTAAATCAACGACTTTTAAAACTTTTAAAACTACTCCACCAATGGAAATGAGCGAATCAACTACTTTAATGGAAGACAATATGAGTACTGAAAAATTGACAACCATTGAAATGACAACTGAAAAACCTAAAGACGACAGTAAACTTACGACTGAAATACCAATAATGCCAGTAGAAATACAACAAGATATTTCAACAACTGAAGTAGTTGAGAAAACTGAATCAAGTATGATCAATCATTCTGTCAGCATGGTGGTAGATTCACCAAAAACAATTTTTTACATGTCGATGTTAGAAGCAAAAACTACCGCTCAAATACCAATCCTTCCTGAAGAATTATTAACTACAGAAATGAGCACGACTGAGAAGATGTCTAATGAAAGTGAATTTGTAACAACTCAAGCTATAGAAACTTCAACTGCTTCTTTTGAGAGTATAAAACCTGTTTCAGAAGTAATTATTGATGATGCAGAGCCGGAAATTTTTGACCACACTCATTTCTTCAGGACAACTGATTCAGTGCCACTTGAAAAAGATGAATTTGAAGATATTCCTGAAGAGAAACTCAAAATTATACCGTTAGATGTTGATGAGACTACTGATGTTACTAATTCCACTGATCATTTAACTATGAATGTTACAGAAACACCTAGTACAATGCAAACAATATTTATCTTAAATGATATGCCAACGAAGCCTAAAGAAAACATTTTTATTCCAAAATTAAAAATAACTGAAATAACTTCAGCATCTCATCAACCACCAGTAGCCCACAATAATAATCAGACAACTAATGCTACTGGTTCAGTAAAAATTCATTCAGCTACAAAAATTATTCCTGTCTATGAAAATATTGAAGATGATGTCGAAAATCCGATGATCAAACCGCTACATCCTATCAATAGTATTCTTCAGGTACCCAATTTGACAATAAATCAAAACACAGCGGAGAAAAATATGACAGAAAGTACATCAAAAGCGATGACAGCTACTTCACCAATGACTTTGAATGATAATTATTATGTGTTCTCAAAATGTACTGCTGGACAATTTCAGTGTATTAATGGGACGTCAAGAGATGGTGCTTATTGTGTGAGTCTTTCATCTAAATGTGACTCTGAGAATGATTGCTCCGACGCCTCTGACGAAATAAATTGCGAAATTGAAGGCTGTCCAGGTAACTTCCAATGTAAAAGTGGACAATGTCTTGGGCGTCATCTTGTTTGCAATGGAATTGCAGACTGTGATGATGGTAGTGATGAAGATAATTGTCAAAACTGGACCTGCCTGTTTGATGAATTTAAATGTCCAAATGGAAGATGTATTCCAGATCTGTGGCGATGTAATGGACGACCAGATTGTGAAGACCATCGTGACGAGTATTCATGTTCAAAGAGTTGCAGTAATGATGAGTATCTTTGCCCAAGCGAAAATTGGTGTGTTCCTCAAACGTGGCGTTGTAATGGAATAGAGGAATGTATTAATGGTGAAGACGAAAAACTCTGTGATTGTGGGTTAGAGCAGTTTAAGTGTGAAACTGGTGGTTGTATTGCGTTACAACAAGTTTGTGATGGCATTAATCATTGCCCAGACCATTCAGATGAATGGGATTGTTTGATGATGAATATGACATTAATAAAAAATACAACTGAAGAAGACATTGAGACTCAAATGCCAGTTGGTCAACCAGTTTTGTTAAAAATCAAACATAATGATGGTGATCGTCATTTAGTATGCTCTGATAATTGGATGAAAAACCACAGTGATATTTACTGTCAATCTCTTGGTTATTTTGGTTCTGAAGCTTTTGAAACCATGAAATATGAAAAGAATGAAAAACAAATCTTACGTTTGAAAGACAACTACGATATTACTCTGAATCTAGTAGGAAATTTAGAACTAAGTGATCGATGTGAATCGAATGAATTTGTTAAGATTTCTTGTCAAGAATTCACCTGTGGATCATCAGAAAATGAAGGACCTACAGCTCGACTAATAGGTGGTACACCAGCAGGTGATGGTCAATGGTCTAGTGTGGCATTATTAAAGGAAACGAAAAGCGGGGTTGTATGCACTGCCAGTGTCCTTGGACCTTTGCATGCTTTAGCAAGCTATTCATGTATTCACAAGTAGGTTTTCTATTATTAATTTCAAGAATCAAGCATACTTTTTGAATATCGTATTAATGAACTAATTTTATTTTTTCAGACACAGACAAAGTAGTAATTGGGAAATGCTAACCGGCCGAGAGCTACAAAAATCTGTAAAAGTGAAAAATATCATTCCGTACCCACAAGTTAAATATAATCAATTTTTGTATAATGATGATATCGCTTTAATTCAACTAGAAACTCCTTTAATATTATCACGAAATTTAAGTGCTATTTGTTTGCCGAATCAACAGTTCCAGGTAATTTAATAACGAGAATATGTCGATTTTAAAAATGCAATGATTTTAATTAAATTTCAATTATAGCCAAGAGCTTTATGCGTCACTGCTGGCTGGGGCTTTCCAACAAGTGGAGAAGTTAATTTAAAACTAAAATTCCTCCCAGTACCAATTTATAATACAGAGAAGTGTAATGCGACTAGTCATTATGCTGGGTTTATAACTAAAAGTAATATTTGTGCTGGATTTACTGGCACCGACAAAGGAACTTGTTATGTAAGTAATTTACATGTTAATATTTAAAAAAAGAAGAAGACAAAACCTGTTTACTAAATGTGAAAAATTTTTCTAGAATGACGAAGGTGCGCCTTTAATATGTGCTAGTGAAACTGGACAATGGGAATTACAAGGATTACTCAGTCATCACAGTAGATGTTCAAGAGATCATCCTGCTATTTATTCAAGTCTCACTCCAGTGATCTCTTGGTTACAACATTCAGTTCCTGCACTCCAAATGCGAATTTAAAATAAAGCTTTGTGCTTTTTTTTAATTAATATGAAGTCAAATCATAATTATTATTGTAATGATCTGTTAAAAAAATATTGATTCCTTATATGTCTTCCTTATTAAATTCTTCTCATAAGAAGAATGTGTAAATATTGTATAAAGCTATTTGTTCAATAAGATTTAAAATGTTTTTTTTTTAAATAAATATCCAGACTATTGAATAATAAATTGATGTTTAGAGATTAATTTTTTCACCTTCAATTAAATGTTATTAAAAAAAATGATATACCCATATGTAAGATTGTCCATCAATCTATAGATATTTGATGAAAGAATGAAAATTAAATATATAATTAATAAAAATATCCATCGCCATTATTATTTGATTAATGCTACAAAAGTAGACCTATTTAATTTATAAATTATTATTATTAGTTTATCTAATCATTAATTATTTTAACTTAAATATCTCTATCTAAACGTTTTGGAGGTGCAGCTGCTATTTCTGCAGCTGTAACAGCATTATCTAAACTAATTAATGTCTTCGTAATGGTGTCGATGATTTCATTATATTTGGAGAAGTATTGGTAAATATGTTCATTATGTTTACCATTGTCCTCATATAGCTTTAAATATTCCGCAGACAGATGCTCCAATTTTGGTGATAATTCAGGAATATTCTTAATTTTATCAATTTCTAAACAAGGCATCAATTCCTGGAGCTTATTAAATAATTCGAAATTCTTTTTCACATCATCCTCAACTGTCAGTAGAACTTCTAACTTAGCATCGGTATTTAAATCATTATCATCATATGAAGTATCCAACAATTCATTCAACTGAGGTAGTCGTTTAACCAATGCACTTGTTCTTTCTCGACCGGATAATGCAGATGAAATAAGAGTATTAACATGAAGTATATTGTCAATTACCGATGTTTCTGGGAGTGGATCATCAATTGATGGAGTAACTGCACCGTGAATCCGTTTTTCCAGTTCACTTATTCGTTCTTCCAAAGTTTCAATAGCATTCATGTTGATGACTTCACTTGAAGATTCTATAATAATAATAAAATATTACTTTTCACAATTCTATGGGTGCTACAAATAAAATTATCAATAATTTTGAATTTGAAAAGAGATTAACAATATAATGCTGAATATGGTTTCCAATAATATTAATTTTACCTTTCTTTTACAGTTTATGAGATGAATATTTTTCAATGCATAAAACTCAGTATAATCAATTGTGATAATATTGCGCAAATTATAGAGGGTTATACATTCCGTGATTATAATCAAACATTTAAAGAATCGATACTTGATTTTTGACAAATATTTATTATGTAGTAACGCGTTATGAAGAAGAAATAGATAACATCAATGTGTCAACAACTCGAATGAGATCAAATTTATGTAAAAAATTGAAAAGATTGCGGAATAAAAATGTACGTTGTTGACGATTAAACAAATTGGCAAGCGCTCTTAAAATGGAGGATAATTTTCCAAACTACATGGCTAAAATATGTCGATAAAAAAGTTAATTTTATCATAAATTGATATAAAAGTCGCTGTTTTTAGTACGCGAATCAACTACTTGACGCGCTAGGGTCTAAAACCATAAAATACAAAATGTCAGAAATGAAATAACAACTATATCAAATTTTGAATTTTAAATCAATAAATTGGTTATTTCTTTTGTTTTGAGGAACATTCTTTGTTAATTATATGATAGATTTGTGACTGAACTTTTTATTATTGCTTCAATTATTACTTCGCGATTATTTCAGTTACTGATACAAAATGAAGCACCGATATTTATTGCAAAATATTTATATGTAAAGTTTTTGAACGAATGACGGCGAAACTGAGTTTTTTGCACGCGCCACCTAGATTTCGAGTGAAAGAGTATACAAATCTGGCACCACTGTAACACACTCCAACATATGTATAAAATGTTTACACATATGGCTCCAATACATTCATTTGCATTATAATTAATGAACAGTTGATATGAAAAGACAATCATAAATAATTTTCAAGTTTATAAACTGTCATCCTTTGTAAATATTTTCAACAGTTTTTTTGTATTCAAGTTTAGTGATTGCTTTCATTTGATCTGAAAAAATGTGATATTGGAGTAAATTAAAATTACAATCTTCTATAAAGGATTAAATAAAAAATACTGTGACTGTTAGTATACTCAAACGTATATATGTTTAGTATTATTACATAAAGTGTAAAATATTTCTTGCATTCTATTATTTAAAAAAAATTAAGAAATCTTCATTTAAACTCCATTTGTATATTAAAAATGAGATAATTTGATATATAGAGAATGCTGTGATAAAACAACATGACTTATTTACGAGGTAGAACATTGTTAACGGTTTTTTTCATGGTTGCCTTGACATTAGTGGCAATAATATATCACATATTAAATAATGATAACGGTAATATATCAACAAAAGATTCAAATTTACGTAAAAAGGTAGTCGACGATAATCTTCTTTCAGATTTGACGGAAGACTCATCAAATGTTGCAAGAAGACAAAAAATTGAAGCTCAAATGCTCGAGAATTATCGAGCTAACAATAAGAACTATGAATCCTCTAGCAATAATAAGTACAACAGTATGATGTCGAATGAATCTCTCTTCAAAGGGCATAAAATAGTTCATCTAGATTTAAAAGGAGCACCACCAGTCATGGATTATTACAGATATTTATTCAAGGTATTTAAGGATCTTGGAGCTACGGGAATTTTAATCGAATACGAGGATATGTTTCCTTATAAAGGTAAATTAAAAGATATTAGTGCAGAAAATTGTTATTCAAAAGCAGATGTCATGACCATCGAAAATTTAGCCAAAGAAAATGGCCTTATTGTGATACCTTTAGTACAAACCTTTGGTCACTTAGAATTTATTTTAAAACTTGATGCATATAAAAATTATCGAGAAGTCATGAGATATCCACAGGTTGTATGTCCAACTTACAATGGAACTCAGGATCTTATTCGTGAAATGATTGATCAAGTTATTAATGCACATCCCAATATTAAATATTTACATATAGGTGCTGATGAAGTATACTATATTGGAGAATGCTCAAGATGTTTAGACGAAATGGTAAAAAGACAATGGAGTAAAAAAAAATTGTTTTTAAACCATGTTGAAAGTATTGTACGTTATATTAAAAATAAATATCCACATATAACAGTTCTCATGTGGGATGATGAGTTTAGGGATATCACTCCAGAAGAAATTTTCAAAAGTGGTTTGAATAAACTTATTGAACCTGTTATTTGGAAATACACATCTGATTTAAGTACAACATTAGTTGATCAACTTTGGGAAAATTATGCAGCTGTCTGGCCAGAAGTTTGGATCGCAACTGCATTTAAAGGAGCAACAAAGCCAGACCGTTATTACACGGATATTTTATATCATATTGAAAATCATCAACGATGGTTAGAAATAATAGACAAATATTCTCATCAGATTAAATTTAAAGGTGCCATTTTAACTGGTTGGCAACGATATGATCACTTTAGTGTACTCTGTGAACTGTTAGCTCCTGCTTTACCATCTTTAGCTGCTAATCTTGCAATACTTCGAGCTTCTAATGTTAATAATTTCATTAGTGAACTACCGAGTGAAGCAGTAGAAGCTTTAGATTGTCAAAGTACGGTATCTCTTACTATTCCTGAGCCTCATTACGGTTGGACTAAATGCAAGTTTCGAGGAGTAGAAATTTATTCAGTAATACTCAGACTCTTTGGGTTAAACCAAGAAATTAATCAAATGGAACAAGATAATACTTTTAAAGGATGGCTCAAACCTTACAACGTTAAGTATAAATTTTCAAATCCAAGTCATGTTGAACGAGCTGTTACGGATTTAAATAAGTTTAAAATGGAGCTCCTTTACATCGAAAAAGAAATGCAATCTGCTATGAGTGGCATTTATGATAATTATACATTTACAGAGTGGATTGAAACTTATGTAGCACCACTTAATGATAAAATTAATAGTTTGTGGGATGCAAAAGAAAGCATTTTAGAGAAAAACTCATGGCCTCGAAGACCATTACAAAAAACTGAATTATAAAATATTTCTTGAATGATATTTTATTTAATAACTGATTGTTAACTAACAAATTCATCTTAATCTGTCTTCTACGTACTATTTGTTTTTTTTAGTATATTTAACATTGTTTTGAAAACCTGTTATTAAAAATGAATTATCAATTGTTATGACTATTAGTCAAAAAATACGTATATTTCTTCCTTATACAAACGTAATACGTATATTGATTTTAATTACAAAACAATAAATAAGTCAATCCACCTGGCAGTACATGTGATAAGGCTGAAAAATTAAGACAAAACGTTGCAATATGTGTATTTATACAGTGATTTGAAGCATATTTAATAAATGGGGAATACTTCCATAAAAGTATTATCGCATAATATAACTTTATCAATAAAAAATGTTTATCCAATTTTTATTAAATGAGTTTTCATAGTGTAAATAAATATATTTGCGCCATTATTTTATTTTTTATTATGTAAAACTTATGTGTACTTAATTATCAAATATTGTACGTATATTAAGGCACTGTGTAATTCCATTTCATGTGTTTGACTTTATTGCAGTGAGCATACTGCAGATTTCGATAATGGAAGAGTTGGATAATTGTTATTTTGATATGATTTTTTATTAGGTAATTTCTTGACAACTTTTTGTACTGATGTCATATCAACATTATCACCAATTTCTGCTGTTATTATTGCTTTATGTGAATCTTGATCCACTCTAGTTAATTGTACACCTAATGCTTTTGCAGCAAGAGTTGCAATAGTCAACGCTACCTGAAAATAATGGCATTTAATGGAAAAAATGAATATCATTCAGACAAGTATGTTGATAAATACGAGTTCGCTACCGATTCACCAGTTCTTGCTGACATATCATAATTAACGAGTCTTTTATCTGCCGCAAATTTGTGTGATTTGTCTCGTTTAACAGTTCTTTGATGTTCAACATCACATTTGTTTCCAATGAGAGCCATTAACGAATCATTTTCATCAGTATCATTGATCTTGGTGATAGTTGTGATCCACTCTTCAAGTATATCGAAACTGGAGGTATTTGTCACATCATATACTAAGAAAATTAACTGAAAAATATTTAGAAATTACACAAATTTGTTTTTTAGATAAAAAATTTTTATGTTCTATTGTGATGAATTGTGAAATATAAGAATATTTGAATAAAGTTACCTTTGCGCTATAAAGATATTTATCTAACATTTTACTATGTAGAGCAAGACCACTGACATCCCAAAAGTGCAGACTAACATTTTTATATGGACCCAAAGAAATAGTCTTTTTAAAAAAATCTATTCCTGAGGTAGGTGAATATTGCCGTGAAAATTCTTCATGGCAAAATTTAGTTGCTATACTTGTCTAAAAATGAATTCATTATTTTTATAACACACGTTAATATTATATGAAAATCAAAATTTAAAAAACATAATATAAATTTAAATTAAAAACATTTCTTATCATACTCTATCAATCATTTTGATAATATCAATTTACACTAATATCTATGATCAAAATTCCATTTATTTCTAGGAAATCAATACATAACCAGAGTTTTACAAGAGAATTAAATTCCTGAGAAAGAACACTGATGTCTTGCAAATATTTTCATTTAATAAAAACAATGCTAAGCATAACTAAAGGTAAATAATAAAATGTCTACTCACTTTTCCTACTCCAGAATCACCAACTAAAACAATTTTGAGTTGTTTTTCTAACAAATCTTCATCGGATTCGTGCATTTATATCTGACGTATTGTTCCGTCAACTTTCAAACAAGAGTATTCCTTAAAATGCTTAATTCAACTGCCAACGAATTTAAAAAAATAGTAAAGGCCTTCTTCATCGTTCAACATGAATAAATGAGCGAACAATCGATAACATTGTTCGCGTGATAAACTGTGTCAATTCAAAGGGTGGTATATACGGTCAAGAACATGTTACCCTTGCTGTTACGCCACTTGTATCAAACAACGCATGCGTCTGACAAATTGATAACATACTGCGAATTTTAAATAGTAAAATATTCTGAAACTTATATTATCTATCAAGAATACTATCATATTTTACTAAACAGTTTAAAAATTGTAATATCAGGATGAAGAAGAAGGCTCCATTGTCTGAAAGGATTAGAGGTCTCATTCCACAACAATCTTAATTTTTTTAAATGTTTTTTTTTAATTAATAATTATTAATACATTGATTATCATTGATTGGCACTCGATTGGGTAAGATTTGAGAGAGAACATTTAATTTAATTAAAGATTAAGTCTTTGTAGTTCTGCAACAGGTAGTAGTTACTGACTCTGCAACATGTCGTTGTACGTACCACAGTCGTTCTGTCGGCACGTTCAAAGTTTGCCTTTACAACTTCATAATATCTGCCATCGCTGTAATTAGCACTTTAGTAATTAGTATTTCTAATTGGCATAATGTCATTAGACATTGTTTGTGAAAACATTATTGGATCAGAAAAAGAGTTTTCCAATGAAAGGTACTCTAAATGTTTTGATTAACAATGTCTAATTTATTTAATAAAACTCATCAATTTTTCATTACCTTAGAACAAGGCACCTAAGTTTCACACATTTAACTCGAAGAACATCGATAGCTTTCTGACTCTTATCAGAAAATCGCAAATTTTCAGGGTCCCATCGTAATTCTAGACGTTCTAAGTTTGGACAATTATTACCTATGCCATCCATCAGTTGATCGACATGAATATTTACTCCAAGTCTTTCTTGTGTTCCCATGACTAGAATCCTATTATTTGATTTGAAATTTATTTTACATTCATGATTAGTATGAGAGTAATGGTAGAATTTTTTTTACTCACTTCGCATTGGTCATAATGGGCAAAACACTCTGCCAGAGTTGATCAGTAATATGTGGCATTCCTGATAAAACGATCCCCCATAGTTGATGTCCATAACGTGAAAGAAACTTGTGAAGTCCATCATCCGTGATGTTGTCCGATCTATCAATATCCAACGCAATTAAATTCCTTGGATTCCCTGCATCAGCCCATGCCTTAAGAACGCTATCATTGAATCCGTTTAATTGACCAGCACTTAAAAACCTCAGGCTTGGAATTCTTGTCAACATGTCAATCAAACATTCCGTTGATAAGTCCGTAGCTGTGATGTCTATTTCCTGGATGCTTGATTTTTCCCACTCAACCTGCATCACGTACTCGCTTTGAAGGTCTGAAAGTTACACTTCCAAGTCCTGTGATTGTATTAAAGCTTTTATAATTTTTTTTATAATTAATCTGTCTTTGTTTCTTACTGGTTCCTTGCATCAAGAGACACTTGAGCCGTCTACTTCTTTGGAAGAGTGTCTTCATGGTTGATCCAGTTACTTTGGAACAAAAATTCACTGCCAAACACTCAAGTTGTATACAATTTGATGAGAATGCATCGATGTGGGAATCATCAACAAAGTTTATTCCGTATAAATTAATTACACGAAGATTAGGTGTTGCTGATTTTAATTTATGGACATTTATTACTTCATAAATTTCTTCCTCTTCTTCTTCCACTTTTTCATATGTTCCTATAATAAGCATAAATAACTTTAGAATAATTTAAATATTCAACAACATTATATCTATTATAATACAGTGATTCGATAGATATATTTCTATCAAAGTCAAGAGTAAAAAATATTGATTTTAGTTTACCTATTAAATGAAGAATTTCCAATCCATTAATGAAGTTGTAGATTTTCCTCATGAAGCCTTCCATGAATATGACTTCTGACAAACAAATGCACATGTATTTAAGCTTCGTAGGAAATGCCTGCATTTCTGAAAAATCGTGAAGCTGCATGGCAGTGGAGAAATCCAGCAACATGTGAGTTAAATTAGGGCATTTGTTTGCTAATTCATGAAGTACTGTGTGAGTAATGAGTTCAATTGGCAGTTCAATGTATCTCAATGATGGTCCAAATCGTACACTGTAATCATTCATTTATTTAATCACATTGCATAACAATTTTTTATTTGGTGATTGTACCTTATCAACTGTAGAAGCATTTCCAGAGAATTGACATGAAGTCCACTGATCTCTGGCCGCAGTGATACATGTTTCCACAACTTTGTGTCATAAGCTATTTGGCGCCAGCGCTTGCAGACACGAGCAAGACAACAGATTTCACGGTGTGATAAATAACTGAAGATATTAAGGATCACTTTATCTGGTAGTTTTTCAATTGTCTGAAAAGTTTCAATGACAGATTAGAGTTGATATTGAAAATAAGCTAGGATAAAACAATATACTTATTGAGTTTTTTTTAAATATTTATTTATGTGTTTCAGACTGCAGAATCAAGTTTATAACAATGACTTTCAAGAAGCACTTGAAAAAACTTACAGTGCTTGCAAATCTACTTTTAATGACACCACCTTCTTCAACGTACATTTGTGATGTCTCCAACGCAATTTGTCCCCAAACATCAACACCACCCAGATCCATTTTTGAATACTTTTTTTCAGCAAATTAATCCAAGGAGAAATGTTAAATTGGTGCTTGGAAAAAATTACTTTCACGCATTAACTATTGATTTATGGTTGAAATTAAATGGATAATTTTTAATAAATTACTACCACGTTAAGGAAACGTGTTCACTGCAATATTCGAAGGAATCCGACAAGTTTCTACTCGGCGGTTAATAGGATTGCGCAAACGCACGGCCTAAATATACATGCACAAAGTCGTTGGTAAACTTAATTTTAAACCTCCACGGGATGTATCTAGGTACCCGCAAAATTCGCATAATCGTACTGATTTATTTTTTACAAACAACTCGTTGATTCAGATGTCAAAGTAGGTGACGTTGCGTTGTGTCAGACTATCAAAAAATACTTCATCATAGTTATGTTAATACAAATTAAAATTTCATTATAAATCATCAACATGATCAATCGTGATTAGACTTAATTAATTTTATGAAGTTAAAAAAAAAATTAGTTTGTTAATTAATTTAATTGATTGATTGAATGTTTATGTTATATTTATCGCATGACCAGTGAAAATTTTAAAAGGCTATGATTCTCAAAATGTTGATTTCAATGCACAATACAGCTCGCATATTCTCAATGCCAAATCATGAATCATGCCAAAATCACGACTCTCTTTTCACTGAGACGTAACTAATGAATCTAATAATTTAAACAATAAGTGAAATGCAAACTTTTTTAGAAGAGATAAATTGATTTTATTACTTATTTTTATGACACAGATTATTTTTACTATCATGAGTTTGAATAAGCTTTAGAGATATTAATTAATAAATTCTCTAACAAAGGAACATTCAAGATATTTTAAAGAAGTAAATAAAAGTAGACAACTAATAAAAACATTATCATCATTAACTTTTAGAAATTAAACGAGAATTGTAATTACACAGACATTTTTATCCTGGAAAGGAATCTGTCTTTTTCTTTTATATTTGTATAATTTAGATAATTATACTCCAAGATATAATATACTTGATCCACGTGCTTATTAAAATGTCTTATGACGAAAACATTGGAATTTTTGATTATAAAAATTCTAAAGAACGAACAAATATTTAAAAACAATAACAAAAAAGTAAAAAAAAAATTACCGCAAAATGTCTTGAACGAGTGCTAATCCTAATGTCATCTCTGGATATGGCAGTAGTGGCATGTTCAACATTCAATTGATTCCAAACACTCATATTGATGATAAATCAAGTGTATAAAATTCAATCACTATTGCTTACAATACAGCACAAACTTTTACATCCGTTTCACTTTATTAAGATAAGAAACACTTTCCTTAGATTAGCTTAAATTACTCAAGCTGCAAAATTAGGAAATTTAGTTAAGTAAATCGTTGAAATCCCCGCTATAAACTACGTCACTAGATAAAAACTATTTTATATTTATTTCAGAAAAAAGCTACTGATCAGTTCTCACTCTCGTCCGGGAAATTTCTATTTTTATTTATTTTTTTCAATGTTCTAGTTGATTATTTCTCAACAAATAAATGCTCGATGATTATTCTTATAAGATAACTTTTTACAACTCTTCATTAAGTTCATCATCTCGAATTTTGATTAAAATCTTCATTCTAGCATTAGTTTTTATCATCTCTGTTATGTTATCATATCACTATTGTATAATTTTATTTCAGGCTTATAAAATTTTATTAATCAACTCAATTTAAAGCAATAAATTTTTTTTTAAAGACTGAATTGGACGGACTTCTTTGTTCGAAAGTACTGGACCGTTTTTAACTGAGCAACGTTAGCTACTGACTCGTCTTTAATTAGTTACAAATACTTGACAGACAGCAAACCAAAATAGGCAAACCTTATCGACATTTTCTGATGCACTGATGTCAGTACTTATTATGGGTTCTTTAGCCAATTATGAATAACTAACCCTCGACGAAAGTTATTAATAAAAATATTTTGACAAATTAGAATTTTTTTAAAACAACTTACTGTATTACTAAATGGAAATCTTATGACACCATCACCATTATCTTGATAATTTAACTGTTGAAGTGCAGTTTCTACACTCAATATGTTCCAATTTGACATCCGTCGAAGATCCATTGTTACAAAATTTATAAAAAATGATATTTAATTATTTTTTAATTATTCTATACTAAGATTAGAAAATTATGAAATTAATTGAATTTAATATTTAACATATTTTATAAATAGAAAATTATTGTTGTAATTTTATCCACATTATTTTTGAATTTTCTTCTAATTTACTAAAGACCCGGATTCTTTAATTAGTTTATTTTTACAGAATTTTCGTTAAATAATTATGAGAGAAGTTTTTTTCATTTTTCAGAAGAACACCAGGAAGTTTGATAAAACGTTTACTTTACTAAAATGAACAAAAAAAACTATGCTCTAAATGTGAACCCTACGATGATTCTTCGTCGTACTGAAGTAAAAAATGCGCTGAAATAAGTTTAGTTTTCGAGTATTCTATAAATAAAGCTACTGGAGTGCGGTAGTGTTATACATCTTTTCTTAGACGTGGGTGGTACTATAGTTTCAGTTATACCATTGTTCAACAGTTCATTCATAATAGGATGACATAATTTTACCATCAAAATCCAGTCCAATTAGTTCAGCAATCCTAAAGATGTGCAAAAAAATTTTTTATTTTTATTTTCAATTAATAACAAACAACTTGTTTTTGTTAAAAATTATGATAAATTAATTTAAGTTTACCGGGTTCAAGAGTACCTTGACATAGATGAAGGTTTAGCTGTCATTCTGCCAAAAGCGTGACATATTAATGTCGTTTATGCATGATTGAATTAAATTCACGGAATCAATTGGTAATAATTCCCAATAAAAATTGATTCGATGGCCTTCAGTTATTTATACAGTGGATGTACACAAATGTGTTGTGAATAGCAAATATTCGTCGCAACAATAATCAATTGATATTCCTCTTTAATAAATTTACCAACTATCGGTCAATTATTTTTATCAAGTTCATTTGTACCAAGTTTTATTAGCAGACAAGGAAAAGCATAATCGCTTGCAAATCGTACATTAATAATTAACGTGATACTGATAAAAATTTTATCTAAGCTTATCAGATAAACGACAGATAAAAAAATTAATTCTCAATGAACTATATCAATAGACGGTAAAAAAATATAATCTTACTAGTTTTTAAGACATCTCTGCTCAATCTATCAATTTTTTTTCAATTAAAAGCCAATTAATAATTTTTTGTTGAAGTTTTTCAAACAATCAACATGAGATGATTTGAAATATTCTACACTAGCGCCTCTATGAATCTTTGTACACATGCGCCCGCCATGCTTTCTATCTCACACTGATGGCTTTTTATCAAATTTCTCCATCTTCGTTACTACTGACTACGCATCTTTTTTTTATTTTCTTTTAGTTTTGCAAGTAGTTATTTTCTGCGCAATTATTCAGCGCAGCTGCGCCGTGACTGCAGTTGCTCATAAAAGTATGTGTTGATGTAATGCATCAGTAGTGTTTCTTGAGTTATTGAAAGTAGCACTAGATGTGGTGTATGCTGTCACTTAATTTCATAAACGTGTGTAATTATTGATTTCCGTAGAAGCTGACCAAACAATCGGTCAGTAAACTTGAATTGTTACAATCTCTTATGAAAGGCGTAATGAAATAATAGAGAAGAGATCTTTGCTCCAATCAGTCTATCAATGTTTTAACTTTGCGTACCGTACTCAGTCCTCAGTGTAGGCTAGTCGGTCGCCCAAGTGTTGTCGTTGAACAATAATCGTCACTTGTGGTTCTTGTACTAAATGCCGGGAGCAACGGTCGTTTACTTATGAAAATAATTTGCACTATTTATTTTGAATCTGTGTATATGGATATCCTAAAAAACTCATCTAAATATTCAACTTGTAACGACGTCAAGGCCGTCAGGTTTTATGAACGCAAAAAGATTGATTTTTGGACATAAATAATCTCAACTGCACGTTTAATAGCATATGAATCATTTGTTGATTTGTGAACAATATTAGATACTTTAACCTACTCAATATCTAACCAGAGAAAGTGAATCTTGCACAAAAACACTTCAGTTTCTCTGAGCGTGTAACAGCAGTCTGAAAATTAATATAACAGTGTGACACAGCAGAAATAAAGAGCGGAACAAAGTGATTCTTCATATAAAGGCTTATATTAATTAATAAAAGAACATCAAAGGGTTTGAGAGGAAATCCCATGACAACGACAATGAATGAATGTGACGATAATGTTACCAGCATGGAGTTTTTCTATGATATGATAACAAACGAAATGTGGTCATCGTGGGACAATGTTGTTGATTATTTTGAATACCAGCCATGGATATTTTCCATTCTAGGAAGTACTATGGTTGGTCTTTCTGGTGTACTTCCACTATTCGTGATCCCTATTGAAGAAGGGGCCAACTTGAAGCATGGAGGTATTTATAAACTAATTTTGCAAATTATTAAACAATCAATATCATCCCATTTTTCAACGGTAAAATACTGTCCATTGTTCATATAATTTATACTCATCATCATTACTATTCATTTATGAATTCATTAAAACAAGTGTTTTGTGTAAGGTCAGTGTTGTGACTGAATTCTACATTGTGATTAATTATTTTCAATTCTGTCAAAACAACAATATTCTATTGATACTGATGATAATAATGTTGCCAAACATCAAAATGATAGCTTAATGATATTGTGACACTAAAGTAGTCTTAATTATCTACTAAATAAAACGACATTGAAAGATGCATTTTTAAATTAATGATCAAATATTAATCCTTTTGTAGTACGATAAAAATGAATTGTTTTATCTTGCTTTTCGTTATACTTAGAGAAAATATTTTTATAATACAGTTTAATGGATTGACAATTTTACGTCAACAAATCATATGTATTTAAAGGTGATTTAATATTGATAATTCTTAATTGAGACAGAAGGTGGAATTAAATTGTCACTGTCATTGATTGAAGTAATTGATGATGCTTTTTTTATTTATATTTTTTTCTTTGTTTGAAAGATGCGTATGTGAACTAACTCCTGGCACAGAGCAGTAATTCATGAATACTATCTTTTCCGCTCTGCTGCGCAAAAGATAAATTCATAGCTATTGCATTATTACAATTCATTCTTGTTAAATGAATATAATGTGTTCTAATTTATATTTTTACTGCCACGATTCTGATCTATTTTCATTTATCAGTCAACTATTGCGAACTTTCGCGCAAATTATAAATATATGTGTAGATATAATTAACCTTGGATAATAATAACAAAAATAAATAGTAAAAAATATTGTTTTGGTTTTTAATAATTAGCCGATAGTTGATAACACTTATTGAACTAAATAATCTAACCTTATTAAATGAACCATTAATCTACTTTTTTTTTTAAAAATAGATAAAAGTTCTTATTTCTGGATCATGGTTATCATAGTAGATGCCATTGAAGAAATATTAAGAATGCAATTGAGAACTTTGTAAATAAAAAAAGCCGTTATTCTGAGAATCTCAATGTTTATAGTAAATAAGGAAAAGTGTTGAATATTTTAAGCAAAAAATTTCTGATGCAAGATTCTACATTGCATCAGGCTTGAATAATTATTCTATACTCTATTTGACATTTAACAGATGCTTTATTTCCTATCTATTCATGTGATTCAATGATGAAATCTCCATGATAAATAAAGTCATACTAACTTGTTAACAATACATGCATTTATCATTATGTATAAGCATAACATGATAAATAAAAAAGATGAATAAAAATGTTGAAAATTTGTTGCAGCTGGTGCTAAAACATTAAAATTGTTACTAAGCTTCGCAGTTGGTGGACTTCTGGGTGATGTCTTTTTGCATCTTCTCCCAGAAGCTTGGTCCAATCGAACACTTAATATTAGTAAGAATAGCTATTATGTACAGAATTAAATAACTACTTTTTCAAGAATAATAAGAATTAAATATAATAATTGATAAAGAGTGACAAAGTGCAGTGATTAATCATAATAAGATAGATATTCAATGATGACTATGGCCTATGATTAATTACTACAGCGAATGGAATATCTGGAAATTAAATGAATAACAGCAAAAAATTTTTTATTAAAACAGCTTTTTTTAAAAACAAATTCTAATATATTTAGGATGGTTAATGCTGTGAACTTTGAATTAGATTAGAAAACATTTGCAAGTGTAGTAGCGAATGTATTGCTCTTTCAATTAATTCTGATTTCTATTTGTATAATTTTAAATTCTGAGTAATTCAACTATTTTATTATTTTAATCTATTGTTCTTTAATTGTTGTTCATTTTTTTATACACCATTTATTCTAACACAATAGTAAAAAAAATCAAAGAATCAAGTTCTTATAAATGACTAGGAAAAAAAATAATACTAATAATTTTCTTGTTAATCATAAGGTTATCAAGTGTCAAAGAACCTCTTTTATTTTTACTTTACTAACTAAACTCTTAAATAACTTATAATATTGATAATCGTATTTCCTGGTGATGAAACGTTTTTATTTCTTTTTTAGCATCAAGAAAAGGACACCCATCAATGCTTTGTGGTATGTGGGTTCTTACTGGCTTCTTAGTATTCATTATCGCAGAAAAATTATTTATCGACAGTAATGAAAGTGGAGAGGATTGTAGTCAATACGAAGGAGGTGAAAAAGTCAGCAAACAAAGAATAGAAGCATTTTTGAATAATCACGCTCACAATGAACTTGAAAACAATAATTCCTTATCGATAGATAAAAAGGTCAAGAATATTGAAAAATTATCTATGAATTTGGAGTTAAACCGTACTAATAAGATCAATTACATAAGTACTTCTATACCTACAAGTCCAACCAAGAATGGTTTTATATCTAGTGTTGATGAAGAACTATATAATGGAGGAGAAATGGAAAAAAATCAGTCATTTAGTGTTATGAGAGCGAATGGTTCAGTTTCTCAAAAAAACAATGTTATAAATTCACCTATGAAAAAAGTAAGCAGTCTGCCGATTTTGATTCTAAAAGGACAAGTTGCTAGGAAACCAGCTAATGGAAAAATCCCAGCGAAACCAAAACATATCAGTGGTTATTTAAATCTTCTGGCCAATTGCATAGATAACTTTACTCATGGGCTAGCAGTAGGCGGATCTTTCCTAGTATCATTCAGACTTGGTGCTCTTACAACATTTGCAATTTTGATTCACGAAATACCTCATGAAGTTGGAGACTTTGCAATTCTTTTGAAAAGTGGCTTCAATAGGTGGGATGCTGCTCGTGCACAACTTTTAACTGCGTCAGGTGGAATTTTTGGAGCTCTTATTGCTGTGTTATGCTCAGGAAGTGGAGTTGGTATGTAAATAAATGCGCATTTTGTTAAACAATAATGTGTCTAATTGAAACTAAATTTAAATATTTTTTCAGAGTCTCGTACAAGTTGGATTTTACCATTTACTGCTGGAGGGTTTCTGCATATTGGATTAGTAACTATTTTACCAGAATTGCTCAAAGAATCTAACCCCAAAGAATCAATAAAACAGTTAGGCGCACTTCTCAGTGGTATTACTGTAATGGCCATTTTGACGTTAATTTGTGATTGAAAAAAATATTTTAGTATTACTCGGTGCAAAGTTTGATATCACTTTAAATAATGCAAATATAATAAGAGTTAAAAATTTGAAAAACAGTGAATAAAAATATGACTGATTAGCTACATGTTACTTGGAAAATAGAGTTAGGTTTAAGTCTCTTGTTTGTCTTCTTGATTGACTTTGAACAAAGTTTTTCATAGTTATTTTCGTGATAACGACAAACAGAATTATAATCTTAAAATCTAAAATATTTTAATAAAAATATTTATAATTTTTGTATTTTCTAGTTTTTTTTTTATGAAAAACAAAACAATTTAGTAATTGTTTATATTGAACAACAAAAATATAGAGTAACGATATTTATGTAAAAAAAAAATCGTGATTTATTTTCCAAGTTAATTTTTTTAGTCTTTGCATCAAATTGTTAGATATTTACATAGTTTATATTAAGATTGAACCAGCAATTATAGTGCTGAAATGGTTATAAACACTCTACAAGTCATAGTCCGTTTTGAAAAAGATATAAATGCTCTCTTCCTTATATTTTTTCTATTCTAAGATAAATACTATTTTTATCAATTAATTAGGTTCAGAAGCAAGTGTTTATTTTTCCGATAATTTTTTATAGTAGCTAGTAAAGTCCAATTTAATAAGATAACAGGTTTATCGAAAGTATTATTGGACTGCATTCTTGATAATACATAAGGAAGATGATTTGTATGAGTGTTGTAAAATGTTTCTGTATATATACAAGTATGAATATTCTAAAAAAAAAGAATAAATTACATTTTGTATTATAGTAAAAATAATCAACTTCATCTTGATAACGTACCCAATTTATAAATTTCATTTTTCACTAAAATGTTATTAATTAGAATATAAAGTCAACATATATATCTACGGTTGTAAAACTGATTTGTAAATAAAATGTATGATATACTCAATTAAGTCAATTGACACAGGTACGAACGAAAACGTACTAATATAATAAATACTATATTATTATAATAAGTCGTATATTGAATATTTTTATTATTTTATCTTTAGTTTATGTATAGAGCTATAAAATTTCAATAAAATAAAAAAAGTAATTATTTGCTTATTTATTTTTAATAAATATATATTTTTGGTTTAGTTATACTCCATTACAATTCGTCATGTGTATCACTGTCGAAGGTAAGCTTTTGTAATGATGATATCTTTTCTAGTATATGTTTAAACATTTCTACTTCCTTTATCAGTTCAGCAGCCTTCATTTTATCATAGTAATCTCGGATTTCATTTAGTACCAAGAACAAGCCATTCTCTTCCTTACGATACTCACTTTTACAAGTAGAACTTAAAGCTAACATATTATCCATTATCACTTCAAAAAAATCACTTATTTCCATGAGAGAATTCACAGCAATATTTTGTTGAAAATTTTGCCTTAAAATACTTGCCAAGTATTTACAGTATTTATGTTCTATTAATTTTTCCTCAAAATTCGTTTTTCTATACTCTCGGATTTTCATCAGCCGGAGTCTTTCATCTTCAGTCTTATTTATATTTTCTCTTTCTATAGCTAAGTCTGTGATCAATTGCATGATTCTCAATTGAGTCTGCAACTGACCATTTTCCAATATTTTTCCAAATATCTCTAGTCCTCCGTGATCAATAAAAACTTTTTGAGAAGTTGGAAATTGCCGCAAAAGCGCACTCAAAGCAAATAAGCATCTTGAACGAAGTGTTGCTTTGTTACTTGTTGTTAGCAGATGTAAAACCTTTGGTATTAAATCATTATTGAGAGCTTTTGACTGGACATTTGGATTGGACTGAACAGCAGTACCCAAAATTCGTAATGCTTCAATTTTGACATTATCATTAGTTGTATTTAAACATGGAGATATTATTATTGACATTCTAAAAAAATTAAGAAAAACAAGAATTTAATACGAAATATATTTTAATGTCTAAAAGTCGTTTGTTATTCTGAATTATTCTATTCTTACCCTCCTAGATCTGCGAACAATTGAGCATTGTCTATTTGATGTAGCAAAAATTCCAAATCATTGAATATTTGCATAATATTTTCAATTTGTGAATTTTGAAGTGTTCCTGATGTTAGTGCCTTTGTATAGGGTTGGAACCTTTCGAAGAGATTCAAAATTATTTCGGAGTCAGTAGTTATATTCATTTCAAGAGCTTTGAATTCTTCTCGTAAATCATTGTAGCTCCTGAATTTTTTTTTAACATCTTCAGGATTCTTTTCCTAAAATGAATTATATTTTTTCTTGATTAATTTAATATAACGACTTTTATAACAAAAAAACAAATTAAGTAGAAAATTACATTTTGTGAAACTTCATTTGTCTCAAACTTGATTTTCTTTAAACGAGCCTTTAAATTTTCAAGAGATAATTTAATTCTATTCACACTAGGCATATTATCACTTTGTAAGTCATTTTCATTATCTACTGATGCTTCTGAATGAAGTGTCAATGATTTCTGCTTCTGATCATCAGCTTTCTCTTCCACTTTATCATCTTTATCCAATAATTTAGCTTCTGTTAATCCTGTTTGAAAATTATGTCTGACATGAAGGCCTTTTGGAATTGGCTGGCCTAAAAAATGCAGCTATTAAAATCTAGTCTATTTATATAGTCTTTCTTATTTCTGAAGTTCAGTTATTGACGTTTTTTAAATTTATTTTTATTACAAAAAGGAATTTACCTTTCTTTACCGATTGCCATTCGTGTGTTGGTACGAACTCACTTTCATTTTTATCTGCATATACTAAAAGCTGCTGATAAGAATAAATAAAAAAACAAACGAGAAATAAATTAAAACAATACATATTAATAATATACAATTTGGAGTAATTTTCAGTCGCAATCACATAAATTCTGTTTATAATAATTGAACGTATTAATGTTATAGAAAACAATAACAGAATTCTCAATCAAATAACATAGACAGGTCAACGTTATTAATACGTTTTTTTCTGACTAACATGATAGAAACAACGAAGACGAAGATAAATTGAAGTAACGAAAACGATACACAACATGAATTTACCATTTTTGTGCGTATAATGGCCACGTGTTACTGACTTATACGCTCAGCGATATCAATATTGAGAATTTTACTGTCATGCCATCTTCTAGATGGTTCACTAATTATTATTCATTTCCGTTATTACTCAACAACTGGTAAAATTTTTCGCGCTTCACAACTGTCAAAAATGGCGCATCATATTCCTTCAGTGCTTCAAAACTTTTGAAAACCAGAGAAGAGAAACGTTGTCTTTTCTTTGTTAAAAACTACGTAAATAGCTCAACGATGGGTTCGAACATCAGAATGAATGTTTTAATTATTAAAATCTCCAGTTATTTGTGTTTCTATGAATTTTTAAATGACTATCACGAATGTAATTAAGTATACCTATATTAGTACAAAAGTATAAACAACTATTTCCGCGTACTTAGTTTTACAAATCCGATACTTTAACAACTTTGTTCAGTAAAATTTTTATTTCTCAAACGAATGGAAAGAATGACTATAACAAGTAAGTACGTACATAATATCAAAAATAATGGTTATGGTTAAAATGTATTTATTATCATGAATAAGTAGATAATAAAATAGAACATGAATTAATTCAGGCGTATTGTATCAATAAAAAATTTAATCAAATTTTTAGAGTATTCAAAATTAGATATTTAACATTCGTATTTATTTAATGTTCATTAATTGTAAGGATTTATTCATTAAGACAAAACTCAGTTGATTTGTATCATAATGATATTTATTCATGTTTTAACTCATAAAAAGTCTTCTTTAGATTCGGCTGGGGTATAACATCTGAAACAAAAGCGAGTTATTTATAAATTATTGATATGAAGAATACTTTACAACATAATGAATTTTAAATTTCATTGTTTTTCATTTTATAGAGAAATAATTTTTTAATTTATACTTACAATTCTGATGCGGTGTCCCATAGCTTTGGCAGGTAAATTACGTTTAAACTTAGCACGTACAGAACCACTTGTACCATGAGGACGTGTTATCTTACCCCAGATTGCTCTGACTTTAGATTTCTTATTTTTACCGGGAACTGGAGTTCGGTTCTTTGCCTAGAAATCAGATATTTTCGTGTTTAGTTGAAAATTAGAATTTTTACGATGAATCAAATTAGAAAATTGATTTACTAAATCATAGAATACCTTGTAAACATAAACACATCGTTTGCCAACGTAAAATTCTGAATCTTTTTTCAATCTAGCTCCTTCTACTTTGAGAAGGGCAGTATGTTCATGTTGATTCCTTAATCCTCTTTTGTAACCAGTGAAAATAGCTTTAGCATAGAGTCTTCCATGTCTTTTAAAAGGCCTCTTTTTCAACGGTACTGCTTCTGTTGGTTTTTCTTTAGGCTTTTTTTCTTTTGGCGCAGCCTTGGCTTTACTTTTAGTTGCAGATGCCGTGTCCGCCATCTCTACAATATAAATGATTTATTATAAAATTGAATTTATTAATGACAGTAATATGTCTGATGGTAGTATAACAAGTGAACAATTTTGAGGTTATGGTGTTAACCATGTTGATATTGAATAAAAACAGAAATAATTTAATTAGTGAAACGGTAGTTCACAAATAATTTGAACTATTTTAGACAATAATTGTTAAATCATTCAATTATGTTTAAAAAAAACTCTGTTCATAGATATTTGATTATGAATAGGGTTAAGATCATATGACACTCGGCGGTAATCCAATCGAATCGAAGCTTAAATTCTGATATTATTATTTATTAGCGACAGAACTGAATAAAATAACAATCACATAATTATTGTGTATTCTTATTTTTCACTTTTATACTTATTTTACAGTGTTTTTTAAATTAAAAACAGCAATGTTTTTCTGTATCACATACCGTTTCTTTATCGAGATTATGAAAGGAACAAAAACCACGTGATCCCTCTATAGGTAACCATATGAGTTAAAAATCTATAGATAATGAAGGAATTTTTTTTTACTCTAAATCGATCGTCGATAAAAATAGAAACACAATCCCATGTTTATCAATTTGAGTCATTTTATAAAATTAGCATTCTAATTATTAATTAATCGTGATTATTATATAATTCTTTATTTTATTGACATGTTAATTATCTTGTAAATGATTAAATGTCCATATTAAAGTGTACAGGTAATTAACAAGATCGCTTTTGAAATATGTCTATTATATAATCCCAATATAGTGTTAGATGACGACTAAATTTTTATATTTATTTTTGTTTCTCTATTTCAGTGCATCGAGAACTTCAACTTCTTTACTTCGAAATCTAAGAGAAGGGATAATTGCAGCTAGGTAAGTGAATATACTAATTTTCAGATAGTTATTGCGAATTTATTGCCATTTATTATTATATTTATTAATCATTTGTTTATAAATTATATCGTACAAACAAATTTGAATTTTTTGTTAGGAAAATAATAATTAATATGTAATTATTTCAACTATTATTATGATTTACCTTGAAATAGTCTAAGTATCCTAAAAATGTGTTCTGTTGGTCATTTTATTTTTTCGTCTTTTATTGAAAAACATTTTTAAAACCCGGTTTAGTATTTGATTAATAGCTCTGTGCTATATACCTCTTCTCTTTCAAGTTGAAACAGTAAAAGTCTACGGCTCTTCACGAATGACAAATATATTACTCCGAAACTAGTAGTGTGTTTGTTTACACTAATAATACTTATTATAACGATTATTATTATGATCATTAATTCAAGAGATTATTGATTTGGAGAGTTCAAATTTGAATAGTTTATTATTCATTATCACAATTATTTATTATTACTATATTTATGGAGTTATACATTTTAGTTATTTAACAAAAAAATATCCTATTTGATTATTCTACCATTTTTTATTATCATTCGTTTTTTTTTTTTTTATTATTGCTAGTGCAGTTTTTTTTGGGAGTAAAATATATTCAGTGACAGCTTGCAAATCATACATATTCATATCCTATTATAGTTAAGATTGGATCGAATTTCAAAGTTTAAGATCTGTGATAATTGTTAATTACTTTTAATGAAAGAAATAAAATGGTTTTATGCGACAAAATAATTTAAATAAATAAAATATTTTTAAGATAGAGGTTTTAAAATCAAAATAGAATATCAACTGTCGAGCTCTATATTTTACTGCAAATTATCTGAAAACGACACAATTAAAACAGTTATGCTTAAACTTTTATTAACTCTCCAACGTGTATTGATCGAACACCTCGGGACTGATATTATTCAATCTATTTTCGATGTAATGTTAATGTAATGAAGTTTATTATTCATCAAAAATAGATTAAATAATAAAATAGATTAGAAGTTAAAATATCAACTTTGAATCAAAGAATTGGACTTTTTAATATGAAAAATTACTCGTTTCATTATTTTCATTCTTCTCAAACTCAAATCAGTTCTACACTTACGATATATTCAATATCAGTGCAAAACTATTCTATTGGTAAAAGTTTCATTCTCATACCGAAGTTGAGAGTAACTGCAAGCTACGTAAAACACATTCTGATTCCATTAGTTTAGTATTATTGTATCATCAATACAACCCTTCGGAACAAGCTCAAGTATTACCAATACTAGTAATGGTCAGAACATTCCACAATTAATTTCTCAATTGTTGAGAGTAAAATATTGGACCGTTAAAAAGACTCATCTCTGTTATCTAAATTATTGCCGAATGAAGTCATATACTTCCTTTTTTTTATCTATTTTATGTAAAAATAGTTTTAATCGTTGGCAGATCAACTTGGTACTCATAAATAGATAATGTCATTTGGAGTTATTTTTATATGATACTTCAATTAAATATTGATATAAGAATTAATAAATAAATCCAATGCTAAGTTGGTTTTACAAAAATATCGAGCTGTTAAGGAATAATTTTGATTTAATATTATTCCAATTATAATTTAATATATAACTCTTATCATAAATGATAACAAATGAAATAAAAACATTTTTTTTCACACTTAAATGTAATAAATTTATAGTTTAAAAAATGAATCACTGCAAGTCCTTTATATTTTTAGATGTGATAAAATGTTATCACAATTTTTTATGTAGCAAAGTAAACAGCAAGTATGGCAAGCATGCTGCTGGTGGTGTTCTCCTGTCCTTTATCTTTCACTGGTTCACTATTTATGTTAGTTCTAAACACGGTAATTTCACTACGCCATCTTTAATATCAGACATGTGGGTTATTCACTAACTTTCATCAATTAGAGGCATTTTTACAACCTTTGATGAATCTTTTATAAGCAAACTAATTTCTGTTTGATCGCTGTTGGATTTTTAAGTTATTTTTAACTTATAATTACAGGTTTTAAAAATATTTGAAAAATTCACATCAATGGTCAAAGCAATTTAGAAGTCTTCAAAACTATATCTATGATGGAGTGATTAAAAATTTATTGAAACTTTAAAATTGTAGAGTAAAGTTCTCTGATTAGTTTTGTGTGTAATCAGTATGGAATCATTAATATAAAAGTCTATAAAAATCTAATATGTAAAAAGAATATAATGAGTCGTACTATATAATTAATTATTGGAGTAAATATGAGTTCAGTTTTTTTTTAGTTTAAATAAAAATAATATATTTTTAACACAAAGCATCCTCCGCTAGGACGCTTCAACAATAATTGGAGATAATCATGTACAAAGAAAGGGCTTTACCGCACGCAGATATTACCTCTTTTACTTTGAGAATGTGAAGCAATGAGTGTAAACGATTGGGAAGTAGAGTGTGCAAGTTACCGACATGAAGACACTTGAGTCACACGCTCCTCTACACAGTCATTCGATAAGGGTAGTTGCTTTATTCTTCTTCGCTTTTTTCTTTGAATTCTATGTGTCACTTATTTACCTTTTGTTAATCACTTTCATCATCAGCGTTAATAATTTGTTTAGTGATTAATTGAGTGAACTGAGCAACTAAGATTGTCTTCGTATGTAGTTAACAAATATGGAAATTTATTTCCACCCTATGATGCAGATAATATTTTCAGTGATTTTTTTATTATTATAAATATTAAATTAAAAATATGATAAGTCCTTTTGAAATATTAATTTCGATATATAGATTTTATGATTAATTCATATTCAGATTATTTATGAAAAGTATTTGCAGATCATTACAGCAAATTAATTTATTTCTACATAAACAAAAGAAAATAAAATTAATATAGACATGAAATTCATTTCAATCAGCTGAAAGTATTAATTTTCTATTTTTAATTTATTTACTAAAGTATTAAATTACGATGACTACATTATGATTGAATATTTAAAGCAATACATTTATTTAAAAATGAATGAATCGATAATTGATTTTTGAAAATTTATACAAATACAAAATCATATTTTCAATCAATATAAGTTAGTGTAATGATTTAGGTTTTATTACAATCATTCTATTCATATGAAAAAATCCTGAAAGAGAAAGGAGAATAATTAGGTACGAATTTTTGATAGAATCAATATTCATAACACAAAATTACAGAGAAATATTGCAATCGAGAAGCCGGAGGTAATAATTTCATGGTGAACATTTTTACATGCATATTTTATTTCGTACAACTCAGTCTGTTACATAGAATTTGTGTTTCTTTCAATATGATAACAGATGGAAATGACTGCAGTTGAAATGAGGTATTTTCAAAGTTTACTGCTTATTCAGTAAGATTACAGCCAATCTGAACAGTTGGATATAAAATTTAGAGGTATCAATGTGGCTAACTAACTGTAACTATCTATCTTGTTGAATTCCCCTATCAAAAATAATATCTCTATATATTCAACTTTTTATTAAATTAATTAATCATCTCATGTTTTATTTTATCATCAACGTCACATTATTAAATAATGATTTAGTTAGCAAATATTATTTTTATTGATAAAAAAAATTTTCATTATTACGATAAAGTGCAGTACATTCCTGATAATAGCTGCCTCATTTCTCATTTAAAGTTTTAATTACCATTTATTAACATTATTATACAGTTATAGAGAGCTTATGATTATGAAATATTTATCGTAATGAAGCCTTTTAATCTTCTCTTTATATTTGAATTAATAAATTTTGCTAATATAACTTCAAAGTATATTGCTAATAAAAATAGCAAAAATTAGTAAATACTCTCTAATTTGCAGTGATTTTTCTCTAATTACAAATTAGACGGTACTTGGAAATCTTCCGAATCGACAAGTTCGAGTATTTGTGCTATCAATCATCAGGAGAAATAGGAGAGCAATCAGAAAATCGTAGTTTAATTACTCGTTTTAAACGAATAAATGGATTTTTAAATATTTTATCCAACTAAAATATAAATATAACAATAATTAATTATCTGAATTCAAGTTGAATTATTATATTGTAAAATTGTTATCATAATTAAGTAATTAGATTGATGGAGTAGGTTTATCAAATTACAAATTATTTTACAAGAGGTGAATTTGATCATGGTTTGAATATTTGTTGAAAATAATCATTAATAGAAAATAAAAAAATATGAAAGCAATGATCGGAATTTTTAACACCAATTTGAATTCGTATAAAACCCAAGTGTTAGAAAATGTTACAATTATATTAATTCAGATGACTGGTGTGCAAAATTGTCGAATATTTCACTCCAATCATTTTCAACAAATGTACGATAGTTTCTGGTTCACATGAATGAACCAATATTGCTGTAAAACGTCGATTTCTTTTTAAATTTAAAATTTAGAAAATTGAATATTAAAAAGAATCTCAGCAGGGAGTCTAAAGTGATATATGAATTCCGTGTTCTCATTAAAATCAAGTAGAACATAATTAGAAACTTATTTCAGAAATTTTTTAGCTTGAGTTCATTTTAAAAACATCCCCACTGGAATTTTTTTTAACAAGAATCTCTTTTT